CAATGATGATAATATGATAAAAGTGTTTTTAATATCAAATTTTTGCAAAAGAAAAAAAAAATTCACTCTGTCTTTTTTTTAAGAAAGAAAATATGCACGCAGCCAGCCAGACATAATCATCACCGACGTATACAATATAAGACGTGCGAATGACATTAATCATTTGTCAATCAAGGACAATCAATAATGATGATTTTGTTTTTGTTTGGCGGGCAATTAAAATTATCATCATTATTATTATTTGTATTCAAATGAAAAATTTAATCCCAGGATAAGAAAGTGAAATTCAGCAATCAAAAATCAAAAATAACAAAATATAACACATGTGGTTAATAATTTGAATAAGATGAGAAAGGAAAAAAAATCTAGCCCAATTCTTCTAGTTTCATTACAAAATCGATATAAATAAATATATTTGATTGTAATCAAAAAGAAAATCGAGAAGGTCGTTTGAACGGTCGTTCATTCAACAAAAAAAATACGATGTAAATCAACGACAAAAAAAAAATCTTCTAAGCCAAAGAATTTCCGTTCGCAATGGCCATGGCCATTAATTGTATGGTTAATTACAGATTTTATGTATGTTTTTTATTCTCCTGTCCCCTTCTCATTGATTCCACATTTTCAATTTGTGTTTATTATTATTATTATTATGTTAATTACAATGTAAAGGAAGGAACCTTCCGTCGATGATCATCAAAAAATGTATGTCAATCTTTGTTTGTTTTGTTTATATCAATATTGGACATCTCCATTTCATCATAGACCAGACACATACACACACACATCCGTGTTGAGCCATTGTAACAATAATTCCGGAAACGGATTCAAGATAACAAAAGTAACATTTTTTTGATTTGAATTTTCAATTTAGTTGCGAATATAAACGTTTACTAAATCCACCTCCCACACACAAACACAGACATATTATTTATTCCTTCACATCGATCCAATTAAAATTGTTTTATTAAACAACAAAAATCCAAAATAAACCTGTAAGATTCATTGAAATCAAAAAAAAAAAATCCCTTCGCAAACATTGAAAGATTATTAATTAATCAGGAGACGAGAGACGAATGATAGAAAAAAAAAGAAAGAAAGAAAAAAACTTAATTATCGTACAAAATTTATTCTACTGAATTTTTTTCATCATTAATGATGATGATAATCTTTACATCATTAATAAGATATTTTGTTCAATTAAGTGTTGTTTTCTTCAAATAATCAATTTGTATATATGATGATCACAACATGTGCAGAAAAAAAATTGTTAATGTTTTTTTGTTGTTTATTAATTTAAAAAATTTATTTTATTTGGAGAAGATTTACCAAAAAAAAAAAAAAATTCTGTTCCCCTGTATTAATATAAATTCGGGCGCGAAATGATGCTGATGATGATGATTACATGACGCAAAATAGTCATTAATCAATTTTGAACCAAAAAAAAAAAAAATTTCAAACAATGATGAAAGGAAAAAAAATATCAACAAGTATGACTAGCTGGCTTTGGGTTAAGATTTTTTTTTTGAATTTTTCCTCGTCACTTTTTTTTCTTATCTAATTTATTATATTCGCCAACACTCACACATGTTCCTTTAAAGATTTCTTCTTCTTCTTTTTTTGGATTGAATTATGAATTCTGATTTTTTTTCGATGATTTCAACATCGGCAATAATCATAAATCTAGTGACAATTTTTTTCTCTTATATCATCATCATCATCATATAGATGATGATAATATTAGAAAAAAGTGAATATATCTTTTTTTTTGTTCATTTTTCATCGTTGACAATGTCGAATCATGTCTAAACATGCATTAAATGAAAGATTTCGAAATTTTTTTCCATGCCGACAAAACATAAAATCATTGCATCTTAAAGAATTTGTCAGATAAGACACATACACAGACACAGACACACACGCATACGAATTGACTGAAAGTTTTTTTCTTACTTTTTTCTTGGATATTATGAAAATAATATGAATGAATGAAGTTGAACGTCTTGGTCTAGACATTTTGAACGAAAAAAAAAATTATTATTTTTTATTTTTTGGCTGATTTCCGAAGAAGAATCGAATAGAATGAATGTGCGCGAAATAAATTTCATTGAATCCATCACATTACAGGTTGAAGGTTGTCTGGTTACTATAATAATTACAACGTAGAATGAATAAACAAGAAATGAAATGACAAAATTTCCGATTACTGAGACAAATTTTTTTTTTCTCTACATTCATTCATTGACAAATCAATTCGATATTATTTTTGCTTCCTCAATATTGCCCTGAACATTCTGCGTTTGTGTGTAGTTAAGTTCACTTTCTGTTTGTGTTTCATATGAAAATTTTCTTTCCTCATCGATCCATCAGTTTTACGATGATGATGATGATGATGATGCTGTGGATAATGAAACTTTACGATAACGGCCATATTAGTGACCTTCATACCAATTTGTTTTTGTTGTTGTTGGCTATTTTTGCTTTCATTCATTTATTGGATAATTTTCATTTTACCTTTTTTTTTCTTTTTTTTCTGTTTTTTCTTAGATTTGATTTCATGGCCATCGGTGGTGATTGTTGGAATGAAATCGATTCAAGCTAAAAAACATTCAAACAAAAGAAAAATAACAAAAAAAAAATACCAGGATTCATTGACTTACCAAACCAGCCATCAACCAAAAAAAAAACTTTTTTCTTTCGTTGTTGGTTAAATTCAAACTAATAACCTAAAGAAGTATTCTAACTTTTTCCACCAGCAACGATAAAAATGCGTACGCATGCACGCGTTTAATACGACTATATGATCGAAGAAAAGCTATATTTTTTTCCCAAAAAATATGTGAAATTCATTCTCCCAACCAACCAACCAGGCTCCAAAATAATAATGATCATGCCTGGATGGCTGGCTGGCTGGCTGGCTTTGGCGAAGAATTCGTTTCTCTTTCTCTCACTCTCTCTCTCTCTTTCTTGTTGACCTTGAACGCCATCATCATCATCATCGAATGGTAATTGTATAGATATTTGGTGTGACTGACCGAGCGACCTTCATATTCGTCGTAGTTGTCGACGTCGTCTTCGTCATTTATGTCGCCATTCAAATATTAAATTGATGATGATGATGATGATGATGTGGTATAGTAACCATAACAGTATAGAGTAACCATCCTTTTGGTGTTTATGTTGTTGTAGATTGATTGGTTGGTGTTTTAGCCACCATTTTTTTTCATGTAGCTTTTCCAATTTTAAATGTTTTTTTTTTCATTATTTTCACCATACCATTATATTTTTTTTTCATTATTATTGTTTTAGTGATGTTTGCATTTTATCGAGCAATCATCATAGTGTGTGTTATTAAGTCAGAAAAAGAGGTAGCTTTTTTTTCATATTAACATACATTCTAATTGTTAATATGGACAATGTATATTCATTGACCGAGTTTCATTCTATTGTTCTTTATTTGATTTTTTTTTAAATGTGTTTTTTGTTTCTTTCCTTTCTCTTTCATTATAACACATACATACAACACATTTGTTATCCATAATATAATCATTATGATGATGATGATAATGATACAAGAAAATTACACGATTGATTCCTATCATCTCTTTATGTCTTAAGGTCAATGGAATTTTTTTTTCTTTCGGCAATCCAAATGATGAAAACAATGTAATTGAAAGAAACCAACAAAAATTTACGTGTATACATGTCATTTGTCGATAGTTAAAAGGTAGTGAAAGTGTTTATATTAACATTAAACCATATAAATCATTATTTTGTTATTACTATTAAAATCGATTATATAATAGACAACAACAACAACAACAACAACAAAATACTGTCAAACAAACAAATTGGTTGACATTGAAATCCGAAAACAAGAATCGTATGAGTTGAATGAGCTCTATTCAAAATACAATCAAGAATATTGAGTCTTTTATAAACAAAACAAAACAAAACAAAAAATACATCATCATCATCATTATTATTATGATGATGATCTTTAGCTACTTTACTTACTTGATTGTCTTTGAAAAATTCAAAGTTTCCCTCTTCATCAACATCATCGTAATCATTATGATGGTGGTTCAAATCTATAGCAATACTCCATACATATACACAAACACGAATGATGAATAAGCTAAATAATTTTTCATTATTATTATTATCCTAATGACGATAGATGGATTGTTGTTTTATATCTTATTATGAATTCTACTACAATATTAAATACATTGTCATGCAGGTGAATAATGTCATAAATGTGTATAAGAGTGTGTGTGTGTTTTTATGCTTAATTGGTATCTCTATACACCATCTAGCTAGTAGTTACCAATTTAAGGAAAATTTGCCGGTATTTTTTTTAACAAAAAAAAAATTTTTTTTTGATCGTTGTTATTACCCTGAAAAAAATGGCCGTTTATTATAACGATCAAAATAATTAAAACAGGTTGACAAAATATGTCATATATGCTGTAATACTGAATATATTCAAACAACAAGTATTCAATTTGCAGATGTTTTTATTTTTTTTGGTTCGATCGTTTTTCTTTGCAAACGGACGAAAAAAATCCAATATTCATGATGATGGTGTTTTGTTGAATTTTTTTTGTGACCGGCTTAATACGAGAAGAAAAAGGTTTCACATCTGGTTTTACGTATCACATCTGACTACATACATTTCACAATAGATCCAGGATCTGGGTCGGATGCGGTATTTGATAATGGACAATGACATTCTTGAAATTTTTTTTTGTATTGTAATCGCAGCCACATTCAGTTGTTTAATTCATAACCAAATACTATGAGATTATTTACGTGAGCAACAAGCACTGAGAGGCCAAACACTGGGTCTGGTCTGGGTCAAAGTTTTCATTCAGCAAATTTTTTTTTTCATTCATTCATTGAAATGTCACATTATCGAATGAGTGTATGTGTGTGAGTCGTGGAAAAAAAATTTGCTGAATGAATTCACTAATCGAACCGAACGAATACAAATATTTAGATGATGAAAAAATTTCCGCTTTTTCCCGACACAATAAATCTGAAAAATATCTACATCATCATCATTGTCGAGAGCTAGGTAGGTTCATCATACATTTGATGAATTTGAAACATTTAAAAGAAAAAAAATTTCAAAAATGTTATTTCATCATGATTAGAGAATAGTGTGCGTTATGGTATTGTCATCTAATACTTCCTACATGGAAAATCCGAATACGAATACAAATCAATTTCCACTTATTTTTCCGTTCGATTTGTTCGTTCTGGTTTGATTTGTGTTGAAACCATGTATGTATTATGGTGAAAAACCTTTAGCATTTTGATAATGATGACCTTTTTCAAAATAAAAAATAATGCCTTATCATTCCATTTTTTTATGATTATACTGATCATCTTCACTAAATAACAATTATAAAAAAAGGTCAAGGGTTATCTATATGTATGTATGTTTATGGAATTTATCCTTTTCATGCTGTGTTTTTACTAATTTTTGTTTTTTCGTTTGGTTATTTTGTTGTTTATATATATCTATTTATGATAACAGGTTGTTGTTACAAGTTTTATTTACGAACACATACAGGTATTATATGGAAACTTTTTTTGTTTTGTTTATTTTTGTGTACTATAATAACCCCTTTTTTTTATTAGTGTCGTTTATGATCATCTAGGATCGTCCATAATGGATAAAATTATTATTTTGGAAAAAAAAAGAATTTCCATCGATAAAACTTTGGCTTATATATTATGTTTGATGATTATTATGGTGATTCAACACACATAAAGCTCAAAGACAAGAAAAAAGTCAATGCCTGTCCTAGTGATTCTCCAAGAAAAAAGGATTGATTCGAATTCGAAAACATTTGTGGTGGTAGTGGTGGTTATTTTCGATGACCTTGGCAGCTGAAGAATTTATCTAGTTAATATCAACTATAATCTCATCAAGAATATTTGTGAAATATTTTTGGATCATTGTTGTCTATGATATTGGAGAATCGAATGTTTAAAAAAAAAATGTCGATCACACACATATCAACAACGACTATTTGGCCTTGGATCGTTGGAAATTATTTTGGCTACAAAAAAAAATCTCATAACATCCCGAAGGTTAAAACGACTACGTAGCAGACTACACAGACAATACAGATTTTCAACATGTATATTTTTTTATTTGATTTTGCCAAACAATTTCCTTTTTTTTACCATCATAATCATCATCATCATCATGAGATGGGGAATGTTAGTTTGTTGTGTTTGTATCCCTCCAATGTCTGCAAAAACCACCACCAGCACCACCACCCTCTCTCTTTTGTCAATATCATCAGAATAAAAAGCGCGCGAAATTTTTTTTTTTTTTTTTACTGCAATCTGTGTGTGATGGTGTTGGGGATTGTTGCAAACGTCCGTTTTACATTTGTGTTGCAGTATCGCCAAGTGGTATGTGTGAACTTGTCTAGCTACAAGTACAATACAGCCACTGGCTATGATGAAAAAAAAGCGCGCCAAAAAAAATTTTTTTCTGTTTGTTCATCATGTTTGTTTATATTTTACAATACGTACAGTATTTCTCTCTCTCTTTCTCTTCTCTCTGTTTCTTTGTTCTATATCTCTCTCAATGAATCTCCTCTCTCTCTCTCTCTCTCTCTCTCTCTCTCTCTCTCTCTCTCTCTCTCTCTCGGATTTTTACAAAATTGGCGGGAAAAAATTTTTTAAAGAATTTTCAAACAAAAAAAATTTTCATCACTTTTTTATGATTTTTGATGATGAGATCGTTAGGCAGGATATCCGTTTGTCTTGGCGTGATGTTGTTTTTATCAAATTTTTTTCAAATCAAAAAAAAAAGAAATAAACTTGGATGCCATTAATTCAATATCAATGAGGAAAAAGTGGAGTTAACCTTAAAAATTTAAAAAAAAAATTGGATCGTCTCAAGGTCACCAAAAAAAAAAAAATACCAAATTGAAAAAGAAAAAAAAACCATTCTGCGCAATGTTACATAACACAAATTCCATGATATCCTTGGAAATAAATGGATACAGTTTCCAAATGGTGGCATAACTTTATCGTTTTTCTTTTTTTTCTATTTTATTTTGGATTCATCTCAGTACATTATTATCCATCAAGAACAATCATTGCCAACCAGACATCAGATTCAAGGTCGAAAACGCCTATTTTTGACCCACCTACCCTATTCTGGGGTAGAATTTAGGTTCAATGGGCTTCATGTCTAAACAACATTCAAATAGATACGTTTATTCCCCACACGTCCACATTCTATCCGTTCGACCGTTTTCCAGACATTATAATGATCATAATCCAAAAACAAAAACAAGAAATTTTATGTTTTGGTCTTTTAAACGTTACATTTTTTTGTGATTTGCAAAAAAAGCTTAAATTCACGATTTCGAATTGATCAATCTTGTGCGGTGGTGATCCAGATTCCGAAATGTAGCATTTAAATGTCTCATCATTGTTGCTTGTTGAACCTTTTAAATTTTCTACAACTTTTAAATACAAACCAACCAAACAAATTACTATTAGGTCGTGACCTATCAACTATAGCAATATCAGTGATGAACATGTCAAATGTCTTTATTTTCATTATCAATAATCATTATCTTTCAATATTGTAGCTATTTAACACAAGAGAAAAAAAATTTGAAGAAAATTAAATTTTTTCCTATCGATTCGAACACTGGATTTCAAATATTGAGAAAAAAAAATTCAAAAAAGCGCGTGCGCGGAGGGAGGAAGAACACAAACAACACACGTACTGGGCATATTCAAAAAAAAAATCGAGACGATGAAATTGGCTTGAGTGGTGGTGGTGGAAATTTGAAAAGAGAAAAAGAATAGCAAGTGAACGAACGTAATCAAGGACGCGACGATCTTTTTTTTTTGCTTCGATAATATAATATCATCATCATTGAAATCAGTTGGTTTCAATGTTTGATGATGACAACATTTGGTTGTTTGCAAAAAAAAAAAAAAATACGAATATTTGCCTGGCTGGCTGGTTTTGATCACACATTCACCAAAAAATTTCATTTTTTTTGTACATCATCATCATCATGATCATGATGATGATGGTGGTGGTGGTGGTGGTATGCATGTCTCTGCTGCATTCATATACACAATACAGACACAATCGATGCTTTACTTGCTCTCACCATCGATGCCGGCATTTTTTTTTTTTGGTTCAGTTGTTGTTGGGTGCATGGTTTAAATGTCCAAATGTTTCTTCATTCAGAGTAATACTGACAAGTGTTAGGAGCCGGTGAATGGATGAAATAATGACAGATGAGAATCACGAGCAAGAAGGCAAAAAAAAATTCAGACTTGGTAGACCTGGAAAAAATATCTATAGATAATGTTGTTGTTTAAAAAAAAAATTATTTCATTCATATTGTTTTTTTTCTGGATTCCCATGTACCTGGGTGTTTAGAAAACGAAAAAAAGAAAATTTTAAAATTTCAAAATAATAATAATAGATGGGGTGGATAGGGGATAAAAATGTGAGGAAAAAAATTGATTGCTAAAAGAATTGAATGAATGAAATGGGAGAAACATTAAACGACTGCGCATAGAATCAATAAGAATTATCATTAGATTTTGTAACAATTATGACGCCGTGGCGTTTTTTTTTTCTCTCTCTTTCCTTCCCCATCTGTTTTTCTTCCCCCTGTCTATGTGGAAATCTTTTTTTTTTGGTTTAGTTTGGTCATGGAAACCAAACCATAATAAAAAAAAATTGTTGTTGTTATTTGGCATTTTGGGGAAATTTTAAATGAATGAATGAATGAATGAAAGAATCGATAGGGAAAAGCAATCGGTGTTTGGTTTTGTGTGTGTGTGTGTGTGTGTGCAGCATTATTATATAGAAATGCAGCAAAAAAAAAAAATTTTAACATCCAAAATGAAAATGGTAGTAGTTGTGCATTACACACATCACATATCACACATGCTTGGCTGATAATCATCTGTAAGGGAAAATTAAATTTGAATTATACGCATGCGTAGAAAGATGCCGGCATCTGTATTGTGCCGGCTTGTATGTTGATGATGATGATGGTGAATTGAAGAACTACGTTTCAGATGATGAGTGTGGTGGTTTGGTTGTTTCGCGCTATTCACACAAACACTCATCGCGTATCTATTCGATTTCGATTTTCCTTTATTCATCATCATCCTATCTTGCTTGGATTGACTTTATTGCAACGTTTTTTTTTAAATAAAAAATCATCTTTATTATTGCATAGTTGCATAATATTTCATCATTTTTAATTTTGGAACTTTTTTGGGTTTTCTTCGTTTCAAAACAACATATTTCCAGGTGTCTTTGTATATATCTCTAATAGAATCAATTAATTGTAATCACATACGTTGATTAAATGGTATGACATTATCATCGCCATCGTCATCATCAATGATTCCAAATCATCATCAGGTATGTTAATTATTATTATCATCAGAAAAGAAATAAGTTGATTTTGTTTGCAAACTCAATTTTGTTACTAAAAAAAAGAAAAAGAAAAATGCCATATGTTTTATGTGTTACATCCATTTATCGATATCATATCGAAAAATTTTAGCGAATTTGCCCCACATATTCGAATTAGATTTGTGAGTTCGATTTTTTTTTTGTAGATAAGATAATGTAATGTATAGAGATAGATATAGTTTTATTAAAATTTCCCAATTTTTTTTCATCGAATGCTATGCAGCATTTTCAATTGCAAACGCCTATTTTTTCTCTCATGACAATGACTCGAACATGATTGTCATCATCGAAATTTAATTTATCAAACAACCAATCAATCGATCAATAGCAATGTCTCATATGGTCAAAAAATAATGATGATTAAAATTATTGTTGTTGATCTTATTTTTTTCTTTTATAATCCAAAAAAAAAAAAAAGAAATTTAAAGGCTCAAAAGGTGCGGTAAGTGCTAACAACAACAACAACAACAACAGCATCATCAGCAGCTGCATTGCCTGCCTGTAGATTGTGTGTGTGTGTAACAAGAGAATATAGTTTCTTCTTGCCCACTACTACCATTTGCTGCTTTAAGCTTTGTTTATTGCAAAAATCTTACAACTGCTGATTTGGGGATAATGATGATGAGTTGGAGCTTCAAAATCAATTCTTTTTTGTGTTGTGCAGGTTAAAACACATATATAATGTTTGTTTAATGCGCATGACTATTTTTTTAGTGTAGTGATAAGAATTATATGGTAGTAGTATATTTAAAAAGGGAATGGATTTGGAATAGAATTTTTAGCCGAAATTTTTTTTGGGTGGTTTGTATTTTCGGCAATAGCATTGCTTCCCCATTTTTGTTTGCATACATTCAGCTGAAAGCAGTAAAAGCAATGCTGCAGTGTCAGTGTTTGTTGATGGATAGTAGAAAAACCGCGATTGTCGGCCATAGTAGTGTATCGAGGTATTTATATTCCACTTGCTATACGGATGGTTTTACCAAACGTTCATCGTCACTCGCATTGTTCGCAACTGCAATTTGTTTTCTTTCTCTCTCTGTTGCGCGGATTCAAATTCCATTCGATCTTTTTTTTTCACTGGATAAATTTCGAATTTTGAACTTTCTATTTTTCGCTCTATTTCGAACATTGTCATCTCATCCAAATTGTTCTATATGATATAGGGATATCGTACGAATTTGAATTTTCATTTATAAGGATTGAAAAATCATTTCTAATTAAATTGAATGGAGCAACATATATTTAGGCGCCAAATTTTGCCGGTTACAAACAAACTTTAATTTTTTTTTGTTTTAAAACTGTTGACAATTTTCTTTGTGTTTGTTTTTACTGGATTGATTGATCTCTTCAATTTCTAATTTTCGAATTTTTTTTGTTTTCATCTCGTGTGTGTGTGCGTGTGTTCATCAACATCATCATCCTTGTTGTCCATATTTGACAAAAAAATTAGACATTTCGAAAAATGCCTGTCAAAATTAACTATAATTCCAACAATCGGTATTCACCGTTACCAGCATCATCATCATCATCATTCGATATGTTTTTTAATGAAGATTTTAGTGTCGATCCAACCGATATCGATGTTACAGATATAACGAATTCATTTTGTTTTGAAGAAATATGGAGTAATTTTATACCTACACCACCACAATCACCACCATTCATATTGGATTGTTGTGAAGATTTACTTAATGATGAAAAGATGCATCTAGATGAAGAAATTGGTAAAAATGTGATTGCACATGATTGTATGTGGTCAGGACAATGTAGTGAACATAAATGTAAATCATCCACATATAGCCTGAATGGCATTACCAATATGAATAGCAACAACAACAGTAAATCAATGGCAACATTTTTTAGGCCTGGAACACCATTCAATCTATCGACATCGCCACAAAGCGCATTCAATTATATTCATTCTTGTGATTTGAATATGAATGAAAATTATACAGTCGATGATGATAATAATCAACAACAACATGATCAACAACAACAACAACAATCATCAAATACCGTAACAAGTGGTAATGTTTATGCAATGACCAATGATCATTCATATGGTTCATCACAACAACAACAACAGCAGCAGAAAATTACGATTATGTCTGATTTGAATGAAAAAAGTCTCATACATAAAGATACGAAAAGTAAGTTTTTTTCATTATGATAATAAATTTTAATTGATGATTGGTTGTTGAATATATTTAGGCATATACAGGAAACCAATGGAAAATAAATCGATTGGTCAGCCGAGAATGTCTAAAATGCGATGTAAAAAATTGTCGAATAGCAATCGCAAACATCAACAACAACAGCAACAAACATCATCTAGTAGTTCTTTGTTGAATAATAATGCCGTGTCATCATCAAATGTCTCAATAATAAATGGTATAAAGAAAGAAAACCAGAACAGCGTCATCAAAACAACATTAGTATCGTCATCATCATCTAGTAATATAAAAAATTTTCAACCGCTTAAAAGAAAAAATCCCAACACTATTGTTCAACATCCAACATCAATTTCGACATCATCGAATTTATCACGTGTAATTCATGTAAAAAATTTGGCCACCACATCATCAGCAGCCGTAAACCTTATTTCGAATTTACAATTAAATAGTCCCGCATGTTCTGATTCGGAAGAAAGTAGTCTATCATTTTTATCAGGTGATGGTTGTGAACAAAAATTGAATGGTGGTGGATCATCACCACCGGTAAAACGACGTGAACATAATGATTCGGAACGTAAACGTCGTGATCATTTGAGAAATTCATTCAATAATTTACGAGATCAGATACCAAAATTGAAAACATCACAGAAAAGGCCACCAAGAATTATGATATTACATGAAGCAACAAATTATGTACAGGATTTGATCCATGAAAATGAACAATTAGAACATGAACATCGTATTGAGATTGAAAAACGGAATCGTTTAATGGAAATATTGAGAAGGTGTAATGAATCTTCAACATAAATAACATCACAATTAACCAATTTGATGATACATTAGACCGTACCACTGAATCCACATTATACACATCTATTCGTTATTTGTCGTGTACTTGAGCAATCTTGTTCTTTAAAAAAAAGATAATAATAATTTTTCATCTCATTATCATCATTTATAATAATATTATCCATATATAAATCACAATATAGAACAATATATAAGATATATATACATTATTATAAATTTAGCAAATGAAGAGTGCAGAGTATTCAATTCACATTTTTGATTGATAATGGATACAAACTAGGATTTTCTAATTCTTTTTTTTTAATTTTGTAATTGTAAAGAAATTGATTTTTTTTCATTCATTCGTTCGTTTTTCATTCATAAGATATTTTTTCGATTAATTTAGAAAAATTCTAATAATTTACGAATATAATAAATTACATGCACACACACACACACACACACACACACACACTTATAACATATAAATAACACATACATATATATATATATAATATAAATCCATTTCATTCTGAATGGGAGAAAAATCTACATATATTTTTTTTTTGTATTTTCATCAAATGTAATGTTTTTTTTGTCTGATTGTGTTTAACCATTGTTTGTGTTTGTGGTAAATATTTTTTTTTTCGATTGACTAAAAAAAAGAAATTAAAGAAAATGGAAAGATTTTGAATTGTATAATTTTTTTTTTAAATAATGTAATCGGATGTTTACAAGATCAGATTTCTGCTGATTGATGATTTGGTAAACCATACATACATACATACATACATACACACACACTGAAAAAAACATGAAAAAATCAATTTTTTTCAAATTAAAATTGTTCATTTCACACATATTTTTTTTTTGTCTTATCCGAACGGGGAAAAAAACAAACCATTGACACTTGTTTATCTCAAACACACACACACACACACACACACACATAAAATACAGAGATAAACACTTTTGCTTATACGAATTACGAAAATATTTCCTAAATATAATAATAATAATATAAAATGTCTATTTGGTTTTTTTTTCGCAAAAAAAATTTTTTCCCATCATCATCATCATCATCATCATCATCATCATTAACATTTAGATAATATATGGCACACATATATAATCGCATATTATGAAAAAAAATATATTACATTACACAACATATATGTTCAATTCATTTCAATCCTTTTTTTTACTATTAATCTGTCATCAGATTCTGTCATGGCATTTCTTTTTTCTTTTTTTTGCCCCTTTCATTACACTTAGATTTTTCTTACATTATTCACTCTGTGATATACGTGTGTTGTAGATGTTAAATAAAATGCTGCATACACAAGACACAGACAAGAACATACATACATACAAACATACATACACAGAGAGATTGTCTTAACATATTAATCAACAGGTTATATTCAATTTATATTACGAAGAAAAATATATATTAATAATCATAATAATAATAATAATTATAATTGCTGACAATTAATTATAAAATTTTATTCAAAAGATAAATGAATTAAACGTAAATAATAATGTGGAGCAAAATAAATTTCTTCATTTCCGATTTTCATTTGTCATTCTTTTTTTTTACGTTTGTTTTTGATCATTTCACAACACACACCTACACTTATTATCCAAGTTTTTTTTTCTCTCTCTCTCTCTATCTGTCAAACACTATGAATAATGTGCCTTTTTTACAGCCTATGATTGATAAATGGAATTTCAAGTTATTTTTCTTTTCCTGGTTTTTTGTTTTTTGTTTTTTTTATTTCGCTCCACAATATTTCATCATAACGATGTTTTAATAATCAATTTGAATTCAATCTCATGGATAGAATGGTCATATGGCTTAAATCATTTATATTTATATAACATAACATACAGAATTTTGGCTTTATTTTGAAAAATTCATACATTTGTCAATCATAATAAAACTAATAATAATCAAGACACTTATATTCTGGCATATATATTCATATTTGTTTCCTATGTGTATTTGATGGTGGTATAATCTTTGAAAATTTATTTGAATTTAAATAAACACAAATATTTTAAATTTTCAATAAAAAAAGCAATAATCATAATAATAATTCATTTCAATTGTGTGTGTGTGTGTTGTGTGTCCTACTTTATTTTTTCTCATAGATTCTAAAGTGTCCAGTGTTTTTTTCTTTCTCTATTTATTTATTTTTTTTTGTTTGTCTTTTTGTTTGTTTTACCCGAAAATAAGGAAAAAACTTGACCATAATTAAACATGAAAATTCCACTTGTTGTTATTGTTGTTGTTGTTGTTATTTCTCGATGAGATGATCTGATCATATCAATGGGTGTTTCCGTCAGTATATTTAGTTCGCTTATGAAACATGAACAAACAACCGAATCGAATATATATAAATTGATAATCAAACACCATTAATCATTGTATTCATTTTTGGGACATTATTTACATGTGTTTATATGTAAATAGTGTGTAGCCGTGCGGCTATACATCAAACAATAATTTTTAGGTTTTCCTGAACGATTTGACAATGATGATGACGATGATGAGGACGATGATTTTGGAAAACAAAACAGCAGAGAAATTTCTGCTATTTTTGTTTTTCCTGTCCAATTGGACAAGGACAAGTTTTTGGTGCAAATTTTTTTTCAATGAATAAAACTTTCGTTCGTTCTTCCTTTTTTCATGGCTAATTACTACGCATACACACACACCATATACAATGTTCAGATGGTGTTTTTTTGTGTGTTTGTTTCTTTCCATACATTTCATGCAAATATTTGACCATTAACATGGACAACTGGAGAAAAACAACGAAAATGTCCAAGGACAACAAGGTACGTTTACTGCTGTCTCCTTTCTATGATGATGATAGTAGATGGTAGGGGGTGGTCATCCGATCATCATCATCATAATTAAAACCAGCAAAAAAGTAAGTGTTTTTATCAAATGAAATTCCAAAATATACCACTTTCATTCATTCATTTATTCAACCAGGTCATTTTCAAAGTCGAGACTGATTTCTGACTGACCATCATTGTCATATAGTCTTCAAAATAAAAAAAAACGTTTGCCTTACGTTTTACATGTTTGGGTCGTTTCAACGAAGAAAACACATACAAAGTCGCTGTCAATATGTTAACCATGTGATCATAATGGAGGTCATATGTCAAATGGTATGATGTGTGTGGATTAATGAGCTGAAAGAAATGTCCATTATTTTATTCCAATTTCAACAAGTTTCTGATTATTTTTTCTCGTGAACAAAACAAAAACAAAGTTAATTGAAATATTTGATCCAAAAACTAAAAAACGATCCATCACAAGAACGGTGTTATAACTAATATTTTTTCGCCCCATCGAATTTTTGAGTTGTTTTCGGTTTTTTTGCTACGAACAAAAAGGAAATGACGATAATGATGATGAAGAAAAATCGTTTTGTAAATCAAATTCCATGGAAAAAATGCTTTCTAAAAAAGGCACCGAAAATGAATTTCAAATATTTGTGTTGTACGTTATCCAAAAGAGAAAAATTTTCAATGAATGAACGCTGATAATAATGATCATCAATGAATAATGATGATGATAATGATGGCTTTTATAATGATGATGATTATTGTTTTTGTTTGGTTTGGCAACATTCCAAATATGTGGAAACAACTCATTGACATTCCAAGGACAACAAACCCGTTTTTTTTTTTGGTCAAACTTTTCACTTGCGGTATTTTTGTTTTTCCAAAAAAAAAATTGAGGCCCGTTTTCAAGTGAAAATTTTCAAGGTATCGAATATGTATGTTTCTTTCAAATGAAATGATTCATTTATTTTCAAATATTTTTTTTTTCATTAATGATTTAAAGCATTGAATTCATTGTTAATAAACATGATGAATAAATTCCGGGAATGAATTTCTTACAATAATCATGTGTGCAATATGATTTTCTTTAGGATTATTTAATCCTTTCTTTATGGAAAAAAATAAAACGATGTTTGGTGTTGCAAAAACCTTATCAACAAACCATAGTCACTAATCTGAAAATGGAATGGATGAATAATCATTATTGTAGTGATGCAATACGAATTGGCTGCTGTTGGAATTGTTAAAAGAAATATTGAATTAGTTGTTTAATATAACTGTTGAGTATATTTAATTAGTATGTTCAATAGTGTAAATATTGTATATATATGAGTTTGTTAACCAGTTATTTATTAATGATTAAACACATATTTCATCAACTGCTTGACATTCTCACAGCCGGATAAACGATAAAGAATTGGCCTCATCGACTGCTTGAACAACGAATGCCACTGCCAAGAACTAATCGAATCTTTTACGACGTGCTTCCAAAGCACTCTGCTTTCCAACGTTAACATGATCACCATAGACCATAGATGAAAAATTTGTATCGACCAAAATACAAATGTTGGACATCTCTTGCGTGGATGGACCCATAACCTGTTGAAATATTTAGCAAGAGGCTTGGAAGTATAAGATTCAATAGTTAGCAGTTGATGAATATGTGTTTTAATCATAATAAATAACTGGTTAACAAACTCATATATATACAATATTTACACTATTGAACATACTAATTAAATATATTCAACAGCTGCTAGCCAAACCAGAAATAATAATGATAATGACGATTTGATAGACCAGAGACCATTTGAACAAAACAAAAAAAACAGCTATTCATTCATTCAGACATCCTGAATTTAATTTCAAATGAAATTGCAATTATACATTGCATATCTATACAGTTTTTTGTTTTGTTTTGTTTTGTTCTGTTTGTCACTCTGTGTTTTGCATTCATTTGCAATGTTGCAATTTTAAAATTCAATACAAAATTATACACACCACACATTGATCATTGAATTCACCAGTGATTCATCACGATTTTTTTCCGTTTTTTTTTGACTGAACAGTAGGAATTACTACTGTTTTTTTTCTCTGGTTACGATTCGACGAATATGGAATTTAAATTGTCCATCCACGATTATTGCTACTGGATGATGATGATGATGATGATGGTCATCAATCTAATCGGAATATTTTCTACAGAAATTTTTTTTTCCAAAGCTTTATAGATTCTTTATCGTTGAAAACAAAAATCTAGATGATCAAATCATGATGATGGCCCTTAGGTTTTTTTCTGGTTGTTAATTTGATTAATCACTAGAGAGAATTAGGAGAAAAGAAAAAATCAAATTTTTTTCTTCTTTCAAACAAACAATTTTTCCAAACAATCGGACTAGACAATCGGCCCAATTTCTATCTACAAGCCCATCCGCAGATACATTATCATCATCGATAATAATGACCTTAGGTGAAGAGCAGGTGATGAATTCCATGGCTAAGGTTAATCAAGTTGACCCCTCCCTTGCTCTTTTTTTTCATGTTGCAAATGACTGAATGATAATATTAAATCAATTGTTGTTGTTGTTTGTTATTTATAACGGAACAATTTTTGCAAAAAAAAACTGCTGCTTCTGCTGCTGCTGCTGGTCTGTAAATTGCTCTGTGATTTAGGTCTGTAAAATCATACATCTGCCTAATTTGGACTAATAAACCATTATCATTTCTGTGAAAAACACCGGAATCGGGAACGTGCATAACACGCACGTGATGCGCGTGCCAAATTTCCAAAAAAAATTTTACTAATGTTTATTTTGAAATTCATTTGGAACAATTACCAACAACTATGATTTTTTAATTTTCTTATATTTTCGAAAGATGATCAATCTTCAATATAAAATTGATCCAAATAAATAGTGATAATAATAATAATAATAATAGACTTTAAATTAGTCTGAAAAAAAACAATTCAAGATTATCTTTTCTATTGAAGCAGGTGATCTGTTTTTATGTGGTAAAATTTACAACAAATTTCCATTTATACCATCATTCATTCATTCATTTGACCTTTGTATAATAATTCAATAAGATTTTCCAGCAAAATACCAAGTAATTTTTCAAATTAAAATTGTACCATCTGCCTAACAAATAACAAAAAAAAAATATTGTCACATTCAATCTCTCAATTTTTTTTGACTCATGGTTAAAAGTCATTTTCTTGCCTAAAAACAAACCCGGTCGTTTTATGACTAACATTGGTATGTGTAACATAAAATAAACTAGATTAGATTAGATATATTTTGAGCATGATGCACTTGATTTAATAGATTGATACAATGATTGAAATGAAACAATTGAAGAGAAAACAAAAATTGTCAGATAACATGTTTTTATTATCAAGATTATTAAAAAAAAATACTTTGATAACAAATCAATGTATGATAAATGCAAGTAAATTGATTTGTGAAGTGGATAATAATAAAATGTCACTCATGCGATTCTGATTTACTTTTTGAGAATTGTTGTTAGAAATTCTAAATTTAAAATCTAGTCTAGTGATTTAGTGTCTGTATATATATATAATGCCGGTAATTTTCCTTTTTATTTTTATTCTTTGTCTTTTGTGTCAAAGTTCAAGTCAAAAAGAGTGATGAATGTGTGGTTATATATAAATGAATGAACGAATCCAAATTCGGGGTCAATATTATTATTATTATCTTTATTTTTTTCCTGTTCAACATTCTCATACTTATGTTATAATCATTGGAAAAATCTCTATTGCTATTTGTTCATTGAATCAATCATCATCATCATTTTATTATTTGTAAAATAAACTTTACTCTTATTGCTGTCATTCTTTCATTCTTTTATATGTGTTTGGCAGAGTGATTAACGCTTCTTCTGGCTTCAGATTCAACAACAACAACAACAAAAAAAACATTTCAACAAATTTTCTTTTCGTTTCGATATTCATCACTATATTTCCTATCTTATCATGAATGTGAATGAATGATATAAAAATATCTGGAAAATGACAAAAAAAAACTTTCGCTTCAAGATCGTTGTGGATAAGGGAAAGGAAAAACATTTGAGAATGAAAAAAAAAGAAAAAAAAAGATCAACAACAGATCTTTTTTTTCCGAAAACAAGTGAAATGGAAATATATCGGAATGGATAAAAAAAATGAATATATAGATCATTAAGTTTTTTTTCTGCATTAATTATATGGACACAGTATACATATATAAAATATATATTAGAATGACGATGATGGTGGTGGTGGTGATGGTAATCTACTGAAAATATAAAAACATCCAATATGTCATCATTGAAAATTGAAATTGAATATCCCAAATATATACCATATAATACTTATCTTTTTTTCCACTTGTTTGTGCATGTATTTGTGTAGAACGTGAGAAATCCATCTTTCTATCTTTTCAGGAAAACGTTCATTTTGAATGTACACGAAATATAGATAAAAATAATCCAGACAAGAATAAAAAAAAGTGTTTCTTATCATATTGATGATGATAATCAAATGGATTTAGTGTGTGAACAATTTCTCACTATGGTATGAGTATTTGTCAAACTTGATAATCAAATAAACTTTTTTTTTGAAATAAATATAAATGAAAAAGAAACGAATTTATCTTGATGAAATCATTTTTTTCTTTTTCGTTCTTATAATCACAAATTTGTTGTGTGTGTGTGTGTGTGTGTGTGTGTGTGTGCGTGTGTGTTTGATTGGTGCAATATTGATACTTTTTGAAAATGGTGTGAACACATAGTGTGATGATGAGAAATGAAAATTGAAAATAAATGAATAAAATTGTATCGAAGCAAAGAAAACATGGATTATCGGAATTTTTTCTTTTTACCGAAAAACTATGACATTGATGATCATCATAGTAGCGATGATGGGATCATCCTGGTCCTGTTTTTTATAATTTTTTTTTTTTTTTTAAGGGAGTTTTCCAAATTTTTTTTCATTTTCAATTTATCTTCATCTGAAAAAGTGTAGTGAATTTTTTTTTGTTTGAATTTTTTTCTTCCCAACCACAACGATAGATGGCCTCCCATCTGGTGGTGAAATGGTGATTTTTTTTATTTATCTTCGATTGATGATCATCAAATAATAGAAAATTAATTAATTAATTAGTTTAATTAATAATTAATGATAAATTTGATCGATAATTTTCTCTTTAAGTATAAAATGATACTGGATTTTGGATCATTTGTTTTTGTCTTTACATCGATTGAAAAAAAATGATGCGAAATCTGTCGAACGTTTTATTATTGTTAATAATTTCATTGTCATCATGTTTGATGGTGTTCGGCTGGGATAATGGCCTAGCTCGTACACCACCGATGGGATGGTTATCATGGATGCGATTTACTTGTGAAATTGATTGTAACACTTATCCTGATGAATGTATCAATGAAAAGCTTTATAAAGATATGATTGATCGAATCGTTGATGATGGTTACCTTCAGGCCGGTTATCAATATGTCAATATTGATGATTGTTGGATGGCCATGGATCGTGATCCGAAAACATCTCGATTAATTGCTAATGAAACAAGATTTCCATCCGGTATTAAAGCATTGGCTGAATATGCACATTCAAAAAATGTTTTGCTCGGCATTTACGAAGATATTGGAACACTAACATGTGCAAAATATCCCGGTACATATTACCAGAATAAAGATCATACCTTTATTGATGCAGAAACATTTTCTGAATGGAAAATTGATTCAGTTAAAGTGGATGGATGCTATGCTGATCCGAAAAAATTTAACATCACATATGTAGAATATTCAAAAGCATTAAGTCAAGTTGGTAAGTGAATTTTGATTGACTGACTGTTTGATTGATTGATTTATTGATTGCTTTCATTTTTAGAACATAAAATACTATATGGTTGTAGTTGGCCATTTTTCAAGGCAGATTTTTCCGAAAATGATTATAAATTAATCAGAAAAAGTTGTAATTTATGGCGACAATTTGGTGATATTGTTGATTCATATCAAAGTGTTAAATGGATTATTGATATGATGGGCATGCATAATGAACGATTTATCCGATATCATGGTCCAGGCGGTTGGTTTGATCCAGATATGTTGATTATCGGTAATAATGGCCTTTCATATGAACAAAGTAAAACACAAATGGCATTCTGGTGTATGTGGTCGGCACCACTATTCATGTCCAATGATTTACGATCAATTCGGCCGGAAATGAAAGAAATCCTGTTGAACAAAGAATTGATTGCAATCGATCAAGATCCATTGGGCATTATGGCACGAAAAATTACGATTGTATGATGATTGATCAAATAATAATAATTTGAACATTTTAATTCATAATGATTTTTCTCCACTAGAATTCGCAAACACATCAGATATGGGTGAAAAAACTATCCACATCCAATGATCATCTTCCAAATCCATTTGCAGTTCTATACTTTAATAGTGAACAATTAGGATCGCCTAAATATGTAAATTAATATTATTATTTTAAAATCAATCAATAATTTGTTTTATTTGATTCCATTCAATAGATGTCGTATCGATTATCATCACTTATACCCGAATTGAATCAAACAATTAGCTATGATGTATATGATTTATATGCAAAATCAAACGAATCCTATTTGGAAACATTGAAAGCGGATCAAAATCTTCGATTAAAAGTACCAACAGCTGGTAGTGTACGGATCGTAAAATTATTGCCAAAATTGTAACGAAATAAAATATTTTGATGAAAAAGAAATTCTTTTAATTGTTTTGAAACAATCACTAAATAATCAATAAATAAATTTGAACAATTGATTTAAAGTGGCAATTTAAATCGGTATTTACTGATAATAATAAAAAAAAGAAAAATTTTATCAATTTTTATGTACGATATGATTAAACAGTTCAAAGGTCTGGAATTTATTCTAATGATAATCATCGAAACTTAACTAAAGATGATTATTATCATTGAAAAAACAACGTTTATCAATAAAAACAATGTTATTGATCTATGCCAGATTAATCTTCGATTGGATATTATCAGTATCGGTCATTGTATAAATTGAATTGGACAAGTTATTAGTTTATTGTTTATTGTATCATGCGACTGTTTTATCAAAAATTAATGGCTGATAATGATGATTTATCAATTTTAACATCGATTTTTTTTGTTGGTATTTTGAAAAAGATCAATATTCAATATAAATAACATATGACAAGTGAGACGTTGTGTTGATTATTGTACTGTATTGTTTCCGACAAGCTGATCGTGATGATGATGATGACTACGACGACGAAATTTTTGATTTGTTTTTTATTCTCGTTTACATTCACAACATTTGTTTATGGTTGGAATAATGGACTTTCACGTCGACCACCAATGGGATGGCTATCATGGATGAGATTTGCTTGTGAAATTGATTGTAAACATTATCCAAATGATTGTATCGATGAAAAGCTGTATAAAGATATGATTGATCGAATCGCTGAAGATGGTTACCTTCAGGCCGGTTATCAATATGTAAATATTGATGATTGTTGGAATGCACATTATCGTGATCCGAAAACATTACGATTAATCGCTAATCAAACCAGATTTCCATCTGGTATAAAAACATTGGCCAAATATGCGCATTCGAAAAAAGTTTTACTTGGTATTTATGAAGATGTTGGCACGCTTACATGTGGTGGTTATCCCGGTACCTACTATAATAACATTGATCATACCTATATTGATGCTGAAACATTTTCCGAGTGGTCAATCGATTCATTAAAATTGGATGGATGTTATGCAGATACGAATAAATTCAATCTAACATATCCAGAATATACTTTGGCACTCACAAATGTTCAACATCCAATTATATATTCATGTAGTTGGCCAGCATATCTAAAAAATATTAGTGATGAAACATATTCAGAAATTCGTGATAATTGTAATCTATGGCGTAACTATAATGATATTGTTGATTCATATCAAAGTGTTTTTCAAATCATCAAGTATTATGGCCAAAATAATAAACAATTTATCCGATATCATGGTCCAGGCGGTTGGTTTGATCCAGATATGTTGATTATTGGCAATAATGGTCTTTCATATGAACAAAGTAAAACCCAAATGGCATTCTGGTGCATGTGGTCGGTACCTTTATTAATGTCCAATGATTTACGATCAATTCGGCCTGAAATGAAAGAAATCCTGTTGAACAAAGAATTGATTGCAATCGATCAAGATCCATTGGGCATTATGGCATCATTGGTCATTCAAGTAAGTTTGTGTTAATGTCGTTGATTTATTTATCGATTATTAATTTATCATTTATTTTTCCGAATTAATCATCAAAGAAATCAAACTGGCAAACACAAGTGTGGACAAAGAAATTATCACCGATGAATAATAATGAATTGAATCCATGGGCTATTCTTTATTTTAATGGCCATCAATTAGGACCAGATTCATATGTAAATTATTTTGCATAATAAAAAAAACAAACAAAATGAATCTATAATTAATCTATTTTTAATTTTTTAACAGATGTCATATAAATTATCATCGCTCATACCGGAATTAAATCAAACGATTAGCTATGATGTGCATGATCTTTTCAATTCAAATGATTCCTATCTGGGTAAATTGAAACCAAATCAACAACTAGAATTATTGGTTCCAACAGCTGGAAGTGTACGATTAGTTAAATTGATTCCAAAAATTTGAAATTAATTTTCAATTTTATTTTATAAGTCAGTTTAAAACCGAATTAAAAAATTTATTATATAATTGATATTCAATGAACAAAAAAATAAAATTCAAAAATCCTTGCCAATTCATTATCACACCAGATGGCAATATTATTCTACCCGAATTTCGTATAAAGGAGGGTATAGATCCTATAGTATAGAGAAAAAAAGTACCCGCCCGTTAATGTTCAGAAAAAATTGGTGCAACTATAGCGCCACCTTTGGTTGCCGGATCGGTTCGGTGAGAGGATCAAATAGTATATCTGTGCAAAGAGTGTGTGTGAAAACGTTGTGAGCACTGACTCTCTGTCTGCTGCTGCTGTCTATGGTATACTAATGTTCGAATCATCTATAAATTGAATCGTGTCGTCAAACTCTTCGTCGAGTTCTTCGATGTTCTTGTTTGGTTTTTTTTGTATTTCTTGTTTGTTGTTCATCATCATCGTTTTCTTCCCTATTTTTTTTTGATCGTTTCGTCAGCATCGTTTTTTCTGTTGTTTAATACAAAGAAAAACGATTGTATATGTGGCTAGTATACAATATATATAATCTTTTTATGATCATCATTTGTGTTTGTGTGTGTGTAACAAACAAGCACATATAGATGTATTTATTGTATGAAAATTAAATCAAATATATAATATTATAAAAACAATATTTTGCCATCATCATCTTCATCTTCGTTATCGTTGTGTTTGTGTGCCACAAATCCATTTTTTCTTCTCAGTCAAAAGATTTGCTAATTGCTTTTATTCGAATTGAATTTGCCGATTATTTATTTCATTTGATTTGATTTTTTACATTTTTATGTTGATTGATTGATGATAATTAATTTTTACCGGAAATAAATTAACAACAACGAATGAATTGAAAATGAATGAAAATTGTCAAGCATATCAATGTGTTAATGTTTATCAAACATCGGCTACATCGGAAAATTTGAGTAGGCATGAAATGCTCAATTGGGTAGATGGATCGCTAGAGGCCGATTTTAAAAAAGTTGAAGAATTATGTTCGGGTAAGTTTAAAATTGATTAAATTTAAATTATTTGTTAAATTTTAATTTAAAGGTGCCGCTTATTGTCAATTCATGGACATGCTATTTCCTGGTTCTATTCAATTGAAAAAAGTCAAATTTCGTACCAATCTGGAACATGAATATATACAGAATTTTAAATTATTACAAGCAGCATTCAAAAAAGTTGGCTGTGATAAGGTATGTTTGTTTAATTATTTGTGAAAAATTTGAAAGAAAATCACATTTCTGTAATCATGCAATATATTGGATTTTATAGGAAGTAATGATCAACAAATTGGTCAAAGGACGATTTCAAGATAATTTTGAATTTTTGCAATGGTTTAAGAAATTTTTCGATGCCAATTATGATGGACGTGTTTATAATCCGTATGAAGCACGTGGACGACAACCAATGGGTTCAGCTGTGAATGGTCCAAATCATGCCAGTAATCGAGCAATGATCAATAAACCGGCTGTGCCATCACAAACACGTGCATTTGCTCCGGCCAATAAAATTGCCCAATCATCCACACGACCATCTGGCTATTCAAATAATGTACGCAAAAATGATCTAGATTCGGACGTAAAAAAATTGGATGAAAAGGTATGAAAAAATCATATCATTAAATAATCTGATAATTTTATTATAATTTCTTAAAGATGAACGAATTATCATTGCTTAATGATACATTGGCACGCGAACGAAATTTTTATTTCAGTAAATTACGTGAAATTGAAGTTCTATGTCAAAATGAATCCACCAATGAAGCTGAAAAAGAGATTAAGGATCAGATATTGAATATTCTTTATGCAGTGGAAGATGGATTTACATCGCCAACTGCTATAGCCGGAGAGGAATATGATGATCAATTGGCTGCTGAAGGAGAGTATTGAATATTTCCTATTTCATTTCATTTCATTTCACGAGCCGAAACAACATCCATTCAACACAACCCGATTCATAATTTGAGGCAATTTTTTCGTATAATCTGGAATGAAACAAAGTCCGGATTTAATGATACATTTTTTTACTATATGATTTGATTACTTAACTCTTCACCTTTTATCAGACACACATACACACACACACACTTACAAAAAATGATTGATTCATTTATTTTTCTCTTGACTCATTACCAATTAATTCGTTTTATAGATAAAAATATTTAAAAATACAACAATAATTTCATTTTTTATTTATAAATATAACGTATACGAAAACAAAGTGCCTGATACATTCGCCGCACAATGCGATCACAATTGTGAATTAATGATAATCGTATTAGAAATGGATAAAGATAATGACGAATTAATTTTATTGCTTCACGACGCCGTCCTTGTTGACACCAACTATGACTAAGATAGATTAAACAACGAGCTATGAGATTAGGATCACCATAAATTAACGATAATTTCATCTGTTTCCATGAAATTGTTTCGGCTTCATGAGCAAATCGCAGATTTCGGTCACCAAGTGATGAATAAGCACCGCCTAATGTTGATAACCATGATAATGATTCTTCCAATTCCATTCGAAGTATAGCAAAATATTGTATTCGTCGACACCAATCGATGTCAATGATAATAGATGATATTAGATTTAAATCATTTACCCGACATTTGATTAATAAATCAAAATAATTTTCATCGAATGATGAATATTTTGTGATTGATTCAAGATTTTTTCGTACATTATTTCGATACACTGAGTAATTATCAAAACAATAAAGAAAATATATTAATTGAGCAATGTGATCACAATCGATTCGACATCGAATCCATCGATTATTGGTGATTATATTTTCATTGTCTTTGAACCGGTATGATAATTTTAATCCGGATAAAAATCCATCATCAATATCGATGTTTTTGTGACATGATAATTTTGAAATCAATAGAATCGACACGATTTGTTTTGGCATGATAATCGAATGATGATGATGATATAAAAACAAAAACTATAATAAAAAACATGTTGGCAATTCTAATTGATAATTATATCGACAGATGGCAGGCACTGTAATTTTTTTTTGTTTGATGAGCCATGAGTTGTTTGCACATTTGAATCATCGACGAATGTTTTTCTGACAAAAAATTTCTTGCATCTTTTTTCATCAAAATGCCCCCAAAACGAAAAAAGACTGAAGCTGCAAAGAATTCCAATATCAAAAAGCTACAAAAATTATCGGCAGATGAACAACGAGAAAAAGAAGAGTCATCATCCATGTCAACAAATGTAGATGAAAGTATGATGAAACCATTCAATTTGAAAATCATATCCTGGAATGTAAATGGAATTCGTGCTGCAATGAAAAATGGCATTTTAAATTTTCTTAATTCTGAATCATGTGACATTTTGGCTATTCAAGAAACCAAATGTAATGACAAAACATTTCCATCTGAATTGAAAAATTGGCCGAATTTTCCATATAAATATTATGTTTCATCCAAACAAGATGGATATGCAGGTGTTGCATTATTCTCGAAACGAAAACCATTATCCGTTGAATATGGTATTGGTAAACCGGAATTCGATGATGAAGGTCGAATCATTACAGCTGTCTATGATAATTTTATACTTGTCAATGCTTATGTTGTGAACGCTGGACAAGGATTGAAACGATTAGATTTCAAATTACAATTTGATCAAGATTTTCGTGAATATCTACAGAAATTGGATGAACAGAAACCCGTTATTCTATGTGGCGATCTAAATTGTGCACATAAAGAAATTGATTTAGAGAATCCAAAAACCAATACAAAAACGGCCGGTTTTACACCAGAAGAACGTGCCGATTTCGATCGTTTACTTGATGCTGGTTTTATCGATTCATTTCGTGTGTTGTATCCAAATCAACATAAATGTTATACATATTGGGGATATCGTTTTAATTGTCGTGCTAAAGATATTGGTTGGCGTCTAGATTATTTCCTTCTCTCGGAGCGAATAATGGCCAATTTAATTGATAATCGTATATTTAAACATGTTATGGGTAGTGATCATTGTCCTATTGCTCTATACATGAACATGTCCGATTCAGATGATGATGACGATGAATAAAACTGAATTTTTGCATTCTGATCATTAAATAAAATTGTAATAAATAAAAAATAAATAAATCAATTTCGCGCCCATCAAAACATATGACAAATCAATCTATCATAAAAAGCGCATGTCCATTATCAATTCAAAACGGAAAAAAAAACACTGAGGAGGGAGTAGTGGTGAAAAACATTAAAATAAAAATAAAAAAAATTTACATGCGCAGAACCATCACAATCTGTGAATGATGATGATCACTGTGTGTATACGTGCCATGCAGGCAGGCAAGCAGCCAACAAAAAAAAACAGGACCAGTTAATGGGCAATTCGAATTGAAAAAAAAGTGAAAAAATAAAATCCACCGATAGGGGGATACACTGTCGATCGGATAGGGCCATATACACACACACAATACATATACAACCATTTGGGATAGCAAAATGAAAAAAAATGATGTCGAACTCTGTGTATATTATTATGATCTCTATGTGTGTAAATGTGTGTTGTGTATCGTTGAAATTTTTTATTTCTGATATTCAATCCAATTCAACAATTTTGCTGTCTCTATAATTTTATTTGATTTCTTTTTTTGGTGTTTAGTTGTGTGGATGTAGTTTCCTATTTTTTTTTTTGTTGTTGTTGTTGTTGATGATTTTTCTGCGGTTGTTTTCGTTGTTATTGTTGTAGTTTGGCTCAATTTGGATTGTCTTAACATCATCATCATCATTATCATCATCATTACCCGATGTGTGAGTTTCGAGATTCAGAATTATCACAATTATATTTTTTTTCTCTTTTCGATAAATATTAGATGTTCATCAAATGTTTGAAGAATCTAATATAAGCAGCAACAAAAACAATACATTGAACATTTTACAAGATATATTAATGATCAATACAAGAAGGAAATACTTCAATTATCCATTTAGATTCATCTATCTTTTATCCAGCTAAATTTATTTAATATATTATTATTAATATATCATCATTGATACATTTACACTGATTCAAGTTTCAGAAAAAAAGAAATGAGTAAATGACCAGGTATGTTTTTTCATTCATTTATTCATTTATTCATTCGTTTTTCATTTTCATTTTAGAATCATTTTTATTAAATGATTATATTGTTTATTGAAAAAATACAGCTAAATAAATGCGGTTATCATGTCTTCATCTGCGACAGTTTCGAATCCCGTTCCTCCACCACCACCTACAACCACTACGCAACCATCACCACAAACATTAGTGAAAAATGATCTGAAACAAATTGGCATCTGTTTACCTTCGAATACACAAATGGAAATTGCTAATACAGCTAATTCATCAACAGGCCAATCATTAAATCTGTCATATTCAAATGCAACAAAAAATGTTGTTACTAATAGTACAAATAATTTCTATACAACTGCAACAACAGCAGGACAATTTCAAATGAGTTCCCTTAGTGTTATGGTGGCAAAACTGAATCCAGCACGACAACAGACGGTCATCCTACAGCCACGTATCAATACAACTCGTGGAGCTACGTTACAGATACAGAATTCAGTTCGCAATTCATCGGGAAATTCATTACCAAATTCTCAGACAATATCGACGTCACTTTCATCATCAAATTCATCATCGATCTCGGTACGAACGAGAGTAATTGGTGGTCAAGGCAATCATGCCAGTACGACAATACCATTGTCAAATCTTTCAGCTGTAGCTGCATCATCGAACACTACTACTAGCGGATCATCGAATACATCGTCAAATGTGACGACAAATTCAATGAAACAGATGCTTACTGGTCAGAAATTTATAACTGCAAGCAATGTCGAAACAGTGAATCTAATGATTTCCAATCCGAATGAAGTTCGTAATCTGAAAACAAATGTACAGAATAATGAAATCAAATCCTTGTACAAGATAAATGGCCCAAAACAATTGACTGGTTCAACAACAGCAACGGCTGCTTTGGTCACAGCACAAACCACACCGAAAATGATCAGTATAAACAATGCGTCTGGACATCAATCATGTGCAGCGACAACTACACGTTTTGGCATATTAAGCAGTAATGCTAATGCCAAATCAGCTGTAATTAATTTGCCAAAAAATTTTATCATAACACCAACGGGAGCTTCCGGTATTGCCAATATGGTTAGCATTAGTTCGGCAAATTTTCCCGCCAATCGAATACCACTTTCTAGACAGCATACAGTAACGACAACATTATCGGCTATTCAGTCATCCAATTCGACATTACCATCTACAACGACGACGACAACAGCAACAGTAACAGCAAAACCAACACCGACAACAATATACACAGTGAATACAACTAATCAGACTGCAGCAAATGTATTAAATAATCCGAATATTATCACAACATTACAGCCGATTATGACTAATCAACAACAATCGAATAGTCATCAAACATCGAATATTATATCGACTTCAAGTACGACATCTTCGATTGCTATTGCCAATAATAATAATAATAATACGACAAAACAAGCAATGAATATTCAAACAATCAATAGTATATCGCCGATAAAATCAACGACAATCAATTTGTCATTTCCAATACATCACCATCAATCTATGACACCGAGTTCACCTAGACCTAGGATATTGAGTCGAAAACGGACGATAACCGAAACACCAACAACGATCACGATCAAACCGAATAATATTAATAGTAATAATAATACGACAAACGGATCATTAGCATTTGTTACAACAGCAACTGCTGCCAATAATCCATCATCAACGACAAAAAATCAACAGCTTCCAAACATAACGAATGATAAATCCATTATTAATGTAAACATTCTAGATACGAATAAAATCGAAACTAACAACAACAAAAGCAGCAGTAACAACAACAACAACATTGTTCAAAATAGTCAAAATTATATCGAAATTAATAATAATTTGACACCGAGGAAAAAACCTCGTAAACAATTGTTGGAACCTTCATCATCGATAAGCAATAGAAATAAATTTATCACCGGTTCATCATCATCTACTATTGTCATTCATCAGCCATTAAATAATGATCAACATCAAAATCATCATCAATTGTTAGTCAATAATCATAATAACAATGAACAGCAACAATTATGTTTGAAAAAAACTGAATGTAAAGATATACAACAACCGAAATTAATGCACATAAAGAAACCTCGTTTATCAATTATAAATTATCATTCGAATGGTAAATTGCCTCAATTTTCCAGTTATAATGATGTAAAACCAAAAAATGATAAAAAACTAACATTACAAGATTTATTGAATGATGTACGTAAACAGAATGAGTGGAAAGATATTATTCTAACGGACCAATGTAAAAAATTGGCCGATGATGAAGAATCATTTACGCTCAAACGATTAGAATTATTATTATCCACATTGGAAAATGAAATAAGTCCATTTTCTAAATGTGCAGCAATGACGACATTATATGATGAGATTGATAATCAGCCACCACCACCACAACAACAACAACAACGAACGTCAAAGATTAATTGTATCGATCGGAAATGTGTCCGTATCAATGATATAATCCGTGCAAACATACAAAGATCAAAAGTACTTTGTGAACATTTTATTGATTGTAATCAGATCATACATAGAGTGACCTATGAACATAAGGATAAGGTTACGAATCTCACAAAACGTTTGAATAACAAACGTAGTAGTAGTAGTTATTCGAAATGATTAAAAAAATATATTTTCATATAACCATCCATTCATCTGTTATTTGTCTATCCTTTTTTTTATCATCATCGTCATCATCATCATCATCATTCACCATCAATAAATTGTTCTCATTCAAAGATATTTGTTCATTTTCATTACACACACACAAACGTTGTTGACATGATTTTTTTATTCTTGATTCATTATCATTCATATCGAATTTAGATTTAAAAACCAACTTATGTTTATATATGATTCATGAATAATTGGTGATGATGATGATAATTTTCAAAACATTAACTATAGATATGAATGAATGAATAAAAAGACTATTATTTTCTTCTTATTACTCACACAAACACTTTTTAACCCTTTTTTTTCTCTCTTTGTAAAATAGTTCTGAATTGTTTTTGTCAACATATGTTCTTTTTTTTATTTGCTTTTTTTTGTAAATACATTTTTTTTCTATCACAGAAAAAATGGGCAATATTTTTGTCAATTTTCATTTTCCACTGTCGACATTGCTTTATTGATTTTTTTTGAGATTTTGAAATTATATGATAAAAATAATAAAATCCAATATATTAGTAACTTTTTTTCAGAAATGATTGTTTTTATTTTTTAGCGAAGATAATTTTAATTTCAATTTAATTTAAAAATAAAATTAATTTTTAAACAAGAATTGGCGCGCGCTTCTTTTGTACATAATTGAAAGTTTTCGCTATTTTTGTATATCGCTATTTTTGGCTTTCGCTATTATCCATCCATTCCACAATTAATATCCCAAATCGTATTTATCAAACTTGGTTTTTATGAATACGTCCTTTATGAATGGCTACCAATAAAAAGGTGTGGCTATTGTGAAAATTCTTAAAACAGCCAATCACGTTTGACCGTTGAAATTTTTAAATCCACCATTTAACAATTTTCACAAAATCTGTGTATAATTCATAGGGAGAACAGTGTGTACTCATCATAGTGTGTTAACTTTTTTTTTGATTTAAATCGATAGCATAACATGTTGTTTTTCTGTCAAAATTCTGTCAAATCAAAATAAAATTGGCATAATCATCAATCACAATGAAGAGATCGGGATCGGAAAAAAATGATTCCCATATTGTGTCCAAATCACCACGGTTACTAAATTCGGGTAATGATGAAATTGATTCACTCGAAATCAGAAATCAAATCAAAGTTTGTGTCCGTATTCGCCCATTGAAATCAATTGAATTGGAAAACAATACTAAATCAATAATCGAATTTATCGATAAATCAGCGCTTGTATTCGATCCATATAAAGAAGATAATCGATATGAATATCATGGAAAACGATATAAAGAAATTGGCAAAAAAGCGAATAAAAATTTAAAATTTAATTTTGATCGTGTTTTCAATAATGACGAAGATAATCTTACTGTTTATAGTGAAACTACAAAAAATTTGGTCACTTCTTTACTTGCTGGCTATAATTGTTCCGTGTTTGCATATGGCTCAACTGGTTCTGGTAAAACCCATACTATGCTTGGCTCATCAGATGATCCTGGTGTTGTTTTTTGCACCATCATGGACCTATACAAACATATTGAGGAAAAAAAAGATCGAAATCTTGAGCTGAAAATTTCCTATTTCGAAATCTATAATGAAGTTATTTATGATCTACTTGATCCAAAATCCGGCAAGCCATTATCTGTTCTAGAGAATGTTAATAAAAGTATTAACGTTCAAAATCTTTATGTTTATCAACCAAAAAATGCAGCAGATCTGATTGAACAGCTTGAATTTGGCAATAAAAATCGTAAACAACATCCAACCGATGCCAATTCCGAATCATCACGTTCACATGCCGTATTTCAGATTACATTACAACGTAAAGATTTTTCCAATGATCAAAGAATGGCTATTCAGGTTTCGAAAATGAGTTTAATCGATCTGGCTGGAAGTGAACGAGCAACGAATGCATATAAAACATATCGAAGTAATAGTTTACATCGTGAAGGCGGTAATATTAATAAATCATTACTATCATTGGGTAATTGTATTCATGCATTGACAAGTAAGAAGAAAAATGTCTACGTTCCATATCGTAGTTCGAAATTGACATTGATTTTACGTGATTCATTGGGTGGTAATTGTCAAACAGTAATGATTGCAACGGTTTCACCATCAGCAAATCAATATGAAGAAAGTCATAGTACATTGATTTATGCGGAACGAGCTCAAGGCATACAATTGAATGCCCATAAGAATAGTATATTGGTTGATGTTAAACCACGAGATTATAAATGTGTGAATGAAAATTTGTACAGAGAAAATGCTAAACTGCTTAAAATAAAAGAAGACCTTGAACAACAATTGGAAAAATATAAGAATCACGAGAAATTTGTTCCGGATAATCCAATCAATGCATCGATGGATTCATTGGCTAAATTAAATTCGGTCAAAGAGAATTTGGATCATCTTTTCGAACAACGTATCGAATTGCGTTCGGAACTTTTGAAATGTGAACATAATCTAAAATTGTTGGATGTAAGTATAAAAAAATTTGTGTTTGGAAAATTTTTTAAAATCCTTTTTTTTCTTTTCATAGTTTCGATCAGAATACCGTAAATATGAAAATGAACGATTAAAATTATTGAACATTCTCGGTGAAGAAAATCAATCTGACCATTCAAAAGGATTACATTCGATTTATGAGCAAACATCGTATTATTCAAACCTAAAATCATCGATCGAAAAAGAGGTGGAAGAAAACGAAAATAAAATAATGAAATTTGAAAATGATCTAATGGCCAACACCGATAACGATATGATTGTACAAACTTATTTTGAGAAAAATCATACTATTCTTGAAAAGAAAGAAATGAAATTCAATCGAGAACATCAACGAAAAATGATGAAAGAATTCTTTTCAAAATATTATGCATTTGAAGAATTTGATGGAGATTTTTTGGATTTCATTTATAAATATAAATCATATGATATATTGAATGATAAGGGAAAATTATCGGATGAAATGGATGAAAAATTTCGATCGATCGTGCATAAGATAAAAGGTAAAAAGAATGTCATATGGCGTGATGATATTGATCCAACATCTATAAACAGAATGAAAAAAATGTTACAACTTTTCTCATTGCCCGTTTATGATGTTACATTGAATAATACACCGGAAATTAAACGAAATTTAGTAGCCATACGTGATATAACACCACGTTTATTACGTCCAATACAGAATCGTAATGTAACACCTATACATATTGGACAAATGAATCATCAAAATCTTGGCAATACAATAAATATATCTCGTAATGTAGCTATTCATTCATCTGGACAAAAACAACAATCAATACACTATCGCGATAAACCATCACAACGTTATTATAATAATAATAATAATATTTCAAAATATTATAATCAATCACTAACATCAATAGATAATCATCATCAGCCATGGCCCCCATCATCTGTTGGCGGTGGTTCGCAACGAAAACAAAGACATGGCTATCGTAATAATAAATACAATTATAACGGTGGTGTTTCGAATTTTCAACAATCAAATTCACGACCGTCGGAAGATAATTTTGGTTATAATCAAAATATTCGACCTAGATTTCGTGTATAAATAATAATCTACAATGTACAACAAATTTCATCTGATTAGATAAAAACTACATTATGAATATCATATTCTCTACATTGATTAATGTTTTTAAATTAAGATTAAGATTTATTATCAATTGGGTTTAAATAATTTTCATTTTTAACCAAATAAAATATTCATTACGACTATCATTTATTTCTCATTATTGTCCGTATTACCAATCATTCAATCACAAAAAATAGTGAGCCAAAAATCGAATCCGGTTTACTCAAAAGTTGATTACTTTACAAGTAAATAAACCCCTATCCTTAAGTTGATTATCGATTTAATCACCAATCATTGGCGGCCAATCTAATTTAACTTCCTGTGAAAAATATGAATAAATTAATTTTTTCTCACATAATCTAAAAACATACCAAAACATCTAAACTGATAATATCCGCACGACAATTTCCCAATAACGAACTAATATTTGGTCGTGTACGACCAAAATCGGAATGGACAAATTCTTTTATATAGGTACCGGCTTCGGTAACGATAGAAATTACGAACATTTGCGATAAAAATTCTTTCCATTCAGGATTAATTAATTCATCAACATTTATTGGTCGAGCCGAAATCGAATGAACTGTACGATGACGATCAGATAGGGTACGTCTATGCAGAACACGTATCGGTGTTGTTTGACAGATGACCAAATCTTTAACCGAATTCAATATGATCATATCGGCCTCAGTGAACGATCTATCAATACAACAGATTGCCTGATATGTTTTCGATTTTTCTTGTTCACCTTGTTTCAGTAATTTCTGACTTTCATTTCGTGATACAAATTGTAGATCTCTTACTTTTACATCTTGATGCATTTGATTGATATATTCTTTGATTTTTGCAATGATATTATTATTATTATTATTTGACCACTGTGGATTAAAAATTTCAATCATAAATGGTCGACCAGTTCCTAACATTCGAACATCAACGTCTTCACGACCAGAGGAACTGAATTTAATATCATTATATTTAATGTAGGCATTGATTCCGGAGAAAATTTTCTCTTGTACAGAAGATTTGAAACGATTACCATCGTCGACAAACCATGGTGTTTGTGAAAGATTTCGAGATAATTTTAAATATCGACCAGCAATATAAATCGGTTCTCGACAAACTGAAACATCCAATGTACAAATTGTTTTGATCGGTATCAATTCAAATAATTCAAGAATTCGATTGTTTGAGGTTTCAAACAGACGAAATAAAGCTGCATGATTTATGGTTGATGAAGATTTAAATCTTTTTGGACTAGAAACATTTCGATGACATGTTTCCATTAGTGATTCGCATTCAATTTTCGATTGATGATGATCAAAATTCAATACAATCACATGATTACCCTTAGTCGAATGTTGAGCCTGAATAGCTTTTTCAATTGGAATGATAATAAATGTTTTGATTACATCTTTAACAGTGATTACATCCTCAGGGTTCAATTCGAATAATTTGCTAAAATAAAGATGTCTTAATGTAATTATGAATGGTTGATAGATGTGCAATTGAAATTCGTCGATGGAAAACATGGTCGATACATGGTCAGCGATTTCTTTAACTTTAATCATCATATATTCTACATTCAATAGATCAAGACACGATTGACATAGTTTGTTTTCATCATTAGTGAATATTTTTTTCAGAATGTTTAATAATATCTCATTGGACAAATGATTTTGACAATATGACCAAAGATCATTATGATCATTAACCTTGAATATATGACGAAAATTTGAATATCTTAAAATACATGTGAAACAAATATAAAGTGATTTAATTGAACAAAGTTTGATAATCTTTTCGATTAATTCTTGATTTAAAATCGAAGACATTTTATCTCGAATATTTGTTATTTAAAGATTCGCTATAGCAATATATATATGGAAAATTTACAACAAACATGTGACGTGAATGTTTTACGTAAATTTTCTCACGCCTTAATATGGCATGCTGGTTCGAGAATTTTAGAGTAGTTCTGTTGAAATTTGTTTTTGTTTTATTATTTCATCATTTTTATTAACAAAATGTCCCAATCATCACAATTAATGACACATCGAATTCGTTTCTTTCACTATGAACCAAAATCGATAAATTGTATTGATTTCAATGAAAAATTGGGTAAACTTGCTTTACTTCGACGATCGATACGTAAACATAAACCATCACAGAATGATATGCCAAGTATTATTGAAATATGGAATGTAAAACAAAAAGCCTGGTATCTTGAACAAACTATACATGAAGATCCTGATCAATCTAATCTATTGGAAAGTATTGCCTGGTCACGTTGTGGACGTCTTTTTTCTTGTGGACTTAATTCTTATCTAAATGAATATGATTTATTCAACGGTAGAATTGCCCGTTCATATTGTGTTCATTCTGATCCAGCATGGTGTATGACAATCGATTCGGATAATGAACTTATAGCCGTTGGTACTGAAAATGGTTTCATCTGTATATTCAAAATGTTTGATGATTGTTTACAATTTGAAAAAATTATGCCCAAAAATGATAATCGTATACTTTGTCTGCAATGGCATCATTATGATATGGATTCAACGAATTTATTTTTGATTGCTGGCAGTATTGATTTTGTAAAAATCTACAGCTATCGACAGGGAAAATGTATAGATTTCATTCGAATCGGCAATAATCGAATCGTTTGCTGGTGTTTAAGAGTCCTTAAAGATTTTACGATCATCACAGGCGATTCCAACGGTACCGTATCATTTTGGAATGGCAAAACAGTTACATTGATTCAATCATATAATTCACATCGTGCCGATATTTTAACATTATGCAATACGAATGATGAAGAAATTGTATTCGCTGCCGGTGTTGATCCGACTATCGTACAATTTCATCGTTGTTATGGTCCACAGATAACAACATGGGTTTGTTCACGTAAACGACGACCACATAATCATGATATACGTTCCATGTTGATTAACAAAAATCTATTGATTAGCGGCGGTATCGATAGTCTTTTGTCACAGATTTCTATCGATTCAAATGGTCATATAAGTTATCTGACAAATCTATTCCATAAATGTTCATTCACATCAAATGATCAAAATAATTTCATTGGATTAATGTATGATAAATTTATTCAAATTTGGCGTTTAGGTGATGCCGATCCTAGAAATGAAGCAAATTCAAAGGAATCATCAACGATGATTACACGGCTAAAACTTTCGGAAAAAGCAACAAAATTGTTGGATATTAAATCACGAAAACCAATCATTGCATTCGATATGAATTCCGAATGGATAATCTATGCTAGCTATCAAACATTCAAAGCTGTAACATGGTCTGAAGAAAGAATTGAAAAAATTAAAATTCTACATGATCCAATATCAAATATTTCGAATATTCGATTATTGAATAATGATCGTTTTGTAGTAAGTTATGGTTGTAATTTTGATATATTCGAATTGGATCGATTCGGTATCGTATTGGAATATTCGGGAATTTCATACGAACAAAAAAGAATCCATAGAATTCTATCATCCGAAAACAAAATGATTATATTGACTGCCGATAATTGCATTTCCATTTATGATCTGAATCATTCTAAATATGAATTATTGGGCACAATCACCAATATTGCTCATCAACCATGTGCATTAGCTATCGATAATCGAACGAAAAATCTAGCGGAAAAATTATGGTTATCATTTCCTAATTCATTGCTAATCGAATATGATCTAAATAATCGCCAACAATGTCAAACATTAATGTTGAATAAATTCAAATCGAATGAAAACAAAGAAAGCCGTAGTTTCAATGAACATTGGACAATTAAACAGATTGCATTTTCAAAAAATTCAATCCTATTAGCTGATGATAATAATCTTTATATGCTTAATATTGAACAACAACGTATGATTAAATGTGATAAATATCATCACATTATTGCTATGGCAAATATTCAACATCAAACACGAAAATGTCCAGATAATAATAATGATGATGATAATAAATCGAAAATCAATAATGATGATGATGATGATGATGATGATGATCTTGTCATCATAGAGGTCACAAATCAGATGATAATGGCTACATTACCACCATTGTTAGTAATGAAAACATATGGTGTATCATAGAAAAATTCATTTATTTTTTTTCTCATTTAATTTAATGAATAAAAAACTTTTCTTTCAATCTAAACAAAAGGCTTTATTTGGGTGATTTGATAATGATGCAAGCTAGAACATGAAAAAATGTATTTTTTTCTACTTGTTTTTATAGGAAATGAATGGTTTCTTTTTTTGGTATCACCGAAAAAAAAATCACGATGATGATGAGTGTTTTGTGTGAATCTTTTTCTCACATTCAATGGTATATATCTGTCAACCAGGAAAAAATATATCTAAGTGAGCATACTCTGAATATAATAATAATAAATAACCAGAAAGAAAAATAAGATTGGTTTCAGAGTCTGTGTGTGTATGACCAACAAATGCCGTTATGTTTGATATAACTACTGTTGTCCTCTTCTATGACATCCTAAACACACACACATAGTATAACCAAAATAAAGTGATTAATAATTGTAATGAATCGACAATTAAAACATCATTGAAATTAAATATATTGTAAAACAACATATAGAGTGTTGCTGTTGAATGGGACAAGCAATAAATGTGAAACAATGAAAATTTCCGTACATGAATTATTAAAAGAACTAATTGAGGTGGCAGAAAAATCGGCAGAAATATCAAGAATATGTCGTGATGATAATGATGGTCTATTCCGGATATTGATACAAGAAAAGACAAATATTGATAGCAAAAATCCACGTTTTCAACATGATTATAAAACATTTGCCGATGTTCTCATACAGGAAATGGCCAAATTTCGTCTGGAAGCTAAGGTTAGTTAATCGCTATTCAATTAATCAATAGTAATAATCTAATTGAATAATGAAAAAAAAAATAGTTTCCAGGATTTTCCAAACAAATCTATGGTGAAGAAAGTAATCATTTTCAAAATCAATTAGGACATGACATATCGATACAGATTGGACATGATCAACAAATTACCTATGAAATGTTTACACAAATTCTTGATTATAATACCAGTGTATCACGAAAATTAGTTCAGGTTATTTATTCATCATCATCGTCAACAACAAACAATATTGTCAATGATAACGATGATTCAATAAGTATTGAGCTATCGGATATTGCTGTATGGATCGATCCAATAGGTATGTGAAACTTTTTAATTACAAATGTTCAATGAATAATGATGAAATCTATAATTAATAACGTTAATTAGATTCAACATCTGAATATATAAAAGGCCAATGGAATAATTTATGTGATACAACACTAATACCAAAAGGTCTTCATTGTGTAACATGTTTATTTGGCGTATTCGATACAAGATCTGGTACGCCAATAATCGGTGTATGTAATCAACCATTTTATCGGAAATATAATGATGGCTCATATGAAGGAAGATATATTTGGGGCTATAATATTGATCATGTTTGTCGTAATAATATTGATCGATCAACAATCAAACCTCAATCGGATATCATTTTAATCGGTGGCAAAGAAAGTGCTGAATTAAAAAATAGAATCAATAGCTTTGCAAAAACAATGTATGTAGCTGGTGCTGGACATAAATTATTGAATGTAGCAATGGGAAAAGCTGATCTGTTGTTAACATCTTCAAAATCAACATATTATTGGGATACGTGTGCCATTCATGCTATTTTACGATCGATTGGTGGTGGAATCATACCGTTTGAAAATTTTATCCACATTAATGATTCTAACGATGATGACATTGATGAACAGTTGGAACATTTACAAATAAGATATAAGGAAAAAATAATGACCACCAAAAATATCGAATGTAATCATTCAAAGGGTCTGATCGCATACAGATCAATTGATACTGTACGTAAGACATTGAAACTTCTCAAGACATGATCAATTTTGTTGTTACTATTATTGTTGAATTTCTTTCTTTTGATGTTTATTGTTATTATTGACAAACAATATATTTAAATGTTGAAATAAATAAAAATGGGGCCATTATTAAATAATCCAATTTTATTCTTTAAAATTCCATTCCTGTCGACACATTGGACATTGTTGATGAACATTCTGTGAAGTTAACCATTTCATAATGCAATGAATATGAAAACAATGTGAACATTTTCCCCATACTACATAAAACCAATAATAAAAAAAGATGAAAATTTCATTAATTGTTTTGACAGCAACCCATCCTACCTAATGGACAATCATCGCCTGGCATTTTACATTCGGTACAACAGCCATCAAATGCATTACGACAAATACCACAATTATCATCATTGGCAATCCATTTCCAAATTGCAACCGCTTGCCAATCTATATTAATTAATTTAATTAAATTCGTTAGATTATTATTATTCATAGATTACAAAAATCGTAATTATACTAACTTTTAATTTTGACTTTCATTTTAGACCACGTGATTGGTATTTTCTAGTGGCTTTCAAACTTTCAATCAAAAGTGAAAATTAAAGTTGTGACTCGTTAATTTTTTTCTAAACACTACAATGCACATGTGCACAATGAAACGTTCTTTTTTGCCCGGCAATTTTTTTTGTGTGTGTTGAGTTTCATCATCGATGTTGTATTCTGAGTTTAGTTCAACATTTGTATTCGTTGTTCGTTGTATGATTATTTTCGATTTTCATCCATCAAAAAATGGAAACAGTTGATTTGCCTTATTTGGCAGAATATTCCAAAAGTGGTCGTGCCAAATGTAAACGATGTAAACAAATAATCGATAAAGATGTTCTTCGTTTGGCTGTAATGGTTCAATCACCATTCTTCGATGGTCGACAACCGAATTGGCATCATTTTGATTGTTTCTTTAATCGTTATCATCCTAAAAATGTTGGTGAGATCAAAAATTTTGAAATTTTGAAATTTGATGATCAAAAAATGATTGAAAAAATGCTGACGAAAGAAGCAACCGTCGAAATAAAAGGCAACCGAAAACGTAAAGTTGATGTGAATGTTTCTCAAGATTTTTTTGTTGAGTATTCGAAATCAAGTCAATCTCGTTGTATTGGCTGTCAAGAAAAAATTGAAAAAAATGAAATGCGTATTGGAAAAATGGATCATGATAGCGAAGATGCCAGACGTATCGGGCCATTTAAACGTTGGTTTCATGTTGATTGTTTTCGAAATGATTATGATGAACTTGGCTTCATGTTGCCTGTTGAATCTTTAAATGGCTTTGACAAAATGAAAGCAGCCGATCAAAAAAAGTTACAAAAGAAAATTCCAACCCCAAGTAATGCTGTGAAAAAACAATCAAAAATTGAAGACAATGAAAAGCAATCAAAAGTCGAAAATAATGGTGTTGAAAAAAAATCTCAAAATAATGTAGAAAACAAATTGAAAAAACAATCGAATTTGATTTATCACAACTTGGAAATGGTAAAAAATTTGACAAAAACACAGATTAATTCATTTTTTGAAGCAAATGAAGTGGAAGAACATAATATTCCCGAAAATTTTACACGTCGAAAAGAATTTCTAGCCGATGCATTGGTATTCGGATGGCCCGAAAAATGTGATAAATGTGGAGGATGTTTTATTTTCAAAGTTTGCCGTTATGTTTGCCGTGGTCATTATGACGAATGGACTCACTGTACTAATGAGATTGAAAATCCTTCACGATCTGCTGTTAAATTTCCTGATGATAAAATACGTGATCGATTCGAATATAAATTTGTAAAACGTAAACGTTTAATTGACGAAAAGTTTAAAAGTGAATTTCAACAAAATTTCTTTGAGAATCAAATGAAACAGTCGCAAGTTAAAAATGAATCAAGTGATAACGAAGAACAAGAAAAAGGTATATTGGCCGGTTTCACCATTACGTATTTGGGAAAGGAGAAATTGAAATTTGTCAAAGAGAAAATTGAAAAATTAGGCGGTAAATATAGAAAAGATATCAATCAAACTATACTCTGTGTCATTTCGAGTGAAAATCATTGGAACAGCTCGCGAAGAACTAAGAACATCAAAACAATCGAAGAATTGAATATTCCAGTTGTAACGGACGATTTTCTTACAAACCTATCGAATCCTGCAAATTCCTTACAAAAAGCAATGATAGATTCAAAAATAACATTGTGGAACCTTGATGAGAATGAAATTAATCAACGTTTGGACAAGTTAAATTCTCTTAATAATATCAAATCTGCATTCAAATCTGGTTCAGGTATGGTTATCTATGAATATTTATCATTATCATTTTAATTTTAACGAATATTTTTTTTTAGGTAATAGTCAATCCAAAAGTCAAAAAATTGTGATTAAAGATGGAATTGCCGTATATCCAGAAACTGAACTCCAGGACAGAGCTCATGTTTACAAAAATGGAGACGACATTTATAATGTTGTTCTTAATTTGGTCGATCATAAAACAAATAAAAATTCATACTATAAAATGCAATTGCTTCAAGATGATCAAAATAATAAATTATTTTGGCTTTTCAAATCATGGGGACGTATAGGTACTGACATTGGCAAAACCAAACTTGACGATTTTTACGGTCCCGTTGAAGCTGTTGCTGCTTTCAAACAAACTTATTATGAACGTACTCGAAATAAATGGTCCGATCGACATCAGTTTATTAAACATACAAATTCGTATTATCCCGTCGATATAGATTATGGTGGCAAGGAAGACGCATTAAAAGTGATAAAAGTAGAAGAATCGAAATCATTATTGCCTTTACCGGTTAAAGAACTTATTGCTTTGCTTTTTGACATTCAGAATATGAAACGAACTATGATGGAATTTGAATTGGATCTTGAAAAAATGCCTCTGGGTAAATTATCGAAGGAAAGAATCCTCGAAGCTTGTGCTACATTGAAATATATATCCCATCTACTGGAGCAAAATCCGATTCCTCAAAACGAATTGGTTGGAGCTTGTAACAAATTCTACAGTTTTGTTCCACATAATTTTGGTTTAGAAAAACCACCGTTGATTATGTCACAGAATGTGGTGGCAAAGAAAAACGAAATGCTCGAATCATTGATGGAAATGGAATTGGCTTATGAAATCATTAGCAATCCGAATAGCGACAAAAATGAAGATGTGATCGATTCGAATTATAGAAAATTGAAGGCCGAAATCGTACCAATCGATCGAAATGATGATGATTTTGAATTAATCCAAAAATATATCCAAAATACTCATGCAAAAACACATAATATTTATACATTGGATATAATCAATATTTTCCGTCTAAATCGAGAAGGCGAGGCCGAACGATTCGCCAAATACGCTGATAATCCAAATCGAATGCTTTTATGGCATGGTTCACGTTTAACCAACTTTGCCGGAATTATTTCACAAGGTTTGCGAATCGCGCCTAAAGAAGCTCCTGTGACTGGTTACATGTTTGGCAAAGGTGTTTATTTTGCTGATAGTGTTTCGAAAAGTGCCAATTATTGTTACACATCATATGATAATTCTATTGGCTTATTGGCTTTAAGTGAAGTTGCCATTGGAAATAGTAGGGAATTGGCCCATGCTGAATATGTAACCAAATTGGCTAACAAATATCAATCGGTCAAAGGTATTGGACGATCGTATCCAAATCCCGAAGAAATTATCATCACTGAGGATGGTATAAAAGTGCCTGTTGGTAAATTGATTGATAATAATAAAGCTAAGAATACTTCATTGCTTTATAATGAATATATTGTCTATAATGAAGAACAAATCAAGATGAAATATTTGGTTCAAGTACAATTCAATTATAAACATCTTTTCTGAATTGATCTCATCATCATCAGAAATTTTGAAATATATACATCATATAATATTGAAACTATATTTAAACTAACAATAATATAACCATTTTTATTGTTTCAACATTCGTATTATTATTATTAATATTGTATATTCGAATAAAAAAATAACATTTGATTCATTCAAACATCTGTCCATATAATGAAAGACGAATAAAAAATGATTGTGAAGGACATTTTAATATTTCATAATCATCATAATAATGATGATCATGATGAATTGTTTGCTCGTTATTTTTATTATCTGATTCGAATGTATGATGATCATCACTATCATTTTCGTTGATAATAGTTTGGATCACCATAGTTGATGTATTGATCATGATCGAATTTGGTTTGATTTCAATGGAAGACTTTGAAGGAATGGTGGAATGAACTCTTATTGATTGTTCATCATTCGAAATGAATGGAGAATTATTATTGATGATTGTTTGACTACAATGAGTTTCGTTTTCGGTTTTGAGCACAAAAATTGGCGTTTGGATGGAATTCGTTGATTCAGGTTCATTCGTGTACCAGGAAATTTTCTGGCTGAAACTTGCCTCTAATTTAGCTTGGCTATTTTCGTCTTGATGTTCGGTTTTCGTTGCCAACAATATTTGGCCATCGGAATGATTTTCTTGAGATGTCGTGATAATAGAGGAACTTGTTGATGTTGGTGTAGTAGTTTGTACCACATCGACATATTCTACATATTTTTCGATAGAAATTGTATCAGATGAATGCAACAACTTTTCATTTCTTGTGATTGGTTTGCGAATGTACAAATCATAGAGATCAACTTCATCTTCGAAAAAATCTAACTCGCGGCCATAAAATCGATTGCAACAGGTTAAAGATGAGATATCAATAGGATGAGCTTCTGTATTGAAAACATATCCACCGGATTCGACCACACAGCTATGTTTGCTTTTAAAATTTTGATTATTTTTGAGTTCAATCATCGTTCCAAATGAACCCATCTCATTAATGAAATTATCCTCATCGAACAACAGAAATAAATATTTCAATGTTTCAGCAAGAAAAAATGATTCCATTCGATCTTCGATTGTATGGTCGGATACGCTTTTTATTGTCGCATAGCCACAATCAGTACGAGCAGAATAATATATAGAATTTATAACATCGGCACCAATGGTAAGAAGATGATCATCTTTTGTGGCACGATACAAATAATAAACACTTTCGATGAATTCTGGTCGAAGTGGATATCCTTCTCTTTTATGGTGTTTTCCATGTACAATATCATAAAATTCAGGAACAAAACCATATTGTTTCCATACTTGATGATAATTGTACAATGATTTTTTCGCCTGATCAAGGTCACCCATCAAAGTTAATAATCCAGGAAAAAAAGCTTCAAGCGATTGAAATATAGGCATAGTTGCGGAACCGGTGGCCATGCTAACCCAAATGAACCAATCATTTTTTCTTAAATAATTTTTAATTAAATCATAATCATCTATTTTTCCAATATAAAATCAGAACTGATAAATCATATTAATAAACATTATGAAATTAGTTACTTACAATTGAACACTTCCATTAAACTAGGCATTTGTAATAGCATGGAACCTTTGACTAAATATTCAAAATAAGAATCTACACCGGCTCCAATACCGGCATCAGTAGCGGTCCATTTTCCATCCTGTACATTAATATGATTACCTAAGAGACCAATTTTTGAACGATGCCTTTGCAAAGCTTCTAAGGCATTAAGTGCTGTTTCCTCAAAAATTGGATCACCAGTCAAACGACTTAATGTTCCGAATTCGACAATAAAAGTTCCAACACCAGCCGTACATGTAATGGGAGTTTCATTTTCAGGTACACCATAAAGAAAATTAATTGTACCATATGGCATTCCCGTTGATGTATTGAACGCTATTAAAATGAAGAAAAAATCTAAATCAAAAATTCAATCAAAAATATTGTTAAATTTTATATACCTGGAATTAATTTTCTTGCCACTTTCTCGGCTAATCTAAGTAGTGGACCTGAACAAGGCCAACCATCTTCAATTTGGAATTCAGTACGTCTAGAGAGAAGATGGGCTGACAAAAGACCACCAACAACTAAATTAATTAACGACAAATAATTATAAATTGACAAAATGATCCAGAAAAAAAACAAACAAACCTCGAATGTTTGTTTCAAAAACCGAAACATTTGTATTTGTTTCAAAATCAGCCGTATCAATAACATGCTGAGCTATACGCCTAAATTCCGTATGATTATCTACGATGGCTAACATATCTAAAGCATCGATCAAAGAAAGTGAGAATGTTCCCCAGGTGTTCATTCCCGAACAACTGATTGGCATTAATTCATCATATTCGATTGCATTATCGACATAACTGTTGTAAGCTTCATAAAACATTGCGAGAACTTTCTCTCTATTAAAAACAAGTATAAATAATTAAATTTTTAAAATACTTTTTAAATAAAATTTATTACTTGTATGCAATTCTTTCATTTTTCGAAAATGGAATAAGCCGGTTTTGTGAATGTTTCAATAAATGTAAAAACGCAAACAATCCAATAATTAACAGATGGATTCTATTTGAAGTGATCATAATATTCTAGCAGAATTGAATTCATTTGAGGAATGATTTCGATAAATTCAAGATTAGCGATTCAATTGTGATTTTCGCCTCAATTTTGGATTTCAAAATAAACAAAAAAACACTAATAAACATTGTCTATGAATGGATTAGCCTTTGCCAATACAATAGTCGTGTGTGTTTCCTGTGTTTGGCCACGCGTGTGTGTTTTGCTCGCTCTGTTTCACAAAATTTTTTGCTTATTTTTTTTCATTTGGTTTTTGCAGAGTTTCGCCAATTAAATATCCAAAAAAATGGGTAAAATTATGAAACCTGGTAAAGTGGTTCTTCTGTTAGCTGGTAAATATTCTGGCCGAAAAGCCGTGATATTGAAAAATCAAGATGAAGGCACCAATGCAAAAAGTTATGGCCATGCTTTGGTTGCTGGAATCGATAGATATCCAAGACCTGTTACCCGAAGAATGGGCAAGAAGAAACGTGCCAAGAGAAGCCGTATTAAGCCATTCCTTAAAGTGGTCAACTATAACCACATGATGCCAACACGGTATGATTTTTTTTTGTTAATAAAACCAATCGGAATTTTCATGTCAAATTTTCCCTAAAATCATTAGATACATTGTCGAAATGGCTTTAGAAAAGGTCGATGCAAAAGAAATTGTCAAAGACCAAGCTGCACGAAGGAAAGCTCGTCAAGAGGTCCGTAGTAAAATGGAAGAACGTTACAAGTCTGGCAAAAACAAATGGTTTTTCACTAAACTTCGTTTCTAAAATATCCATCAAAAGTAATCATAAAATAAAATCTCATTATTTCACTACACATTAAATTCTAGCCAAAGATTAGAAATTTTACTGCTGTTCACATTCTGATTATTTTAAAAAATGAATGAAAATTTTTATTTAAATATGAGGCTTTTATTAGTAACATTTTTTTAGTTATTCAAATGTGTTTCACAATTTATTAATAATATTTTAATTTTTTTTTCAGTTGCGTATTCGGGGATAAAAAATTAAATTTTTTTCTTTTATAAATACCAAATGAGAATCAATTCATATCATAATATTATTTGAGATATTGTTTAATGGTGGCATTAAGTTGTTGAGATTTGGTTGAATCACGAATTTGTTTGAGTAGATTAGCAATCGATGCTCGATATAGCATTCGATTCGGTGATTTAGATGAAAAAACTTTCGATTCTTCTTGTAATACCATCTGTTCAATGGTTGAATCGGTGAAATTGTTCGAATTATTCACATGATGTAGATGAATTTTAATTTCTGCAATCATTTTATCACGAAACATTTGCCTTGTAGCATCATCGATCGAATCTTTTTTTGTTGTATTTTGATTCTTTTCTGATGGATGTTGATTTCTGTCCGATTTTTCATTTTTACCTGAACTTTTTTTTATAGCTGTTTCCAACACTATCGTCGAGGCACTTTTAAACGTTGATTTCGGTGGTGGTATGGTAGTTTTTCGTTTTTTAAATTCCTCTTTAACAGTATCGATGGCTCGATTTTCTTTTTTCTTTCGAAATTCATCTTGATCTTTGGTTTCATCGAGTTTGGGTAGAAAAAAACTATCATCATCTTCATTATTTGTCCGCTGACTGTTGAATAAATTTTTCATTCGAATGGCTTGAAATTTTTCGAATCGTTTTTGAACTGTACGAGGATCACAACATATATCACAACAGGAACCACAGCCACGATTGACAATGTTTTCATCACCTACAAATTCCGACAATATAAACGAATGACGGCATTTTTGAAAATTTTCACAATATCCAATCATTTTTTCAAAATTTTTCATTGTAATTTCATAGTCATAAGAGTCTTTACCACCATGTTTGACAGATGATTTAAAAGTTTTTCTCTTCTCAATATCTTGTCTAATCAGATATGCAATTGCATCACGATCATCAGTGGAATAATAAATTCGACATATGGATGGCAATCCATCACGACCAGCTCTACCGGATTCTTGATAATAACCGGTCAATGATTGAGGTAGATTCCAATGAATGACGAAACGAACCTGAGCTTTATCGACGCCCATACCGAAACTGATTGTTGCGGCGATACATTTGATTACACCTTTCATCCATTTTTCTTGACATTCCCGTCGTTTGTTGGCCGTAAGACCGGCATGATAAGCATGGGCTTTTATACCAGCTCTGGATATAAAATTGGCAATCTCTTCACATTGTTCACGGGTACGACAATAAATGATACCCACATTTTCATCTTTATTTTCATTATTATTGGCAGCCTTTGATAATTTTGCAGCTTTATCAAATATACTTTCAGTTGTTGACATTTTGTTAAACAAATTTTGATCATTTGATCCTAATTCTTTAATGACAAAATTTTTCAAATCTTCAAGAGTTTTATTTGTTGAGTCTTTATAATGTACATCATAATGTAAATTGGATCGAAAATTTGACATGATATATTTATCAACAGGTTGTCGAAATTTCAGAATTGTGATAATATCATTCATAACTTTGGATGATGCCGTAGCTGTTAAAGCCATCCAAGGCACTGAAGGATGGTTTGATTTAAGTACGCCCAATTTCAGATAAGATGGCCGAAAATCATGTCCCCATTGTGAAACACAATGAGCTTCATCAACAACAAATCTAGCCAATTGATTTGTTCGAACTAAATGATTCATGACTTCATTGAAAAATGTTGAGGCAGCCATCTCTGGCGTTATATACAACAATCTAATTGATACATTTGCCGATATTAAATCTTTTTTAATCCTTTGTTTTTCGGCATCACTAGTTTGAGAGTTAAAACTTTCGCACGCAATTCCAAGTTTACGTAGATTAGAAACTTGATTTGAAATCAAAGCCAATAACGGTGATATGACCATAGTTATTTTAGTATTATCAAAAACTGCTGGCAATTGAAAACATAATGATTTACCAGCACCGGTTGGCATTGAAACAAATATATCACTTTTACCTTCGATAGCTTTTTTGATTGCCGATTCTTGAGAAGTGTTTCGAAATGAACGATGACCAAAAACAATTTCTAATACTTCTTTGGCATTCGAATATGATTTCGATGGATTTATCATCTTGATTGGATATGATTCCGATATGGATGAATCGATTTCGTTTGTTGCACCATCATTGTCATTAGAATCAAAATCAACGATTGATAGTTGATAACTTGTACTAGATGTAAATTCCAATTTTTTTCGTTTTGCTTTATTTTTATTCATTGATTGTGATGATTTTTTATGAAAAGAAAAATCGCTTGAATTATTCGGTCTTTTGGCCAGTCCATTCAAACCACCATTAGTTTTTTGAAAAAAATCAGTTATTTTTGTTTTTGAAAATGACATAATGTTACGAATTGAACTCAAAATAATTTCATATGATTGGCGGCTGAACAATCAGTTAGTCACCTATTACAACTGCAAATCTAAATTGACCTTGTATGTTAAATAGACGAAAAAAAATCATTTATTCTATTTAAACTTTAAAAAAAAAAAATTATGGAGACAAATTCAAAGATGGTTACCATAACCGTTGATCATTTGAAATTTTATTTCAATAACAAAACAATATTGGAACTTGATTATTATCGTTGTGTTTATTGTATCAATTTTTGATCGTTAATCAAAACGGTTTCCTTGATCGTGTTCTATTGATAATATTTTTTTAAAAAATATTTCTATTCAAATCGATTAAAAAATGTCTTTTTTTTCGTTTAATAATTTTAGATATAACTAAAATAGAAAATTCAAAATCATTCATTCATTCATACGTTGATACTGTTATGAATAACGAGTTTTTTTTCGACAATTTCATGACTCTTATTTCTTCGCCGTGTCTATGGCTGTGTGTATTGTGTGGTTATTTGATTTCTATGTATGTATGTGTATTATAAAATGTATGTATATCTCTATGGTGTTTTTTTTTCCATTTTCATTTAATGTATATTTTGTGTATTGTGTGTTTGTGTGTGTATATTATATACTCGATGCCCAGCATTTCTCTATATCTCTGCCCCTATATATCATAGACATTCTCAAATCGTTTGTTGTAAAAAAAAAGTTGTATTTGTGTGTGTGTGTTTATACCATTTCCACATAGTATTGAATCTGAATAAAAAATCAATATCAATGATCAAACAATAATTAGAATAAATAAAAATAAAAATAAAATTTTGTCAACAAATGTTTTTTGTCTTAATTATTTTTTAAATTTCAAATTCTAATCAATTTCAATTTTTTTTGCACTGATTCTGCCTTTTTATTGAACATTTGGTCAACATCTACATTTGATTCATTAAGCTGCAGATATAAATTGTTATAGAATAAAATAAATATATGATAAGTGTAAGTGTTTAAACGTTTGAGTCATTGAATTGACATGGATTTTTTATTTTTTTTCTAGTTTATCAAGAAAAAATGGTCAAAAAAAGATCGTTTGCAAATAAAACCGTTTCAGGATCATCATCAACACCGAATATTAAACCGGAGGATAGAAAAACACTTGAAGATGATTTAAATTTATTGGATCATTCGGTCATAAGAGAACCGATTAATGTTGGTATTAAAAATGTACATCAGATCATTACCTGTATAAGTGATGGAACTAAAGAGATTAAAGATCTTATTCTAAATGAATGTAATATCATTTATGAGTGTCGTGTTTGTCGTAATCTGTTTCGAAGTTTGGCCAATTTTCTTGCACATAAACGATTGTATTGTAAAGAACATTGCTGTGAAAAAATGGTTCTATTCGATCAGGATTGGTTTACTAAAAAGCAAGAGAAATTAATTGAACATGAAGCCGATTCTCTTGATTCTGAATCGGCATCAAAAATGAGCAATCCTTTATTGGATGAAAATTTGAATATTAATCATAAAGTAACATCAAATGAAAACTTTGTCAAAACTACTACCTGTGATAAAAGCACATATGTTGATGAAACAATCTTGAAACGTTATATAGAAACATCTGGTTTGATTACTACCGAAGAAAGAATTGTGAAAAAGAAACGTATTGAAAATTTGGTGAGTAAATTAAATTCAACAACGACAGCTAAGCCTATTGTGGATTCCTCAATAGAACATGTAATTACAAAGAATACAGAATCGGTCAAAGATTCATTCACTACCGAAGATACTGATGAGTTTAAAACTATCGTCAAAAACAATAAAAATGGAAAACAAATTGAGAATGAATTCACAGCATTTTTTAAAACAATATTTGCTGTCAAAATTGATTTCATTTGTGAATATTGTGATGTTGGTTGTACATATCTTTCTTCAGCGATTCGACATTTGATGAATATTCATGATATGTCTCGTATTTCAGCAAAAAAGTTTTTGATTGATTTTGGAAAAGAACATGGATTTTCCATGAAAGAGGAACCAAACGATGATTGTTGTTCAAGAAAAACGGATGAAACTAAAATTGAACCGGTAATTAAAATTGAAAATCAAAATGATGATTTTGAGATTATTGAAACGACAAATTGTCATCATTTACCAAGTGGAAATTTGAATTCACCAAATGAAACGAATAATAATCATAATATTTCAGAATCCAACGAAAATCGAACCACCGTTAAGAATAAACGATATGAAACACGATGTTCGATTCGAAAAAAATGTTTTTACGATTGTAATTCTCAATCATGTTTTTTCTCCAAACATTGTCCGAAAACGATTATTAACAATGATAAATCGATTCAAAATCATGTTCCAGATAAAGAAATTGATATTGAAATCAATAATGATCATGAATCAAAAAGTAATGGAATGATGATTAATGATAATTTTCAACCACCACTATCATCATCACCATTATCATCTGCGTCTAATTCGGATCCTATTGATCCTTTGTCTATATCTGTTAAAAAACGAACACAAAATCTTTGCGATCGTATAAAAAAGAAGAAAATGAGAAAAATTAAGGAATTTATCCCAATTCTTAATGAACATAATAATGAATCGAAAACTTGTGATAACAATGAATCACAACAAGAAACGGAAAAGTTAAATTTCAAACCAACGTCTACGGTCATATCACAATCATTATCATCTTCATCATCTTCATTTGGTGATAGTAATTCAAATGGCTTTGAAAATTTTCATAACGATAACAAGGACATTTCCGAGGATTCCAGTTTATCGAATCTTCAAAATAATAATAATAATAGTGTTGATAGTTTAGATTTTAATTTGCGAAAAATTCATTCGCAAAATATTATTAGAGCAAAAATTTTTGATGATGAAATTGAACCAGTTGTTGAATCTACTCATTCACCATTGATAACGAAATTATCGTTACGAAAATTTGATCCGGATCATCATCATCATCACAAAAGTATGTTTTCTATAATTTTTTATTTACCAATTTACAATTGTCAACTAATTTAATTACTTTATTATTCATTCAGATCCACAAAAAGAATCAAGATTAAAACTTCATCTAAGGACAACTGGTTCGAAAAAATGCTATCAAATTGTCGATACTTGAAATGGAGTTGTGTTCGATTTTTTTCCATTACCCTTTATTCTACTGATAAAAATCTGTGATTTTTTAATGAATTTTTTTTTCATCTTAAGTTTTGTTCTTGATCTATTTTAATATTTTTTTTTTTCTGATGTACTCTTTAATTGTTATTCATATTATTCTATTATATTAATTTTATTGGAATAAAAATCATTCTTTTTGAAAATGTAACAATTCTTTGAAAGAATAAATGAAACGCCATCTATTGATCATGAAATGAAGATCATTTGTTTTATTTTGGTTTATTTATTTATATTCCGAACGAAATTCGATCACACACAATGTGCGTTTCATATAATAATAATCATCATCATTTAAAATCATTGATCGTAAATATAAATTAATTAATCACCACAAGTAATTTATTTCATCATTTTTTTTATTGAAACTTATCATATAAAATAATTATCAGAATATATTGTTTATACTTCAGATCATAAGCCACACACATCATCATCATATGTATGATTTCTTAAATGATAATTATTTACTATAAAAATATTTATGGATAAACTCCCATAACGAAAATGGATTCGTCTATGTTTGAGCCAAATTCAAATGAATTTACAAGCAAATGGCCTTATGTTGCCGGTTTGTTTGCATTGACGGCAATTTTTTTGTCATTATTTGAAATCTTTAAACACATGCAATATTATAATAAACCTTATCTTCAAAAATATATCGTTCGAATATTATGGATGGTTCCAATTTATGCTTTAAATTCGGTTCGTTTCATTATCTATTTTCGATATATTTGTAATAATTAATTAATTGAATTTACAGTGGTTAGCCATGTTTTTTCCACAAACCTCAATTTATATGGATACATTACGTGAATGTTATGAAGCATTCGTTATTTATTCATTCATGAAATATTTGTTCAATTTTCTACAAAATGATGTTGATGAATATGAAATTCTTGTCGATTGCAAGCCAAGTATTCCGAATAATTTTCCATTCTGCTTGTTACCACCATTACCTGGTGGTCGAAGATTCATTCAACTTGTACGACATGCAATGATTCAATACATCGTACTTCGACCAATAACAACATTTTTGGCCTTGTGCGTATATGATTTATCATGATCGAAAAATAATTAATTTTTTCCATGTTTCTAGGATTTTTCAAATTTTCGGCGTCTATGGAGAAGGACATTTTAGTTTGAATAATGGTTACATTTATCTGTTAATCATAAATAATTTTTCTCAAATGGTATTTATTTCTTAAAATATTAATTTAATTTAATTAATTTACAATAATTATTCTATTTTTTCCATGTCAAAGGTTGCCATGTATTTTCTAATCATGTTCTATCAAAATTATAAACGAGAACTTACACCTATGAGGCCATTGGGAAAATTTTTAAGCATTAAAGCTGTGATTTTTTTCTCTTTCTTGTAAGTCATTTTCCATACAATATAATTTTTTATTCATACTAATTGAAAAATTTCCAAACAGCCAAGGCGTAATATTGACTATATTGATATATTTGGGAATAATAACCAAATCCTTCATACCAAGTACTCCAGATATATCTACAAATGAAATGTCAAGAAATTTACAGGATTTTATTATCTGTTTCGAAATGTTAATTGCTGCAATTGCACATATTTTTGTCTTTTCACATAAACCATTTATTGATGAACAACGTCGAAGCAATCCAATGTTTTATTCGTTTTCCCGTATTGTAGACATGACCGATGAAAGGACAGATGTTGCCGATCATTTTAGACAGATAGGAAATCGAATGAAAAATATTTGGACATCTTCACAACAACAAAGTAACTATACAAACATTGAAAATTCAATCACAGCTCCTTTGATACCGATGCAAGTAAGGAAAAATTATGGCTCATCACGTGAAGGTTTTCAAAAAATTTGAATTGCAATTTTTTTTTGTAAAATTTTGTACTATATAAATGAAAAAAATATAAATTTTTATTATTATTATTATTTACAAATAGCTGAAAACATTTATTTAAGTCGATATATTTGAATGGGTTTGAATTCGAATGATATCGATAGTGGTTTTCGATTAATCGATTATAATATAGCTGTATGACTTGACAAAACTTTCGAGTCATTCATTCGATAGGCTTCATTTAAAATTAGGAAAATCGTTTGCTTTTGCTAGATTTTGAAAAAGTTTTTAAAATTTTTTTTCAAGATGGTAAGTTTTAAAAATTCGTTAAAATTAATTCAATTTTAAATCATCTATTCTAGAGTATTTTGGAATACAATGGTGGTATCGTTATTGCGATGAAAGGCAAAAATTGTGTTGCAATCGCTGCTGATCGTTGCTTGACAGTACAAATGCGTAACATTTCTATGGATTTTCAAAAAATATTTCAAGTTGATCCTCATATTTATATTGGTTTACCTGGTTTGGCTACCGATACGAAAACTGTTTCGCAAAGACTTAAATTCCGTGTCAATCTATATGAATTGCGTGAAAATCGTCGTATCAGACCTAAAACATTCTCTTCTATGGTATCTAATTTGTTATATGAACGACGATTCGGACCATATTTTGTTGAACCAATTATCGCTGGTATAGACATTAAAACTGGTCAACCATATGTTTCCTCTATGGATGTCATTGGCTGTACAACCGAACCAGAAGATTTTGTCGTTTCAGGAACTTGTGCTGAACAAGCTTTTGGTATGTGTGAAACACTTTGGAAACCAGACATGGAACCAGATGATCTTTTTGAGACTATTTCACAATCACTCATGTCTGCTTTTGATCGTAATGCTAGTTCCGGTTTTGGTGGTATTGTATATATTATCGAAAAAGATAAAGTAACAGTTAAAGCTCTTAAAACAAGAATGGATTAACGCTTTATATTATAATAATGATGATGATAATTTTAATTGAAATTCGAAGAAATAAAAAACATTTTTTTTATATATTTGTTTTATAATAAACAAGAGAATATTTTAATTTGACTATCAGCTCCACCGCTAACAATGAAATGTTCATTAGACCAATTAATTGACATTATTTTATCTTGATGTCCTAACAGATCGTACAATGGTGCTGATGGAGATCTAATATCCCATTGTTTAGCTGTTGAATCATAGCTTGCCGATACGAAAAGATTCGTATTAATTGATGACCAATCGACGGATGAAACCCAAGCATCATGTGAACTATAAACATTTTTTATTAATGATCCTTGATTTTGTCGTAGATCCCAAACACGAATATGTCGATCACAAGATGCCGTTATAATATGACCAGTTGATGGACAATATGCAACATCTAAGAATGATTTACTCGATGAGAATGATTGTTTTTGTTCACCAACTTCAATGTCCCAAATTTTCATCGTTTGATCTAATGACACAGTAAGGACTGTTGGTACTTGTTCATTCATCCAAACACAACTTGAAATTGATTCTTTATGTCCTTCTAATGTGATTGCTGGTGATCGCAATTTTTTCTTCGAAATATCTTTCATTTCAACATCATTATCGTCATCATAAATTTGATCAATGGTTGACCAAATTTTGAGCATATTATCATAAGAACCAGTAGCAATAAGATCTTTGTGTTGATCAACACAATCAACAGATCGACAATGACCAATATAAGTGAAAACATGATCAACTTGATTAAGTTTGGCATCCCAATTCCAGAGCATAGCAGTTTCATCATGAGAGCAAGTCACAAAGCTATATTTTTGATTTTTCTGCTCCAATTCATTACGAATCCATTTAACGGCTTTGATTGATGATGTATGTGGTGCTGGTATGGCAATTTCGTGGTGACCATTTTTGACATTCCATATGTGCGCCGAGCTATCATAACAACCGGACAGAATCCATTCATCAATCGTGTCAACGGAAGAGACCCAATCATTATGAAGGAATGATTTATGTGGCTTTGGAGGTTCACATTTGACAAAATATTCGATTTCAATCTGAATTTCGGTGCTAATATTTTCATTCTTAATGAATTCTTCGATAGTTTGACGTAAAAGTTTTCCATTAATTAAAAAATCAAATTCCACTTGTTTTAAATTAATTTTTTTGTTGCCATCTTTGATTAAGGCTTTAATTACATTGTCGAATTCTTTGGCCGTTGATGAACTTTTAATATTTATCGGAATCGATGGAATAGCATATTTTGATCTTTTGTAATAAAATTAACAATCAAATCATTTGAATCCATTTTTTCATAAAAATGTTCAAACAAAAAAATTGTGTTGAGAACTCAAAATTCGAAACACGTGAGGTTTTCCATTCCATTAGTTTGTCCATTCATAGATGTTATGATTGAATTTTCATGCATTGATTGAAAACATTGACATTTGTTTTTGTTTTAAATTTATTATTTTTTTCTGTAAATCTGTTGATAATCAATCACCGAAATCCGCTCCGCAACCGAAAATGGGACGTCGAATGAAATCAACCAAAAGTGGAAAATATATAAATCCAACGGATCAAGCTCGAAAAGAAGCTCGTAAACGTGAATTGAAAAAGGTTGTTACTTTGATTGAATCAATTTTTTATTAATAAAAATAAAAATCATTTTTTTAGAATAAAAAACAAAGATTGATTGTTCGTGTTGCCGTTCTAAAGGGAAAAGATCCATATCAAATTATATCGGATATGGAACGACTCGATCGAATGGAATATGATTTCTACAATCCTCCTGCGCTCAATGAAAAAGTGCTTAAAGATAAACGAAGAAAACTAAAAGAAACCTGGGATCGTTTATTAAGACTTTATGTAAGTATTATGGGTTTTAATATAAGTAGATTAATTTAAATTTGAAATTTTTTTTTGTACAATCAGATCAAAGAGGATAAAGATAAATACATGGAATTGAAACGAATGGAAGGTGATTATAATGCAAAACGAAATGAATTAGCTAAACAATATGAAGCAATCAAATCAGCACAAGAAGTTAATATTGAAGATATTCCTCTTCCTTCAGCTATTTCTTTACCTTCGGAATCATCGACAACAACACCGTCATTAGGTAAAGATATGATACCCCAATCAATATTGAAAAATACCAAAAATCGCACCAAACAACCACCACCACCCGGTTGTCCTCCTGGACTTCCACCGTCATTGAAAGAATTCATGGCCGAAAGTGATGATGAGGATGATGACGATAATGAGGATGATGTTGAAAAAATTGAATCTAATAATAAAAAAATCCGATTCTCAGATGAAGTTGATGATGAAAAAAATAAAAATGAAAGTGATTTGCATAAATTTCTTCAAGAAATCGAACAATTGTCCAGTGATAATAAACCAAAAGAAGCTGAACCGAATAAAAATATCATTAAAGATGTTCAAGTTGCTCCGAATAGCAGTATAATTTTGACCGGTTCTACTTTGATTCAGCCAGCACCTCAAATTCTTGTTCGACCAACACCACCACCTCCTCCTCCTGTTCAAGTCCAGATTCCACCTCAATTAATGCATACTCCTGGTCAGGTTTTACGAATGTCGGTGGCAACTCACAATAATCCCACAATTTTCAATCCATCAAATTATCATCAGAAAAAAGAAAAAACTAAACAATTAGCAACAATTGAAGCAAGGCCTCAACTTCGTAATCTTAGCGCCGATTCAACTAAATTCATGCCATTAGCATTGAGAGTTCGCCGTGATGAAAAACAAGCGCCACGAAAATCAATGGTCAAACCTGCTCGTATGTATGGTATGATTCACTCATTAGATACATCATCATCATCTACTACATTATCCAACAATGTCAAGGACAAGACTAATTCCAAGGATGACGCTTATGAACAATTTATGAAAGAAATGGGTGGTTTAATTTGATTAATCATTTTATTATAAACTAAAAAACCATTTAATCCATTTCCGGTCTTTGATTGTGAATGAATTGTTTGATGAATGAATGAAAGTCTACAGACCTGGAACAAAAAGATGGATAGAACATGGTGCAACAACTAATATACCAGGGGTGGCCAAGCTCCTTGATAGTAAGAGCCATTTTTCAAAATTTGAAATTTTTCGCGAGCCGCAATTAAATAAGTACACCCATACCTCGATATACGGCCCAGATATTAGTATTAACAAATTTTTTTTTACAAAAACATTTTTATTTATCAAAAACATAAATATGTATATTAAACACATTTATTTTGCCTGTGTTGCTAATTGTTTGAAATTTGGTAAATAATTTGTGGCAGAACTTCTCATCAATTCCTTCAAATGCTGATTTGTTAACATTGATCTGTGTTTTGATTTCACAAATTTTAATGTAGAATAAAAGGATTCGCATGTGTACGTTGTACCAAATATCGAAATAATTCGACAAGCAGCCTTTTTTAATTCAGGATACTTCGATTCTGGTACAAATTTCCAAAATTCAGTAATCGACGTCGACTTATATTTTAATTGTAGAGCTTGATCTTCTTGCATCTCTATTAATTCCAATTCTCCAGATTCTTGTTGAGTCATAATTATGTTGGAAATGGAAAATTCATCTTGAATTATGTTAATTGCAAATGGATTTAGAAAAAAATCAAGAAACGATTTAAAATATTTCAAGTCTTGAAATCTATTTTGGAATTCCGTCAATATTCCTTCTAGATTTTTTATATATTCGTTGAGTTTTTCTTGTTTAATATTGAAACCAATTTTTTTAATTCGATGAAAATGACAAAATGTTTTATTTTTGATGTCTTTTTGAAAAAGTTGTAATTTTGTTTGAAAACTAAATATACACTGTGAGAGGTCAGATATTATTTTATCTTTTCCCTGCAATTGTAAATTCAGTGTTTGCAAATGTTCCATGACATCAGTCAAAAACATTAAGTCTTGTAACCACTCGTCATCGTTTAATTCTGAATAGGTTATTTCCTTTTTTTTTAGAAATTCAGTTATCGGATCAAACAAATCAACAAATCGATTTAATATGTTGTAGCTAGATAACCATCTAACAATGCAAAAGAAATTAATGTCATTTGGAAGTTCTTGGTCATTTAATTCTTCAAGGAAATTTTTGAATTGTCGATGGTTTTTTGCATTGGTGCGAATATAATTGACAATGTGTAACACTGTTTTCATAACACCAGGATAATTTAAATATTTTGTAACGAGATGTTCTCGGTGAATTATGCAGTGAATTGGTATGAATTGTGGAATTTGAGAATCATTTCTTAAAAGCCCCATAAGACCGGTTTTTTTATCCAGCATTGCCGGAGCTCCATCAGTTGCAATGCTTACAAGTTTATTAAGAGGCACATCAAAAGTTTTCATCATGGAATCTAATGCATTTTTAATATCGACACCAGGGGTTGACTCTTGAAGTGCTACTAAATCTAATAATTCTTCAGGTGAAACAAAACGTATGAAAACTGCCAATTGCGGAATATCTGTGATATCTGTCGATTCGTCAAGGGCTAAGCTGAATGCAATACAGTTCTTCAAATCATTTTTTAAATTATTTTCAAGAGATGTATTAATTGCAGTTATGCGTCGTTCGGTTGTGTGTCTCGAGATGGGAATTTGCGAAAAAACTTTCTGCGATGCTACATTATTTGGATCTAAAACTTTAAGTACATCTTCCAAGTTTTTTTTAATAAACTCCCCTTCTCCATACGGGCGTTTTGCACGAGCAATATTCCAGGAAATAACAAAACCGGCTTCGGTCACATTATTAGCTTGATTGCTAAAGTTCATAAAAATTGACTGTTGTTTACTTAAATTTGATTTTAAAGATGCAAGTTTACATGATCTTAATTTGGAATTTGGTGGATACTGATTAGAAAACTGAGGATGATTGGTTTCATAATGTCGACGTAAATTGCTAGATTTATAATTTTTGATCGTATTATTACAGATAACACACAATGCTTTTTCATTATTATCAATAAAAAAAATTTTTCTTCCCACTCAGCGTTAAAAGTTCTGTTTTCATCTTCGTATTTTCTTTTCTTAAATTCGTTTGTCATATTTTTTGAGCTGGAAATAAATAAATTTGTCAAGCTAAAAACAATTTGGTTTTATTTCATTTATCACAATTTTAATGTTTTTACAAATACACATTCACTTCAACTGTCAAAACAACTGTCAAAACACAACTGTCGCGTTTTTTCCACACCTCGTTGTTCTACTCATACACGACTCTCTTCATAAATGTCGTGACACTTATAAAATACAAATGCGCAAACGATAGCTTCACATACTACGAGACAAATTATTGTTAACTTACGAGCCACAAATAATCATTCAAAGAGCCGCATGTGGTAAATATTAAATATAAATATACAATATCATAGCCGCACATACCCCTCTTTTTTCAGCGTATTGTTGCCACTGTGGCTCAGAGGCAGAGCATCGGTCTCGTAAACTTTCTAAAGTATAAACTTCCGTTTTCAGCTGAAATTCCTCTGTATTTTCCTATATTTCATAGGAAAATAAGGGGAAAAAATAGGAATTTCAGTTGGAAATTTATTTTAACTTGTTGTTGTTGTAGAAAAAACCGGGGGTCGAGAGTTCGAATCTCTCCAGTGGCTTTTTTTATTGATAATTGACCTATAATATGGATTCTATAAAAAATAAACTATATTTTATATAAACTCTAAATTATTATTATTGACTCTATAATATATGATAGAATTTCACTGTCACGTCCAATCATAGATGGCGTTATTGATCGTTGTAAAATTGTGTAAACAAAATTCGGTATTTTTTTTTGATAAAGACGAATACAGAATATCATTTTTCCGAAATGAACAACAATCAACGTGATGCTGATGATACGTTTGGTGTGATTCATTATTTCGGTCTTTCGAAAGATCAATGTCCATGTGGTTATTGTAAATCGAATCGAAATCCTGAAACCACTTACGGTAGGCTATGGTTTATTATGGTTCATTTAAAACGTTGTTGATTTTAATTATCACATTTAAATGCAAGGTCTTTGGGCTCATTATTTACCACCAAAAGTTTATCAGGGATTGATTGATCGTAACTGGAGACGATGTGGCAAATATATTTACAAACCGGTCAATACTGCCCTATGCTGTCCAATGTATACAATACGATGTGATGCAACAGATTTCAAATTGACTAAATCTCAAAAGAAAGCTATTAAAAAATTCAATAATTTCATTAAATATGATATTAAGCCAAATAATGAAAAAAGTAAAAATCCACCAGAATCAATGGACATTGAATCGGAAAGATTGAATATGGATAGCATCCATAAACAGATATCAGCCCAAACAATCAATAGGGAATGTATTGACCGAAACATTGATGAACGTGATGAAGAAACAATGAACAAAATTACCGATGAATCTGGTGAAGGAAAAAAGGAAAAATCTATTGTTTTTAATAATAATAGAATTAAATCTGAAATTAAGATGACCAAAAAGAAATATTTACGACGACAAAAACTGGTTGAAAAAATAATAAAACGTGAAAATTGTTCAGAAGAACGCGCTAAAGAGATATTATGGGAAAAAAGCTGCCGAAAACAAAAAACAAAAACATTGGAAGATTATCTTTCCGACATTGGTAATTCTACTGCTACGCTCAAACATACATTCAAGGTAAATGATATTTCATAACCAAAATAAAATTTTTCATATCATCTTTAGACCAGAATCATTCGTGTTAAATCCACATCCGATGATACGGATCGTACAGATTATGAAGTATTTAAAAAATATCAGATGAAAATACACAATGAAACGGAAAATGAAATAAGCTATCGAAGTTATTCTCGTTTCCTAATCGATTCACCACTTGATGTAAGTGTTTAATTTATTTTTTTTCATATTTCATAAAGTTATTTCTGCTTTTTCAGTATATATTGATGAAACAAAACTTTGCCAATGATCATGACTTACCACGATTCTTTGGTGCATATCATCAACATTATTATATTGATGATCAACTTGTAGCTGTTGGTGTGATTGACATATTGCCCGGTTGTATTTCCTCTGTTTATCTCTATTATGATCCTAAATACAGTTTTCTCAATCTTGGAGTATATTCCGCTTTAAAGTATGCGGCCTCGAATATCGATATACAGAGATATATACATTAATTTTTGTTTTTATTTGTTTTTTTTTGAAACAGTGAAATTGCAATGGTGCGGAAATTTAATAGAATTTTACCTGATTTGATATATTATTACATGGGCTATTATATTCATCAATGTCCAAAAATGCGTTACAAGGCCAAATATTTACCATCTGATTTATTATGTTCAGAAACCTATCGTTGGTTTAGTATTGAATCTTGTCTGAAAAAATTGGAACAAAATAAATATGCACGTTTTTGTGATGATGATGATCCAACCGTACAGGATGATGATGGCAATTCAATCAATGACTGTGATATTAGAGTTTTATTCAAAAATATGGTCTTGAATTATCGCGATTACAAACGATTAACCAAAAATAATGATCATGAACAAAAGGAAAAAATTTTCGAATATGTTCGTTTAGTTGGCCGTCAATGTTCATCATCATTGCTCTATTATATTGATTCGAATTGAAAATTTCTAGGTCATTTTAGATGAACGAATATAAGGATTACATTCTGTTATGATTATTTTGTGACAAGTTTAATTTCTTCAAATACAAAATTCTAATATCCCATTGATTTGATTATTGATTAATAAAAATTGTTTATTTTATAAATGACAAATCTATAAAATAATATAATCAATTATATACGACTAGATGAATGTTTTCTTTTTTCATTTTTATTATTGTTCGATTGAATATGAAATAAACAATTGACAATCTAAACAATGATATCCTCTTCATTATTGTTGACTTCAAGTGCAAATCGTTTTCCTTTGAATATTTTAGTTTTCAATGAAATTCCGTTGGTCATTTTGTTGTCCATCATTGGTATGTCTAAAAAATGTTCTTTTCGTTGCTGTTGTGATGTGAATTGAATAAAATTATCGTCAATATCATTGATAGTCTTGATGTTACCGTTCAGGTTTCCCTCATTCGTATTATCTTGTTGTTGTTGTATGTTCAGTAAAGTTCGATAACCCATCGGATATTTTGATTGCCATTTCCAACTATGAGCACACATATCTCTTAATGTCCATTTTGGTTTCCAGTTCAATTTGTTCTGTGCTTTTCCAATATCAGCCCACAATTCATCCACATCACCAGCACGTCTATTGCACATTTTATACGGTATGTTTACACCAGTGGATTCTTCAAACGCGGTGATTACCTGTAATAATAAATTTAAATTGTTATATATGAAAATTAATTCAAATCCAAAATCAAACTTGTTATTATAATGGTCATACATCTAATACTGAATATCCAGTACCAGCTCCAAAATTGTAGACATTCCAACCTGTCCACTCTTTTTTAAGAACATTTTCCAATGTTATTGAATGTCCAGCAGCTAGATCCATGATATGAATATAATCACGTACTCCGGTTCCATCGGCAGTTTTGAAATCATTGCCAAATACTCTAAGAAAAGGCTGTCGTCGTACAGCCACCTGTGATATGTATGGCATCAAATTATTTGGAATACCCTGAGGATCTTCACCAATTTCGCCGGATTCATGTGCACCAACTGGATTAAAATAACGTAATGATGCCACACACCAACCTTTTTCTGAGGCACATAGATCTTTTAATATTTCTTCGATAAAATATTTGGTCCGACCATAAGGATTTGTGCAACCATTTCCAGTTTGATGATTTTCATCGATTGGCAAATAATCTGGATGCCCATAAACAGTAGCTGATGATGAGAAAATGAATTTTTTAACACCAAATTTACGCATCACTTCCAACAGTATTATAGTTCCGCTAACATTGTTTCGATAATAATCCAAAGGTATTTTACATGATTCACCGACGGCTTTTAATGCTGCAAAATGCATGACAGCAACGAATCGATGTTTAGTGAATATTTCTTCCAATTTAGTCACATTGTTAATATCTTCTTTATAAAATTTCACTAATTGTCGGCCAGTAATTGATTGCACACGAATTAAACTTTCAGGCAAATTTTCACCACTCAATTGTATAGAATTAGAACAATTATCGATGACCACAACATCATAATTATTATTCAATAATTCAACAAGACAATGAGAACCAACATAACCGGCAGCACCGGTCACTAAAATTAATTTATTGTTCATTTTTACGATGAATTTTAAAAGAAAAAATAAAAATGTAGAAACTTTCCGATGCAATAACGTAAATCTTCAAGGTATTTTTGCGATGATAATGAAAAATCACAAATAATAGTTGGCAATAATAATTCGAATTTGACAAAAGCTAATGTTTAGGTTGTAGGCTATACGCCAATCAAAAATAAAAATTGCACTCTTAGGAGGTAAAAATCTTCTTATGTTTTTTTTCCATTAACCATTAGAAAATGCAAAGACCGAACAGTTCAAAAAGATGTTCAACATTGATGAACGGTTTGAATATATCAAGGAATGATTAATCTCAATGGCCTTTAACATCAAATTTTTTTTGAAATACTAACATTACTTACTTGCCAAACTGGTTTCTTCTGGTATCTTTTTTTTCTCTTTTTCTTGCTTTCAATTCATGATACAATAGGATATCTTTCAAATATGAAAAAAAAAATGAAAGTCGAAGAATTTTTTTTTCTGTTCTGTGTCCTATTCGATAAATGGAAATATAATTATATATTAAGGAAATGGATTCTTAATAGGATTTTTCGCTTTTTATCAGAAAAAAAATACAATGTTTCTATACATGTAACTCTAAATCAAAAAATTTAATTGATTCATTGATTGATTATAAACCATCATTTTTCATTGCATTTCACATATAGAGAACATATGAACGTAAAAACATGACTAATCAAATAGGCTTAATGGTGTGATCACATCAGAACGGAACAAATCGAATCGAATTTTATTTATTATTAATTGCAGAAAATCTAAACAAAAAAATCAACAAACAAACAAATGACGCAGCAGTTCATCAATATATTGTTTTGAAAATGCCAATTAATATCATGTGTCACGCCAAAAACACAAACATAAATGTTTTATATAGCCTGTTGCCTGTTAAATGGCAACGCCTATTTATTTATTATTTAGTAATTCGGGCCAAATGCTATGAATGGTAAAATTAAAATACAACAACCATTGTAATGTGTTTCACACAAACACACACACACAATCATCTTCCCATTCGAATAAAAAATTTGTAAATAAAAAAAAATGAAAAGTTTTATATAGCATTATATTTTGTTTATTATTATTATTATTATAAGAACATGTTTAAAAAATCTAATTACATATATAGAGATAATAAATAGATATAACAAAAACAAATAAACATGTATTGTTTGTTAAAATGATTAAATTCTTAAAAAAAAAATCTTTTACATTTGAAATGTTTTACCGCTCAATTGTTAATCACTATCATCCTCATCATCATCATCATCGTCACCATCATTATTCATTTCCAATTCTACTAATCAACTATAACGATATTCATTATAATCAGATTCTTTAAACCATGGGCCAAAATATGGAATATTATAGACAAATTCAAAACCAAGTACAGCCAGATATGAACCACACTGAAAATAAAACAAAAAGTCATTAGATACATTGACAAAGAAAACAATAATAATTAAACTTACCAAAAATAAAACGAAAAGAATGTAGAATATAAAGAATAAGAATAAAAATGTATAAACTAATATATGTGAAACAACATGATTGTGTACATAATCATAGACAAAATAAAGATTAATTGAAATCACTATCACAGATAGAATGGTGACCAATAATTTTGTCAATGGACCGTTAGCAAATTCACCCATCACTTTACGAGATGATGTAAATGTAAGCACAGGAAATAAGGCAAATGGCAATTGTAGGCTCATCAAAGCATTGAGAAGATCATTCATACGTGTTAATTGTGACATGCTTTGAAAAGCGATCAATAATGTGGGAATAATGGCAATTGTTCGTGTTAACAATACTCGTTTCCATCTTGACCAATGAAGATTTAAAAATCCTTCCATGACAAATTGGCCAGAATACGTTCCGGTCATAGTTGAAGACTGAAATTATTAATCAAAATCAATGTTTAATTTGCAAAAAAAAAATTCTTTTTTTTGAATCTAACCTGTCCGGAAGCAAAAATTCCGATTGCCCAAATGTAAAGAGCTTCCATTCCAAACGTACAGCCAAGAAATATACCAGCTTTATAGATATTAATTTCAACGTGATCGTTTGTATTGGGAAAAACTTTATCAGGCACCGTAGAATTTTGGCAGATTTTATTAATTTGTGAATTAGTCTTTCCATAAAGACCTTGAGCAAAGACAGATGTTACGGCAATATTAATTAACAATGAAGTGCCTAAAGCGATAGCCGATTCAATGAAAACATAACGATTAGCATCTTTGACTTCTTCCTTTTTTTGCCGATCGATTCGACGTGTTTTGACTAAAGCTGAATGTAGATATAAATTATGTGGCATTATGATTGCACCAATAATTCCAATTGCTTTTAGAACAGTATCTGAATCACAATTATGACAGCTGGGAATAACAAGCCCCTCTAAGACGCTCAATTCATCTGGTTTCATTATGTAATACTGATAACCAAATGTTATGGCCATTATTGTTCTGTGTGAATTATAAAATGATAATATATTTAATAAATAATTATTCTCTAATACATACATTAAGAAACCGAAAAATGCTTCTAATTTTCGAAGACCATACTTGTCCAGGAATAAGAATGTAAATGTATCAGAAATGGTAATCAATACTCCGATGAATAACGGAATCTTGCCATTTGAAAGTAGATACAATGATATGGCTGTTCCTATTACTTCTTGCATATCGGAACCAATGATGGCAATCTCGACCATTATCCAAAGTAAAATTCTCGGTAAAAAAGAATAACGACGATGACATAATTCGGCCAAATGTAGACCTGTAACAACTCCTAATCTGGCCGATAATCGTTGCATTATTAACCCCATTATCGTAGACCACATTAGAACCCATAATAAATAATATCTTGTTGCTGTTCCAGCTTGAAGATCAGATTCAATATTTCCTGGATCAAGATAAGCAATGGACATAAGAAATCCAGGACCAGTAAAAGTCCATAATCTTCGCCAGCTAAATGAATACTAATAAAAAAAAGTGATTATGGTTAGATTAATTTATAAATAACAATGAATAAGAATAAACTCACATCTTGTGCTGCTGGTATGGATACATATGAATGAAGATATGGATCAATCGTTTGACCAACGGTATCAACAGAATCATCATCATTGACTATTAAATGATTATCATTATCGCCAGCATCACTTATGAGACCATATTTAGTCACATTTGTATCCTTTTGCAAATGATCACCTTTCAAATTTTTGGAAAACAAAGTTTAATTTAATTCTATAAAAAAAATATTTAAAAAAAATTAATATACATACTTTCAAGCTGCGTTTGATTGTCGGAATCGGATCTTATCGCATTCGAAACAACATTCTCATTTGATGAAGATGAATTCATTATCTCCAATGGATGTAACTAGATTTAATTTAAATATGATAATAGATAGAGATAATATTCTTCAATAATAAGTTTATTTATAGCTATAGGAGTTTTTTTTAAAGATCTCGTTACAATCGTGTTTGATCAGCTGTGCTCACAATAATTTGATGTGATCCATTATTGTAATAATGATAATGTAATGAATAAATTCAGCGCACAATCAATGTTCATGATCATTTATACATGTACATTTAACATTATTTTATATATTATATTATTTAATCAATAACGTAAAATAAAGGATTTATTTCTTGAATTTGGTGGTTTTTTTTATTGTATCGAAAAGAATGAACTCAACATTGATTGATTGATAGACAGATACATGGATAAATTAAGGAATTGAAGATAAAAATAAATAACGGAAAAAAATAGATAAGAACAAACCTGATTATCACTTTGTGACATGATTATCATTCAATCATCCAATATATAGTTTATTGTCTAAAATGGCTTTTTAGTTTTTCTATGTTTATGTTATTTGATAAAAATCGGTTTTCGTATTTTTATATTTAATGTGTTTACGCGAGTACAAATGGTTATACACTTGCTGTGTTTTGATTATATTGGTTACAATGATGATGACGATGATGATAAGAAAAAAAACGTGTTTACTAAAAAACAAAACAGATTTTTTTTTTCACTATCTTATGTCAATGAACAAGTGCATTGTTTTCACTTGTATACACAGAATTATCTTGATGATTTTTTAATTTATTCTCTAAATATACAGAATTTCAAAAAAAATTGCAATTATTAAATTTAATAAATTCATGAATTCATTTTCATCACTCAAGTTGTCACCTGAACAAAGAATCAAAATCGAAAAATTTGTAGACACGTCATCATTAGAATCATTTTTTTGTAGAATTCGTGTATGATAAACAATGGTTGATAATAATGAAATGAAGAAATGAAATTATTTTCAACAAAATAATAATAAAGATTATGATGATGAAATGAAGCAAAAAAAACAATCAGCTGTTGCATATAAATAATTTATCAGACAGAAAAAAATGTTCCAAAACCAATACAGACACAATAAATGTATTCATGATAAGCAACACTTGCTCAACATGCTCCTAGCTGACTAGCAAGCTTCACCTCCAAATATGTGTTGTTTACAATTGAAAGAAAATTTTACAGAAAAATTTCACATATTGATTTTGATGGCGTGCATAACCGACAATCCATAAATGTCAGATATATGTTTCCTGTAATTATTTTATTTTATTAAAATTTGAAAGAAATAAAACAAAAAAAATATTTAGATTGTAGATTTTATTTCATTTTTTTTTTATTCTTTCCAAAACAAATGATTTATTTTTGTTCATGTTTATATATTTTGATTCATTTCGTTATGGTAACTTATGGAAACCAAATGAAATTAATTTCTTGTGTGTGAAATAAAATGATCTGATGATGATTTAATTATCATATATATACATGCAAAACAACGATAAATAATCAAAATATTAAGGCTAAAAGGAATTACAAGGTATTTGTGTTTTGTTTAAATTGTAACAAATTTTTCTTTGAAAGTTCTTTTTTTTTATACAAATTCTTCACCACCATTAATATCATAATGACCATTATTATCATTATTATTATAAGAAATATGTTTTGAACCATCATTGGAAAATACATCACCAATTACTGTGCTCAATAGATTAAAACGATTACATAGACCATTATTATTACATAGATGAAATTTTTCAATACAAATATAACGTATAATGATTAATGTAAAGAATATCACTGTTAAAAGGGACATTAAAAAAATCATATCGTTAAATATTGTTGTATTCACAGGATTTTTTGAACTAGATGTTGATAATATTGCTTGAAAAAGGCCAAACATTATAAGTAACATTAAACATGTTATCAATGAAATTGTTAAACAATTGAATGGTAATTTTACTTGACAACATTTACATGTATTCTCACACATTGGTGGTTCAGTTTCACCAATATAATTGGATGTTGCTGATGATTGATTGAAATTATCTGAACGATATCTATATTCACCGGTAATAAGATCATAATAACCCATCTGTGGTGATGAATATCGTCGTGCCATAAATGAATCACTAGTTTGTGAAAATTTTCGATTATATGGACTTGTATCCAAACGAATTGGTTCTGCTAAATACATTGGATTTGTTCGTTGATTAAATTGTTCATCATTATACATCATTGTATCATTGTATAAATAATGATTTTTGTTCACGGCCATAGTCGATAAATTGATTCAGATAAAAAATTGGAAAACAATTATTGAAGAAAAAATATTTTTTGTTCGAATCTTGATTTAAATAATGGAAATGATCAAATCCATTTTAACATGTTCAATTTTTTTTTACTAAAATAATCATTCTAGTTAATAATGATGATAATAAATGATGATATATTAGTGAATGAAAGGAATATGAAAAAACGACAATCGTAATGAAGCGAAACAAGAAATATTTCTCAAAAGTTTATTTTTATTTTCTGACATTGGTAAAACATTTTTGTTCTGGATCTAGTCATTTTATTCTTGTTCTTGTTCCAACCACTAGTTCCAGTTCATTTTTTCTAGTCTCCCTCTCATATCTTTGCGATCCTCCTTATTCTTTATTCCATATGTATGGTAGTCGATTTTTATTTTCTGTCAGTCATGACAAGTGAATAACAACAACAACAACAAAGATAGAATCCATTTTCTTTTTTTAGTTACATTTATTTTTTTAATGTCTATGATCATTTTTTATCAACAATTCCGGATTTTCCAGTTGTTCGTTCATCATCATCATCATCATTTCTCGTCATTGAATGCTTCTACGACCATCAACCACATTATGTTTGGATCAATTTTTCTATTTCTTTTTTTTTTTTTATTGCCCACAAAAAAAAACATTCATATGATCAAAAGAGGCTATACTATGTGTGTGATGATTATTGAATTTTTATAGAAGAAATAAATAAAGAATATCCATATAAAAAATTGTTCAAACACACACACACACACACACACGCGTAAATACAATTTAAAACAACAGAATTTTTTTTAACCATAATAATAATAATCGATTCAAATTTAGTTTTGTTATATTCTTGACTCAGCTATATATTTCTAATAAGATAAGAAAATATCTTCCAAGAAAAAAAAACAAGACCTTGAAGAATATATTGAATAATTCAATATTTATTCGGTTGATGATGATGATGATGATGGTGGTTCATTTTATCGGTTCGATTATTTTAGTCTAAATTTGTGACCAGGACAACAATAATAATTCATAAAATAAATTACATAGTTATTATGAAAGAAATATTTGTATTGAATTTCATTTATCATTTAATTTTTTTTTTTTTTTTTTTGATTCTCCAGTACCATAAAATGTCAATCATTGTCTTGGATTTTTTTTCTGGTTAAACGAAAATTCTATTTTGGATTGATTTTTTTTTTTGAATGAAAAACAAGAAAAAAATGTTTCATTATTTTTCAAAAGTGTTTGTTTATGTGGATATATATTCGATTTAAAGCAATACACAATCCATACCCGAGACAAATCATCATAAATCATTACTTGAAAATATAACACATAAACGGCATACACACACACACACACACATACAAAACAAATACGTAAAATGAATACTTTAGCAATAAGGGTGGATGAGAAAAATGGGCAACCACTTAAAGAATCTGGCCGAAATATAATCATTCATACATACAAGAAGAATGTTTATGTATGAATAATGATAGTCAAATGATGATGAACAATGCCCTTGAATGAATGAAACGCTGATCCATTCACAAAACAACAACAACAACGTTGTGAATGGGATGTGGAAAAGAAAAGTTCCAAAAAAAAAAATAACAAACCAATTGGCTCAGCAGCATCAGCAGTAGTAGTATTTGTGGAATTTCGTTTCAATATTACTATCATTCATTGTTGTTGTTGTTGTTGTTCATCTAGGATTATTCTCTCTGATCGAAAAAGGAGCATAGATGAATAGCAAAAGATTCAATAGAATAAAAATCGAATCCATTCATCATCATATATGAAGGATGTTGAATTGCTAAAAAAAATTCCTATGGTTTAAACTAATACAAACATTTGATTGTAATTGAATTATGAATGTGTAAATGGATAGATGCTAATGGATGATTATTATCATGAAGAATCAAAAAAAAAAATTGACACTACCACCACATATCCACACACACACACACACACATACAAGTGATCGAATTGGTTTTTTTTCTTTAAAAATTATCGTTAATATTCTTTATTATTATTCGGTAAATAATAAAATACATTTATTGTACGATTGTATTGTTATTTTTAGTTTTATATTAAAAAAAAAAATTTTATAACGATGAACCAAAAAAAAAAAAAAAAAGTTTGTTTACTGTAATGAGTGATTACGTTCGATTCGTTGTGAAAGATTTGGCGTTGACAATGAAATTCGTTGATTCGTCATCACTTGTGTGACTAATGAATATAATTTTGGCTCTTCATCCATACTTGTTGATGAATTTTGAGACTTAATCGAATTATGTCGTAAATTAATCGATTTATTCCATATACGTGAATTATTTGGTCCACGTCTGATTCGTCGTATTAAACTATAAATGGCATATAATATTGCTACAATTATCACACAGGAAAAAGGTAAACCAAATGCCAACAGAATATAATGCTGTTGGCGTGTGTCACGTTGACTTGATAATCGAGGCAAATTAATGAGCATTATAATGATGGCTATAGGAAGACCGATTACAATCGATGATAATAATAGACATGTCCACAATTCTCTACTCATACAGCATAATCTATTTGTGACAATTTCACTATTATTATCGTTGATGTGGTTATCATTATCATTAATCGTATTGTCATCATTATTATTATCATTATATACAATTGATTTTGTACGAATTTCAAATTCTTTGGATGGATAAGATTGTAGTGTTGTATCGACATTGTTCAAATCATGAATAATTCGATGGGCAGTCACCATTGATGATGGAATATTTAATCTGATAGAAGGGTTTCCAATAGAATCTATAAAAAACAATAATAATAATAATAATATACAATAAAAGAATCGATTAAAATCATATATATTACATTGTATTCTTTCATTCATTTTGTTGACTATCACATCACCTCAGGTTATATAATCCATTTTGGTTTATAAAAAAAAAGATATATGGATCTATCAAGACAAAAGACATGGTATTATCATTTTTCTTTGCCCTTTGAGCTTTTTATTTGATTATTCAAACAACATTAACGAATCGACATATTTGGTGGTAGTATAGATTTCGCGTAAAGCAAAACGAATAATAATATTTTGCTTTTTTCCTATCTATTGGGCGTTATGTGAATAAATATTTACATATTGAATTCAATATTTGTATTCAATATACAGAGTTGATTCTTTTCATTGAATTCATGCATGAATGATAATAATAATGGTATATATTAGGCTTTTTGACCAATTTCAACTGAAAGGTAAAGAAAAGAATTTTTTTTATCTATTCTATCAACTGGATACTTGTAACGAAAACAGAATTCTACATATTATGTATTCAAAAAAAAAAAAAAAAAATTAACTGAAAATACTACTATTAAGTATATTATATTCAATTCAAAGAAGAAATTTGATACAATTCAATTGAATTGATAAGATAAATTTGAATTACCATTAACGGCGGGAAGAGGGGATAAAATTTCAATCATTATTCATTATATACACATACCATTGATTTGCATTTCGATTTTCAACTAAACATTATTGAATAAAATGATACAATTCCAAAACTGATGATGATGATGATGATAATGATGATAATGATGACAATCGTTGATATTTTTTTTTTGTTATCGATGTGTTTGTGTGAATGAATAATTTGTTTCGATTATTATGATAGACAATCATGTGTAACAAAAAAATACGAATAATATAATCGAAAACATAAAAAGACATTTGAAAAATTCTGAAAGAATTTATACAACGATCAGCATCTAGATACATACACATAGCAAAAATAAAAAGATGAAGAGAATATTCTGATCAGGCTTACTTACTGTGAATTGACTTATTATTGTAAAGAATGAAAGAAATTTAGAAAAAAAATTTGCTATGCTGATGTTGTGTGTGTGTGTGTGTGTGTGTGTGCCATTGTATGAATGTCGGATATTGTTGTCGCATATAATATAAAATTGTATTATTGCACATCGACGCTTGTGAATTTTTTTTTATATCTATCCCAGTAATAGAGACCACACTCACATACACATCATATTGACCATATAGAACTTTGGGAATTTGTTCTACTCGATTTTTTTTCCTTTCTCTCTCTCCCTTTCACCCATTTCTCACATCATCATCTCACATTTCAGATAAAATCTATTGAAAAAAAGAAAACTTTATTGTATTGGTCATAGATATCTAGAGCGTCGCAGCTCAATAGTTCAATAGTTCTGATTAATCGATTTTTTCTCACTCACAACACACTTACACACACACACACACACACACACACACATAATCACGCGCTATTTCCTCTATCTTACATAATCTAAATCTTTGACAATGAAAAAGTTAAAAAGTGAAAAAAAAATCCAATTAAAGTAACAAACATTCTAAATGTTTGAAATTGATTAAAATTTTCTCAAATTTTAATTTCAATTCTTTCATTGGTTGAGACTTGAGAATGGGTGAATTCGTTTTTTTTTTCTTTCTGAAAATTTAACTTTCGTCTCAATCTTAACGATTAAATTGTGGCTATACAATCCGGGAATCAAATTAAACCTTAATTTTGGGTGTGTGTGTTTCGTTGATTTTTTACTGGTTTTATTTTATCAACGAATAAGAATAATAAATAAACTGTATATATGTATGTGGTCGCGCATATTCTTAATTCGTCTGTTCATATTTATATGAATCACACTGATTTACATATACACGATATGATGATCATCATTTATGATTGCATGTGATATATGATGATGATGTACGCAATGTAAAAAAAACAAGAATGGACAATTGATAATTTACGTAATAGGATTATGTGATATATATATAGAATTTATGTTATTACTTATGCATTACTTTTTGGCGAAAAACATTGATCAAAAAAGAATCAAACATAGTATTACATCCAGCTACTAAATCAAAAGTAAATCTCCATCTGACATCAGTGGAAGAAAAAAATAAATCAAGATCGAACCAGAAAAATGAAACATCAAATACTGAAAATCGATATCAGAAAAACTGGCGAAATCAAAATTCAAATCAACCAAGAAATAATCAAAACAATTCGAATCAAAATGCAAATAGACGAACAGGAAGCAATTTTGGTCAAAGCAGATGCTCTTTTTGTCAAGGACCACATCCTTCGTTTGTCTGTATTCTTCCAAAAGCTGACAAAAAGAAAGCTATTATCGAAAAAGGTGCCTGCTTAAAATGTTTCAAACAAAATCATCAAACACAAGACTGTTTCGCCAAAATTATATGCCAAATATGTCAAGGTCAACATTCATATTTAATTTGTGAGAAACCACCGGCATCCAATCAACAACAACCGATTCCATCCACCAGTGGAAATCCAGGTTCATCCAACGCTGGTCCCTCATCAAATGTAATTCGACCAAATTATGATCCATCAAATACCAATTTAACCAGATTGAAAACACCGGGACTCACAAGATTAAACATCTTGCTAAACAAAAAACCATTCGAAGCACTATTTGACAGTGGCTCAACCCACTGCTTCATAAATGAAGAACAAAGAAAATCATTGGGCCTCGAATGGGTGCAGCAAGGAAAACTTCCGGTTGGTCAAGCAAGCTCAACTTGTCTTGCTCTAGGCATTGTGAAAATTAAAATGCAAATTGGAGTGATGGTTCGAAATCATCTTTTCTATGTCATTCCCACAAAACATAAGGTCATCATTGGCGTAGATGCCATGGAAAAATATCGAATATATCGCGACCTAGATGGAAATATTATCCAGAAAATTAACAGTCGCTCATATCGACTTGACATCAGAAGAAATCCTGAAATTGAACTGAAAATCAATATTATTGAAGTAATAAATGAAGATGATGACAATGTAAAAACAAGTAAAAACAAGAATGGACAATTGATAATTTACGTAATAGGATTATGTGATATATATATAGAATTTATGTTATTACTTATGCATTACTTAAACCAAGAATTATTAATAAAGAATCTAAAAATAATTTGTTTATGAAATTATGTCTTGTTTACATATGAATATGAATTTTATTATTTTATGAATTATATTCCACATACAATTACAGATGATAAACAATTATACAATTACACAGAAATGAATTTATTGACAATCTGACGAGTTGATGATGATGAAAATCTGTTGATTCAGCTATATTTCATTGTATAGAAACTAATTGAAACATTTATTAAACTGAATATGATTCAAATGAAAATTTTGTTTTCAAATTAAAACCAAAAAAAAAAAAAAAATGAAAAAGAAGAAAAAATAATGAAATTTTAAATTCTTTTTTTTTGTTCAAATTAATATCAGAATCAATGTGAAATTCTTGCTGTTGTTGTTGTTGCTGAAGGGAAAAAAAAGTTTTATGTCTGATAATGGAAACAGAAAATGAAACATCATTCGGATTTTATCACAATTCTTATCTTTGTTTTGCTTGTTTGTTTTGTTTACTGTTATGATGATATAATAATATAAATAATCAGATTTAAAACAATAATATCAACACACGATAAAATTTTATCATCATTTCATTATCATTATTTTTCTTATATTAGTTATTAATGTATTAATATGTTTTGAATATTTACAAATAATTTTGTTTTTGTTTTTAGTTAAAAGTTTCGGGAAAAAAAAAATTAAACTTTTTCAAATCTTTACTATAATTCTTCTTGACTAGTTTGATGTGATGTTTCTTCCTGATTAGAACGTTCACTGCTTTCAAAACTTTCACTACTTTCATCAACGATTGTATTATTATCGGTATTAATATTTGGTTCATTATTATCCAGATGATTATTATCATGATCATGATTATGATTATGATGTTGATGATGATTGTGGCTATTAATAACTTTTGGTATTTCATCATTATTATCATCAATATTGACGCCATTGTTATCATTATCTTCAACATTTTCATTATCAACAAAATTGTCACCATTAGATCGTTCATGGTTATGTTTTGATATTAATTGTTTTTCTTTACAATGTTCTTTTGGTAAGATCACTTGCATTTGTGATGGATCAATTAAGGAATTTGGACATGTTTGCTGGTTGTGCGTATTAACACTTGGACAAAGTAATGCCATCTCATAGCTTGGAGGGCTATCTTCAATAATCAATGTATTGTCTGGTGCCAAAGCAACAACGGTACCTTCTTGAATTTGATAATAATATGGATGATGATAGGATCGTGTATTATAACAAATCAAACCACTTGGTGAATGTTGATGATTATGAAGATGATGATGTTGTTGTTGATGGTGATGAAGATGATGATGATGATGATGATCACTTTGTGGTGATTGATTTGGATCTAATGATGAATGATGAGCATTGGTTACAATAACTCGATTCATTATAGCACCATTATTATTCGGTGATAATGAATTATTATTATTATTGGCACTGATATTATAACCCGATGTGGTTGTTCCACCGATGGCAGCCGATTCTGAATCACAACTATCCGTCATTAATGAATTAATATTTGTGGGTGAATTGGATAGTATTTCTCGTTTATAAAATTTATAAAGCTATTTATATAAATAGATTAAACATAGATTACATTGAATGGATTTAGTTAAAATGACATAAATAAAAGAAAAATTGATCTAGAATCTAAAAAAAATAAATATGAATAAGTAAATACCTTATTCAGGATGACTGTGAAAAAGAATAATGCAAATGGAAAGACAAAAGCAACACAGAATATGACAAATGAATATATGGCATATTGATGTAGATTAGTTTTCTGCATCATAAACACACAGATCAATGTGGAAGTGATGGCAATGGGAAGTATCGTTATAACGATACCGGTAACTAAACGATTTGAACAACGACACCATTGACAACATCGTTTTGTTGATTGTGTTCCAGATCGTATCGTAGGATATTCACCAGATAAAAGTGTATTGGCAGCTGTACATGAATTACTAGTTATTTGTGATGCTGATGAAGGTGGTGGCTGTACATGATAATGATGTTGTTGTTGTTGTAAATGTGGATGATGTTGATGATGATAATGATGTCCAATTTCATGGCCATAAAAATGATGATGATGAGGATGGATAGCCAATGTCGCCGATGATGAAGACATGTGGCCGAATGAAAATGTGCTACAATGATCTATGGTTTTAAAATATTGAAAATTTTAATTAAAAAATTAATTTTTGAAAAAAAACTCAATGATTATTTACTTTTGGTTTGATTATGCCGATCTTCAATCGAATTCATTTAGCTCTATTTATGAAGTGTAGTAGGATTTTAGTTAAACAAAAATTATTTGGGTAGTAATTTCATTTCATTTCATTTCTAAATGAAATAAAATTCCATCAATGAATATGAAATAATCAATCAGTTGATCAACGTGATTTGAATGGATGGAATGAATATAAAAAAATTCATCGAATGAATGAATGTTAAAATGAGTATTTCATCAACAAAAATGATGACCATGCATCACGATGTGATTGATAAATCAAACATTACTGCTGTTCGATGATTTGCTATTGATGCTCGCTTTTGCGTTCATGGTGGACAAATTTTGGAATTGTTGTTTGTAAAAAGTGGATAAAATAATTACTTAGTAAGTATATTGTGAAGGATAAGAAATAAAAAATGATGACAATTTGTTTCATAATTTAATGCAAGATCCGAACATAGATATTAGTCAAAAAAAAAGAAGACAAGGACGAAGAAGAAAGAAAATCAAAAGAAAAAAAAATAATACACACAAACACTGTTAAAAACAGTAAAAGCAAAATATAACCACACTAGGAACAGGCAGTGGTGTATGTGTATGTTTTTTTTTTTTCATTATTAAAAACCTTTATAGATAGAATATATAGATTGTAAATTTTTTTTTGGGATTCTTTACCGCTCTCTACTACTCGGAACTAGCTCACACACACATACACTTTTTGTGTTTCAAAAGGAAATATATTTTTGTGTGTGTGTGTGTGTGTGCGATTGATGTTAGGTTACCATTTCATTCATTTATTTATTCTTTCGTTCGATTTTTTTTCCTATATATAAAAATATAACCGAAACAAACGGAGAAAAAAAATGAACAAAAACAAAAACCTAGAATGCAGAAAAATATATTTGAACTTCGAGCTTGAAAGTCTGTGTTTAAGAACTGCCAAAACACACATGAATACACACAAGCTATATAACAATGAATGAATGAATGAATGTATAGGGATGTAAGCAAATTTGAACACCCCCATTAAAAAAAAAAAAAGAAATATTGGTGTCAATCATTGTTGAATATTATTTTATGGAAAACCAAACATTTGCTTGATGATCTTCATAGATATTCCATTGGAACAACATTCACATAAACAAATGGATAAATTGTTATCGTTAATTTATTATAAGAATTATTATCAATCAATAAAATGGATATAGATTTTTCGGTCATATATTGATCGTTTTCATTTTCATAATTATCAATGAGACAAACAAATGAATTTTTTTTTTCGTTTTGTTTTTGTCTTGATTATCATGACAAATGCAAAATTCATTTTCCGAATGGATTATTATTATTATTATTTCTATTTATCCAAATGGAATTATTATATTATATATGAAATGACACCGTCAACTGTCAAATCAAAATTGGATCGAAATCGAAGACAATGTTTAGTGAATATTCATAAAGAGAGAGAGAGAGAGAAGATAATCAAATGGGATTGACGTTCGACAAGAAAAAATTACGATGAAGCAGCGAAAAAAAAACGAGAAAAAAAAATTCATCACTCGGCACGATCAATCATTCTACTGAATATTTCATATAATGAAAATGTCAATAAATGTTAGAATGAAAGTTTTCCAAAAAAAAAAAAAAACAATCATAATGATGATGATGATGATGACTATGACTTCAAGATGATTAATATACTTTTTTTTAGTTAATAAGAAAAAAAGTTTTATTCCCAAAAAAAAAGGAAACAAATTTTTTTTTCTTTCATCATTTTCGCAAACAAGAATCGATGATCAAGTCAAAAATCGATTGAATTGAATGAATACCATGCATGTAATAGATGGAAACACAAAAAAATACACACATATATTGTTTTTTGGCCTTTGGCAAAAAAATTGTTTATTTGTTTCATCAATCCTTTTGTGCTGGTTATTTGGTTGGATTGATGATGATGATGATATTAGTTTTTTTTGCTCTTACAATTCACAGTTGTATAGTCTGAAATTTTTCATATTAAAAGAATTAATAATCAAAAAAAAAAAAAAAAATGAACAATAGATTTTTTCTTGTTCTTGACATCTTGACGATAAAAGAGCACAACCCACTTGAAACAACAAACTTGGTTTTTATAGTATATCAAAATCTATCTAGATATCTCTGTGGGTTAAAAAAAATGTCTCTGTATGTGTATGTGTAATCATAATGCTGACAAATTAGATGTGCAAATGCAAACATCTAAAAATCTTGTTTCTTACAACAAATAGCTTCCAGTGTTTTTTAAGTGATTGACAATGGAAAAACATGTAATAAAAAAAAAGAAAGAAATATTGATGATGATAATTTGTCGCTGTTAAATTGCTTTAGATTTTTATATTGGATTGAGCAAATCTTTTGTTGATATTTAATAACATACACATACACACACACACACACATATACAACCATATAAACATAATATTAGAAAATCAGAAAAACATCTTTTGTTCTGATCAATCATTATTTGTAAACAAAATAAAAAAAAACACACACTTACATAATGTCACGAATGTCAAACACGGCTGAAATATTGACCAAACAATTTCGTCAACAACATATTCGCAAACAAAGTGATGATAATATTATTCACACAACAAATAATGATGATGATGATGATGGTGATGATGATGTTCAATGGTCATGGAAAAGATTTATCCAAGAATTTTTTTGCTTAAATCAACAAATGTCTTCGAAAGATTCGGATGATGAAATGAATGAATTATTCTGGAAAAAATATCTGAAAAAATTGCAGATTAATTTTTTTGTTTGGTTATTATTGTTGAATACATTTTTCAATATTATTACAATCATTGTTGCATTGTATCATCAGGTGATTGACGATATTAATGAATAATTTTACATTCATTCTGATATTTATTTATTTTTTTTTGTTCATAGAATGATTCAAAATTTTTTGGCACTATTTTCTTATATTTCGCCTCATTAATCGTATTCGGAATGTTTTTATTCATCACATTTATTGATGAACATTTATTACAACCAGAATTTAGCAGTAGTTTAGCATCGATAACCGTATTAATAACAATGATATTCACTGAATATGGTTATGAATTTTTTCATATGAATCATTTATCAACAATTTCAATGCAACGAATTCGACCATTATACTATATTTTGATTGCAAATAATCTTTTGCTTCCATTTTCATCACGAATGTCAGCAGCAATATCATCAATTATTATCATTACTATTGAAATTATCATTTCAATACATCATCGGCTAAATATATGTCAAATTCAAAATATTATTCGATTGACTTTTTCTGAGATCATTGTCTATGTATATACTGCATTATTTGGTTTATATATCAAAGGATTATTGGAAAAAAATATTCGCAGAGCATTTGAAAATTATATTGAATCTAAATACAATATCTATCAAGTGCAAAAAGAACAAGAACAGATATTGAAAAGCTGCCTACCTAAACATCTGATTGATCGTGTACGAAAAGATCTAAAAGAAGTCATTGATCAACAGGGAAGGGTTGTATCGAGAAGATTTCAAAAATTATATATTAAAAAATATGATAATGTATCAATATTATTTGCCGACATTGTTAATTCGGTTACATTGACAGCAAGTTTGAATGCAAATGAATTAGTTGAAACATTGGACGATATGTTTGGAACATTTGATAAATGTGCCGATAAAAATAATTGTTTACGAATTAAATTACTTGGCGATTGTTATTATTGTGTTTCTGGATTACCTATACCGGATTCTAATCATGCATGGAATTGTGTACGAATGGGTATTGATATGATAAAAATTATTAAGTATTTTTTCCAATTTAATAACAAAAAGAAAAATTCTAAATTTTACTGATTTTTAATTAAATTTCTATTTATATATAGTGAAATAAGAAAATCAAAAAACATTGATATCAACATGCGAATCGGTATAAATTCCGGTATGGTACAATCCGGTATTATTGGCATGCATAAATGGCAATTCGATATCTGGTCAATGGATTGTTTATTAGCATCACAAATGGAACAGGATGGTGTACCTGGATGTGTACATATAACGAAAAAAACTTATGACCTATTGCCAAAGGATAAATTGTCCGAATATAATATCGTTGGTAATTGTTGTTGTATATTCTTTTTTTTTGTTTTTGTTTTTTATTAACATTTTACATTATTTGATTTCATTTTCATTCTTTAGAAAAAATAACCAATGAAAATATTGGATATTTGATCAGTATGACTAATTCACAACAACAACAACAACAACAACAACGAAAAAGTAATCGAAAAATTTCATTAATCAATGAGTTAAGTTTGGTTGAAGATCATCAAAACGAAGAAAAAGTATTTGAAGTTTCAAATGAAAATTTCATAAAAGAAATGAATGTTTGTAAAATACAAGTAAGTTTTGATTGAAAATTGAAAAGTGAAAAAATTGGCAATTGAGCAAAGAAGATAACAAGAAAATATTTTTTCTTTCTTTCACTCCATTTTCAAATAATACACTACAAACTCATGCACTCAATTTTTCTACAACAAAGATGAGATCATCATTTTCAACGATCCATTCGATAAAAAGAATCAATTCATCGAATCAAAACAAGTCAGTATAGTGTTTATGTGTGTGTGTGTTTTTTGTTTTTTTTTTTAGTTTATACGTTCGTTTGTCTTTGGCAAACAAACAATTCCTAAACTATTACTATTCTTTTATCTTTATTTATTTATTATAATAACAAATAGTGAACTGGAAAAATGCTTGGAACGAAAAAGAATGTTCATTGATCAAGAGATTGAAAAAATGCCACTTAGTTTCAAAAAGTTTGTCATCAAATTTATTAGAATTGAAATGAAAACAAAATAATAAAACCATATTATGTTTGTATTTTTCTTTTCCCTTTTTACTATGTTTTTATTATTGAAAAAAAAGAAAATTCAAAAACTTTCATGGAATCAATCCGATAAGTTTAACATTTGTAAAGCAATCGAATAATCAACAACAAGAATCTGAAGCAGCAGCAGCATCAGCAAGAGAAGAAGATGATGATGATGATGATGATGATGATGGCGATGATGATGAAAAAGAGGAATGTTTCATGAAAAAAGATAGCAAAGAAAATAGTTTGAAATTGGAGAAAGAATTTCTTACACTTCCGGATGAATTTTTTATATTTCATCTATTTTTTTCAATATTTCTTTGTTTGATAATTGGTCTAAATAAAGTGGTGATTATACCTAATTGGAATGATACACAATGGATAAGTTTAACATTACTTGGCGTCACTCTTATCATTATTTTATTATCCTTTTACTATTCATATCGGAATTCGAATACAAAGGTAATTATTAATTAATAAGAATCGTTTTTTTCTTCAAATAATTACTTAAACTTTTTTTTTTGTTTTTATTTTCTACAAAAAAAAATTCAAAGTTAACATTTTGTAAACGTAACTTTATATGGTTAATAGTGAATCTATTATTATTGGCTAATTCATTACAGGATTTAATTCTGGTTAGTTTATTTTTTCAATATATATATATAATTGATGTTTACTAATTTAATGATTAAACATGACATTTTTATTTGTATTCGATTTTAAATCGTAAATAGTATAATTGTAAGATGGAACAAAAAGAGATGATCATCCAGACAGTATTAAAACAATTTGATTCAGCCAATTGTCCATACATATGGGTAAGTTAATCACTATTGATATTGTTAAATTTTCAATCAACCGTAATTATTTTTATTATTACTTGGTCAAACGATAGAATTTAACAATGTGTACCATACTATCAATGACTGGCATTAGCATTTTTATAACAATAAATTTTTGGTTCAAATTTATACTTCGTTCAATTGGATTGTTTTGTTTCATAGCTATTCTATTGAATGATTGTTCATTATATCAATCAATAATACCTAGAATTGAGAATGAAAAACAATGGATCAGCAATATCGGTTTTGATCCTATTATGAGCCATTTATATTATATGGTTATGGCATTCATTATATTGACGATAATTGACCGTGAAATTGAATATGTATTTCGATTAGAATTTCGAATAAGAAAAAATGAAAAACAAGATGGTAAAATTACGGTTGAAATTAATGAAATATTATTAAAGAATATTTTACCCACAACCTATATTGTACGAGAATATTTGAAGAATAATTCACGATCAAATAAAAAATTTTATTCAGAATCATATCGATTCTGTGCCGTAATGTTTGCCTCGATACCAAATTATTCAGAATTTTATTCGGAAAATGAAATAAATCAACATGGAAAAAATTGCCTAAAATTACTTAATGAGATCATTTGCGATTTTGATGTGGTAGGTGAAGAAAAAAAAATTTCGGCAACAAGAACAAAAATTAAATTTTCTTACAATAATTCTTTTTTTTATTTTTCTATTTCCGTTTATAACAAGCTGTTATCTTGTCCGGAATTTCAAAAAATTGAAAAAATTAAAACTATTGGCAGTACATATATGGCCGCAGCTGGCTTACAACCTGGCCGATTGTCGATAGAATCCGATTATGATGATGTAAATTTAAATAAAATTCATCAAATTCAAATTGTTAACATTAACATACCTTCGTTTTTTATCATTAATAATTCCAATAGAATGATTCTCGTTCGATTGATGATGAGCGAAAACTTGTAAAAAATTTGATATGTTTCGCGATGGAATTGATGAAAAAATTACGAGAAATGAATAAAAACGCCTTTCAAGATCTAAAACTCAGAATTGGTATCGCTGTTGGTCCTGTTATTGCGGGTATTGTGGGTAAAAGTAAACCACAATATGATATATGGGTTTGTTGTTTTTTTTTTTTTTTTTTTGGTTTTTGATGTTAGTTCTAACATTAACATTTTACATGATTTTCTAATTATGAAAAAGGGCGATACTGTTAATGTGGCAAGCCGTATGGAAAGTACAGGCGTAATGGGACGTATTCAAATAACACAGGAAACGGCCAATATTATATTCATAAATGATGATTATGAAAATATTTTTACATTAGAAAAACGTGGTCCAATCCCAGTAAAAGGCAAAGGAAATTTGATCACGTATCTAGCTAAAACTGAATTTGATTTTGATGAACAGGATATAAGTTTATAGTTTGACGACGACGATGATGATGATGATTTGATTATTTTTCAATTTCATTATGTATTATAAAATTTCATTATCATTATCATTGAATTATTCTGAAATATAATCTGAAAAAATTTCGAAATCTTCAAATTTCATTTTACTACATTGCGCAGAATCTCCCGAGTTAATGTTTTGATTGAATCGAACTTTTTTCTTTTGTTGTTGATTATTGATCAGTTGGTAATATTTATCTATTCGATTTCATTTCTTTTTTTCCCACCAATCGGATTATGGATGAACTTGTCGATGAACTTAGTGGTACGACTATCGACGAAGAACCTCGAAAAGTAACTGAAAATAATTTCAATTATGAATATCATTAATGATATCGTTTTTCATTTCATTTTTTATTCGAAATAATCAATAGAGTGGACAGCAAAAATCAAAGAATACAAAACCAGTAAATAGATGTGCATCGATAATAAATCGTTCAAAATTATTAATCTTAAGCGATTCTGAAAGTAATGATGATGAAATATTTGAGAAACAATGTACAAGTAAATATTCACGTTTTTCTAAACAACGAAATCCAAGCTGGAAAGCCAAAGAACATTCCAAGATTGTGCCGAAAAGGAAAAGAAATTCTGGATCATCGTTAGATGTTCAGGCTGGTAATACAATAATATCATCATTGTTAATGGATTCATTGATGGAAGATAAGGCACGAAAAAAAATTGATCCAAAGATGGATGTTGATAAATCTTCTTCTAGTGATCTTTCCGATGATTGTCCTACCGAATGTAATTTTGATGGTGATGATGAACAAAGTGATTTTTATGATTGTAGCCAGGAAAATCGATCCAAAAATCATAACCACCACCACCATCATCATCATCGTCATAATCATCATTCACAAATTAAACAAAAACTTGAATTCAAAATACCTAAACCAGTGAATCCATTTTCTGTTGATTTTGTCGAAACACACTCACCCAATAATCATTGGAAACGACGAAGAGCTATGCATTAATTTTCTTTATAATTTGTATATAAACTTAAACTATTGTAAATGAAATTGTAAATAAAAAAAATTAAATTTCTCTTCACATCAGGAAAAAATTATCTTTATTCTAATTCAAATTCAATTGCTATTGAACAAAGTTATTTCGATCATTAATATAGATTTGAAATGTGTTGCATTAATCATATCGGCCATTTTATCGGTTAGCATAACGTCCAGAAATATCAGCCCATCTATGTGCTTCCTGTTCTTTTTCATGTTCCAATTTTTTAAGACGTTTATATGTTGCTTTGGCAGCCGGAGAGTTGACCTTTGAATCGATATACCAGACAAATGGAAATACGGTTATCATTCCATAGATGGTATATCGGAATGTCCAATTCATTTTCCATTCATATGCAAGATTAAAATGTGACCATTTGGCAGCTATTGTGTATGGCCAGACCATTGGTTTGCCCTGTTTGGGCATCTGAAAACGTAATAAAGCTCTAGGAGTGATGCGTACCATTGTTTAAACTGTTGTAATTTTTAAAATAAAATTAAAATTGGATAATATTGATAAGGTATAACGAAAAAAAATTACCTTTTTCAATCAAATTCAATGAAGGGCAAACCAAGAACTCTCAACTCAAGTTTGTGATCATCTGAACACAGAACTGACGATTTTTCGGCATTGATGATGTTTTATATCTGAAAAGGCCAGGTTTACACTTGTCATTATACTTACATTGTATAAACAACTTTGAAAATTTTATATTTTATTTAAACTTTAATATGATTTTAAACAATTTTATCATTCTATCTTGACCACATGATGATATATGAATAGCATTATATTGATTTTTATCAATGCATATTTTTGGTGAAAATCTTATACGATTTACTGTCGATGTATGATGATGGTTTTCAAAATTATGAATTTTCAACCATACTCCTGATAAAATATCTATCGTATGTAAAGATAAATTTCCATTTTCCAAACCAACACAAACTAAATAATGATTATTTTCAGTGAAAAATTTGGAATGAACATCCAACGAAGTGACTGGATGATCAAATGAAATTTTTTCTTTAGATTGGATTTCCGTTTCGTTTTTATCATTCAAAAACCATCTAATAATGGTTTTATCACGTGATCCGGTAAGAAAATTTTTCGAATCTGGCGTCCAAGCACAGTCCCAAATAATACGGGTATGTATTCCGGTACTTTTATCTGAGAATGCAATTCGTCGATATTCCAAACTTTTCATTTCAAACAGTGCCCATGTTCGATCACGAGAAACGCTCAACAATAGCGAATCATCAGGTGAGAATCGCATTTGTGTTACAGTTAAATTATGTGAACAAAGATTGGTTAATTTTTTAAAAATTTTCATATCCCATAAAATGATTGAAGCATGATTAGCATTTGATGCTTTACAAGCTGAAGCCAAAAAAGTGTTGGAATGATTGACAGCCACAGCGAATATTTCATATCCATGTCCATAAAGTTTTTGTGATTCTGGCCACAAAGTGTTTTGCATGAGAATCTCTTCGCTTGGAGGCATATTAATAGTTTTTGGTTTGAATTCTTCTTCAATCTTTGATGTATCATATACGGCCGAATTCGAAAGTCCAAGTGAGGGTACAATTGCACATTCGGCAAATTCATTGCCTGCTAAATCAATGTTGATTGAGCTTATATTTTTGATTGATTCAGTAAAATTTTTTGTCGCATTAAAGATGCGTACAACTTTTTCATCAGCACCAGAAACAAATCTAAATCGACCAGCCATAGTTAAACTCTTTAAATCATACCCATGAATTTGAGGTCGAGCGATTTCATGCCAAGATGACAAATTTGATGGATTCCATGATGAATGAAGACGAGTTGTTTGATCGCTCGAACAACTAAGAAAATATTCTCCCTCTGGTTCCCAGGTTAAATCGGTAACTTCTTTGAAATGACCAGTTATAGGGGGATAAGATTGCCAACAATTTTCACCATCAATTTTTCTCCATAAATGTACGGCACCATTATGTGATTGACCGATAATCATTTGAGGTGAGTGTATGAACGAACAAGATAAAAAACCGAGAGCATTTTCTCCCACTTCACCAAAACGATATTTTTCATTCCAAATAGAATTGCCCATCTGTTCCCAAAGAATGATCATTTTATCTGAAGAACAAGTAAGAAGATGGATTCGATTCTCTATAATGATCCATCGAACATTGGTTACCCAACCTTCATGGCCTGCCAAAACGGTTTCCAATGTAACAGAATAATATTTTTCCTTATCGTCATGTTTTACAGACATAATATCACCCATTACACCAATGTCCGTTTCAAGAGAACATTTTTGAATTTCATAGACTCTAACGAAAAAATCTTGAGATGCTGAAGCAAGTAGACATTTATCTGTAAAAATTATAAAATCATTTAAAATAATTCTGAATATCTATTGCTGTTAAAGTTAACATTACCATTGAATGAAATTAAATCAATCGATTTTACCCAATCAGTATGCCCCTGTAAAGTGATTAAACTTTCAAGCGTCTTGGTAAATAAATCAAATTGATTGATTTGAACACACTCATTAGATCCGGCAGTCAATACAACCAAGCCAGAAATATTAGCCATATTATTATAGATTCGAACATCAAAAATAAAATGTTTGACATCCTCGGTGAAAACCATTTGATCATTTTGCCATATACATAAAGATTTATCATTTGCTGTTGATACAGAATGAAATTCTTTATCAACTATCACAGAATCGCTTATAATTAACGAATCTTTATGTCCACCATTTAGTACATATTTCAAGTGGAAAACATTTTGTCCATCTTTTTGCCATATAATACTTGTTTGATCTACTGATGAAGAAATAATATAAACACCGTTTTCATCGATCCAGCGAACCGAATTAATCAGATCAGAATGATGTGATGATGATGAAATGACACATCGAACCTATTATTGAAAATTAGTCATTGAAAAAATTATACCGACAAACTTTATATTCAATATCGTACATTTAAATCATAAAGAACGATCGAATTTGAAGAACCGAATACGATGAGATTTTCTTTTGTATCCAAACAATGTGGATAACGATTAACCGAACAGCTAACATATACATTTTTACAATCTAAAATATCCATTTTTGATGATCAATAATAAAAAGTTTCATTTCAAATTAAAGTTTTAGGATGGCAACACGTGAAACTATAGTAAACTATTTACACCAATCAAAACCTGTTTCGGTAGTTTTAGATTCTTTATCAATTCGTGGCTCAAATCTTATTTCACAGAATTTTTTTATTTTATTAGCAATTTTTAAAACACCCAATTCCATTTGAAAAATGATGCATTTCATGTTATTATTTAGCCGACAAGGCAAACTTCGTTTACAAAAATGGTATGTTGCACATCCGGACAAAACAAAGAAAAAAATTACTCGAGATTTAGTCAATCTGATATTGGCTAGAAAACCCAAACATTGTTCATTTGTTGAATGGCAAGATTTTAAAATTGTCTATAAACGGTAACCTATTTTGATTTGATAATTCAGTAATTTCAATAATTTAATTCTAATGTTGTAGATATGCAAGTCTTTATTTCCTATGTGCCATTGAACAATCGGATAATGAATTGCTATGTTTGGAATTGATACATCGTTACGTTGAATTGTTGGATAAATATTTTGGAAGCGTATGTAAAATACTTATACTTATGGCTAATTATTGTAAATTATTGTTGATCGTTGTCTATATTGTTAAACAATCTATAGGTCTGTGAATTGGATATCATTTTCAACTTTGAAAAAGCATATTTCATTCTTGATGAACTTTTATTGGGCGGTTTCATCCAGGAAACAAGCAAAAAGAATGTCCTGAAAGCAATATCAGCACAGGATCTGGTACAAGAGGTAAGTTTTTTTTCTGTCTTCTACTATCACTTTTTGCATGTTTAGCTTTTGCATGTCTTTAATTTGTTGAATGTTATATAACTTTTAGCACATTTAACTAAATTTCAAATTCACTCATATTTTACAATAACAAATAGCTGCTAGTCTGATATAAATCTTAAAATCAATCTTGATTTGATTTGTTTTTTAAAAAAATTTTATTTTTTTCAAAGGATGAAGGTGTCGAACTGTCTTTTAATGATCTGGGTTATATGTAAAAAAAAACATTTGAAAGGAATTGTCTTGAATTATTTTTATTGCACATAATTGTATCGATTTTATATGTTTTCCATTCAATAAATCATATCCACGCAAAATTTATGGCAGTGGCTTTAAACAAAAACCTTTGGCATTCATTATAATCCTGTCCATTATGATTATAATTATGCAATATCTTTCATTATTCTATAGGAGGAAACGCCGCAAGGATTTTTTGAAGATCATGGATTAGGTTGATGATTATATAATGATTAATATGTTCGAAATTCGTTTCATTAATGGTGAAATTTTCATGGTTCGTCGACATTTCATTTTAATTTGATATTATTGGATTATTAGAATGTGATTGTTTTCCTCTTTGATTATACAAATTTTTTAAATTAAAAATTTATTTAAAAAAAATAATAAAAATCATGAAATTCTGAAATCAATGGAAATAAGTATCGATTGTCGTTTATCGATAATAATTGTAAATGTCAAATTCTTTATGGTGTGTCGTCACGGTATTTATGATTGCTCCCCGAACACGTGTTTAAAAAATCAAGTGAGCTCAAATAAAATTCAATTGTTTCTCTTCACTCGTGTGCGCATGGATGAAACACAAGAGATTAAAACGACTACATACCAATATTTTTTTTTTAAATCGGAATTTTCCTCAGTAATTAATAAAAAAAAAAATGGATCTTTATGATGAATTTGGCAACTATATTGGACCGGATTTAGAATCAGACAATGAAGAAGAAGAAAATGATTATTCTCAATTTAATGTCCAAGATGATGATGATGATGATGACGGTGATGATATGGATCAGAACAATGTGAGTATTCAGTTTGATTCATGTCAATAATTTATCTCATATAATTTTATCGATTAGGAATTGATGACAATCGATAAGAATAATGAAGATGATGATGATGATGAACAGATGCAAGTTGTTTTGCATGAAGACAAAAAATATTATCCCACTGCCGAAGAAGTGTATGGCCAAGAAGTTGAAACGATTGTTCAGGAAGAAGATACACAACCATTAACAAAACCGATTATAGATCCAGTCAAGAATAAAAAATTTAGCTATCAAATGAAAGAATTGCCTTTGACGACTTACGATCTAGAGTATGTACAATGATTGTAGTTTATTTTACTTTAAATAACCAAAAATTTCCATTAAGATTTATGACCGATTTGATGGACAATCCTAATTTAATTCGTAATGTTGCTTTCATCGGCCATCTTCATCATGGTAAAACATCTTTTGTTGATTGTATTATCGAACAAACACATCCCGAATTGAGTAATCGAAAAGACGATAAACCGGTATTTTCTACATTTATGAATATTCTCAATAAATTAATAAATTTATAACATTTTTCTAGTTTCGATACACCGACATTCTATATACGGAACAAGAACGAGGAGTTAGCATAAAATCCACACCAATAACCGTGGTCATGCAAGATCTCAAATCCAAATCCTATCTTATGAATTTTTTCGATACACCTGGTCATGTCAATTTTTCAGACGAAGTAACAGCAGCTATTCGTCTTTGTGATGGTGTCATTCTGTTTGTAGATGCTGCTGAAGGTGTTATGCTCAACACTGAACGTTTATTGAAACATGCATTGCAGGAAAATCTTACCATAGCTGTATGCATAAATAAAATCGATCGTCTTATACTGGAATTGAAACTTCCGCCTCAAGATGCTTATTATAAAATTCGTCATATATTAGACGAAATCAATGGCATTATTAAGTAAGAAGCTTTTGATATGAATGGAATGATTATTTTTCATTGAACTTTTTTTCATATTTACAGAACACACTGTAATTTATCGGAACCTCCATTGATATCGCCACTTTTGAACAATGTTTGTTTTTCCAGTTCACTATATAATATCTGTTTCACTTTGAAATCCTTTGCCCAATTATACGCTTCTTATTATCCTGGAGTGGATTATATGGAGTTTTCCAAACGTCTTTGGGGCGATATTTATTTTAACCGTACAAGGTATTTTCATTAATTTTTCAAATCATCATAAAACAAAAGTTTATTTACAATCCCTTTTAATTAGCCGGAAATTTGTGAAAAAAGCGCCAACAGGACAAACTCAACGAACTTTTATCGAATTCATCCTGGAACCCTTGTATAAAATTGTATCACAGATCGTTGGCGATGCTGATGGAAACTTGGCAAAAGTTCTCGATGAGCTTGGTATCAAAGTTTCTAAAAGTGAAATGAAACTCAACATACGGTCACTAATGAGATTAATTTGCTCTCGATTTTTCGGCGATTTCAATTGTCTTATTGATATTTGTGTTAATGTAATTCCTTCTCCTATTGAAAATGCCCTGAAGAAAGTTCAACATATTTGGAAAGGTCCAATAGAATCTCCATTGGCCGAATCAATGATCGAATGTGATCAGAAAGGATCATTGGTTATACATACAACTAAACAATATTCTTCCCAAGACGGCACAGCTTTTAATGTATTTGGTCTTGTTCTCAGTGGAACACTTGAGGCTAAACAAAGCGTGAAAATTCTTGGTGAAAATTACTCTTCATTCGATGAGGAAGATTCACGAATCATGTCGGTTGGAAAACTTTGGATTTCTGAAGGTCGATATACCATTGAAGTTAATCGAGTTCCAGCGGGTAATTGGGTTCTGATTGAAGGGATCGATCAGCCAATATCGAAAACTTCAACCATAGTAGATGCTAGATATGACGATGAACTTTTCATTTTCAATCCATTGAAATTCAATACTCAATCAGTCATAAAGATTGCTGTCGAACCTGTCGTCCCATCTGAATTGCCAAAAATGTTGGAAGGTTTGAGAAAATGTAATAAATCATATCCATTATTGGGAACTCGGGTAGAAGAAAGTGGAGAACATATTATTCTTGGAACCGGAGAGTTGTATCTGGATTGTGTGATGCATGATTTGCGCAAAATGTATTCAGAAATCGGTAAGCCGCCTAAACGAATTGATGCCATTTTACACCATAATTACTTATGAATTTTCAGATATTAAAGTTGCCGATCCTGTCGTCTCTTTTTGTGAAACGGTCGTAGAAACTTCACAGATTAAATGCTTTGCCGAAACTTCAAATAAAAAGTAAGTTCCTTTCTATTTTATAATAAGTGCAAATCGATTTTTTATGCCATATTCATAGGAATAAAATAATGATGATTGCAGAACCACTTGAAAAAGGATTAGCTGAAGATATTGAAAATGAGATTGTACAGATCGGTTGGAATCGTAAAAAATTGGGAGAATTTTTTCAAACGAAATATGATTGGGATATTCTTGCTGCACGATCAATATGGGCTTTTGGTCCAAGTAACACTGGACCAAATATATTGGTCGATGATACTTTACCATCTGAAGTGGATAAAAATTTGTTAAATACTGTACGCGATTCTATTGTTCAGGGCTTTCAATGGGCATCGAGAGAAGGGCCATTATGTGAAGAACCAATTCGAAATGTTAAATTTAAAATTCTCGATGCTATCATCAGTCCGGAACCGGCTGCCAGAGGAGGTGGACAAATTATTCCAACTGCTCGTCGTGTTGCCTATTCCTCTTTTTTAATGGCTACACCACGACTTATGGAACCATATTATTTTGTCGAAGCTCTAGCACCGGCTGATTGTGTATCAGCTGTTTATACGGTTTTAGCGAAACGTCGTGGCCACATAACTCAAGATGTACCAGTTCCTGGTTCGCCATTGTACACTGTAAAAGCTTTTATTCCTGCAATAGATTCTTTTGGGTTTGAAACGGATCTACGAACACATACACAAGGCCAAGCATTTTGTTTATCAGTATTTCATCATTGGCAGGTATACTTTTTGATTATCCAATTAATCATCATAAGTGCATGTTTTAACTACTTTACTATTTATTTTTATAAAAGATTGTTCCTGGCGATCCATTGGACAAATCGATTATCATACGACCATTAGAACCACAACCGGCACCACATTTAGCCAGAGAATTTATGATCAAAACTCGTCGCCGTAAAGGTTTATCCGAAGATGTTAGTATCAATAAATTTTTCGATGATCCGATGCTACTCGAATTAGCCAAACAAGATGTACTACTGTCTTAATTAATTGAAAATTTTTCACATATTTGATGTATTATATATAAATAATAATATAAATATATTTATGGATAATAATAATGATGGCTATGGCTATTTAGATGATTGGTGACACCAAAAACATCAAATCATCATATAATCAAGTCTAAATATATCTCAAAATATGGTCAAAGGGTACCGGGTGGTTTTCGGTGAAATCTGCCCCCAAAAATTTTATTTTTTTAAAATGTTAGTCATGTCCATTGATGATTCTCGAGATGGTTTTTAGTTCATTCGGTCCACCCACTTCCGGTAAAATCGCGAAAAACAACGCGATTTTTCCAGATCTCACTAACTATGAGGTGGTATGCCTCAATTTTTTCTCACAATAAAACTGATCTAATCAACATTTTATTCTGAAAATATCAAAGGAAAATATTTGGTGGAACATGTTCAAAAATCCGGAAATCCATTTTTTCACCATGTAAGTCTATGGAGTTCATCATGTGATATCCACAACGTAAGTGTTTATGATGTTCACCACGTAAGTGTATGGTGTTCATTATGTAAGTCTATGATATTGTGCATATTGCAATGGCAATCGATGATAGTCTGAACTAAAAACATCCTAGGCAATGTATTGAAGGATTTTATTGTTCATGTATTAAAATGTGTATGATAAGAATCAATCGCACAAAATCTCTGAATCCAAGATCCAATAAAAAATATCACCAGGTTGCAAAATAGTGGATAAGCCATTAGTTTCTTGGAGAAGAACTTTCAATATTTAGGCATCATTAAGTTTGGCGTTAAATAGCCCTGGAACGAATGATTCACCTGATCATGTCCATGAGCCACCTCGAATTCTGTACCCAATGATGATGATCAAAGGAGCTGATGGCCGCATCGAAAAAAGAACAGTTACTAAGTATGATTTGGTCTTTCAACCATCTGATCTCGAATTTCATATCAAAAAACAATTTAAACATCGAGCACGAGATTGAACCAATATATTCGCGGCAGAATCGCAAACCGAGGCTGAGGAATTCTGCCGTTTGTGTAAATCCAAAGTTACAGGATATCATCATACAACAGATGCGCAACAAGATCATCATCGATTGCCAGACTACACACATCAAGGATATGACGCTGATGATGCAATGCTATAAATGTTATGGTTACAATCATAAAATCGGCTACTGCCATGTACCAGATCAGATGTGTTTCCACTGCGGAGAATATCATAACTTCAACTAATGCCCAAAGAAATCAATGCCTGCCACCTGTTTCAATCTGTAATCTGCATCCGGTCTAACATCACCAATGCTCCGCCACACAACAATGTCAACATCAATCAAGAGTGAAATCATCAGTGGTGCAAATCCTTCAACAATGTATCAGGATGTTTTTAGTTTAGGCTATCATCGATTACCATTGCAATATGCACAATATCATAGACTTACATAATGAACACCATACACTTACATGGTGAACATCATAAACACTTACGTTGTGGATATCACATGATGAACTCCATAGACTTACATGGTGAAAAATGGATTTCCGGATTTTTGAACATGTTCCACCAAATATTTTTCTTTGATATTTTCAAAATAGAATGTTGATTAGATCAGTTTTATCATGAGAAAAAATTGAGGCATACCACCTCATACTTAGTGAGATCTGGAAAAATCGCGTTGTTTTTCGCGATTTTACCGGAAGTTGCTGGACCAAATGAACTAAAAATTATTTCGAGAATCATCAATGGACATGACTAACATTTTAAAAAAATAAAAACTTGGGGGCAGATTTTGACCGAAAACCACCCGGTACCCTTTATTTAAATTTCTCAAAAAAATGTAAACAATCAATTCGCACAAGAAAAACCATCAGCTGCATTACAATCTAAACTTTTTAAATCAAAAATCAATGCAGAAAATTCGTCCATCAACACCAGTTTTAAAAGATGTGAGATTTTATCATCACAATGCTTCTAGAATCTAGATCACCAAACAAATTAGCTGAATCCATTATGGAATTCATTAAACGTTACTACGACATACACTAATTTAACGCCTTCGAATTGTTATTATTATTATTATTCATTATTTCATGAATATCAAAAGGCACATTATCAAAAAAATAAAATATAATATATTCAATTAAATCACATTTTATAAACACAACATTAACACACACACACAGACTTATTTTCATTTGTCTTCAGTTACAAAAAAAAAATTCATGAAAAATGCTACAAAAAATCGTTTCTTTTTTACAGAATCAAAAAAAAAAATCGCGAGAATGTAATGCTGATATTCACTGATAAAATTGTCGAGCAAATTTCATATATTTACAGATATGCGATGTAACGAAGTTTCCTGATGAACATCTCAGATAAAACATTAATAATAATTATACAGAAATAAATAATAAATAAGGAAAATAATCAATCTCTTCAATTTATGTGTGATTATGATATTTTTTAAAAAAAATGTTTGACGACCAGAGCTATGAGAAAAGACCAGATTTGTTGATGAAAAAAAAAATTATTGTTGTTTGTTGATATTTTCATTAAATTTCATTCGAATCATCTTGATCATTCGTTTCATTCTTTTCAACATTTTTCTTTGATTGCCATTTAAAATTACTGACCATAAGCCATTTTTGACCTCGTTTTTTCAAATTACATTTTCTCAGTTTTGGCTGACTGGCTGCATTATTATCAGCATCTTTTTTTTCTTCATTCTCAAGACAATGACCAGATTTTTTATGAATAATTTGTTTGGTTGAATTATTATAAAGCCATGCTTGATTGCCACCCATTCCATGGCAACGGATTAATTTGATCGGTGAATTTAAACTGGAAGCATCCATACAATTGTCATCGGACATAATTTGTTCACGTTTGGTATAGGCAAACACTTGATTACCGCCAAGCCCATGACATGGTGATAATGCAATATTCTCACCACTTTTTCTACCAAATGTATCTAGGCATTTGTTTGTGGCAACATTACGTATCTCGCCCAGTGAATAATAGTTCAATGGCATTTGGCTTTCGGGATAAATATTTTCCAGATACCAACGAAAATCTATTTAGAATTAACAGACAAAACAAGAAGCTATAGCATTGAAACAAATTAAAAATTTGAAAAATATTACCTCTACACTTTAAATCTTTTCGAAGTTGTTTTCTCTTAGCAGTATCACCCATATCAATATTTTTGGCGGCTGGATTAATGGCAAAGAAAAAATCTTTCCATTCATCCATCCAAACTTCAGCTAGACGTGCATTATTATGATTGACAATGTTGCTAGTGCCACCGGGAAATGTGTATGGTGTCGATTTACGAAAAACATGTCCAACATGTGAACAGGTGACAATCTCCAATGTTCCACCGCACATCCAAATTCTAAAACTCATCTCCAGATTCTCACCACCCCAAATGTCCATTCCTTCATCGTATCGACCTAATTTATTGAAATAGTCTCGATCCATAGCGAATAATCCACCGGCCATAGTTGGTGTTCTGAATTTAATTTTTTGAAAAATTAAACGAAACTTAAATATAGCAAAAATAATTTTCTTTTTCTTTTGAATGCTACCTGACAGGTAATGTTCGATCATTATTACGTCGATCGAATTCTCTTTGAGGCACATGATACCAGCGAAAATTTAATTTCCAATTGAAGCCACCCCATGTTTTATCCGAGGCAGTTATATATTCGAAATTTTCATCACTAATCACATCGATTATTGGACATACTACTCGGGTTCTACCAATGCACGCAAAATATCAATAAATTTTTTTTTTAAAGAAAAGAATTTATTCAAATTTGATTGAATAATGTCAAACAAAACCGACAAACCTGTCTTCAGCGATTCGAGATAGTAATGGTTCAAGCCATCCTTTTGTACATTCACAATGGGCATCTAAAAATGTGATCACTTCACCATGTACTTGATCGGCACCAATCAAACGTGCTCGTATTAAGCCTGAACGTTTGCCAGTGCGAAGAACTTTGACCGGTACAGGTAATTTGGCAACATGATCTTCGAGCTTTTTTCCCAGATACTCTACAAATGATAATGATGATGAGAAAAAAAAATTGAAGTGATTAATGTCTATAAAAACACACACAAACATAATAATGTTAAATATTTGGTACCTCTTTCACTGGCATCATCAACCAGTATAATTTCTTTCAGTAAATTTATTGGAGATGTGCGAATTATACTATAAACTGAATATAAAACAAAAAAATATGAACCAATGAAAAACAAGTAAAATAGAAAATTTGAAATTGATATTTGAATCAAAAGGCATACCAGTACGTAATAATGTAGACCATGCTTCATTATGAAAGACTATTACTATTGAAGCTGTGGGCAAATGTTTTTGATATCGTTTTCTTCGGCACCTGAAACAAATATAATTAAAATTTTTAGGTCACAAAAAAAGGAATGGCCATAAGAAAAAACATACGAATTGAGACGAACATCAGAGATGGTTCGATTCAAAGCAATTCTATCACTGGCCAATATATTAAATTGATTTAATTTAAATTTTTCATTTTTCTCCGCTTCTTCTTCTTTTGGTATTTCGACACCTTTACCATTTTCTCCAGGCCATGATGATGGATTGGTTTTGATTTCTTCATATAAAAAAATCAAATTGAAAATGATTAAATTTTTTTCAAAAAAAATAGAAATAACACTCACCAGCTGGTGACCATAATTGTAACTGAGATTCTTGATAAGGTGGAAGACGTAAATGTGGCCAATCATTATTATGAATATCGACAGAATATGAATTCATTTTGGATGAATCGGATAAAAATTCCGTATCACTATTTGATACAAGTAATAGCTGTTCAGGTGAACCAATACCATTTGATTGATAGTCACCACCAACATTATTAATTTTATTACGGCAATTGATACCACCGTTTCCGGCAAGACATTCCATATAATAGACTAGTATACACATTCCGAATATGACCCAAACGATCGAGGTCAATATCATTATACGGAATGTATACCATCGTATGGGAGATCTGAGCAACATTTTTTTTTAATATAATGTTATATATTGTATAGTAAAAAAAATTCCCTTATTGTTATTGATGTGTGAGTGTGTGCTAAGAAAATGAAAAAAAAGGAAAAAAAATATAATTATTATTCAATCAACATGATCATGATAATGGTGATTAATTTCTGAAAATAAGAAATTAGGCTATCAAATTTAAGTGAAACAATAAAAAAAATGACAATCGAATGACACAATGAATCGAAAAAAAAACACATGACCGCGTGTAAATTGTGATTATCGTAAAATGAAATAAAAAAAAAAGAAAGAATGAATTACGTTTTTTGTGAAATATAGAAAATGAAAAGAAATAAATTGTTTTTTTTCACTTTTGTCACATACATACAATCACTATGTATGTATGTGTCTCTAGGCAATTCGTTTGGCGTATCCAAAATGAAAAATTAATGATGGAACATTAACATAAATGAAGTCAAAATGTTCTCATCATCATCATCATCATCATCATAGCAATCAACACAATGAGAAAAAATAACAAAATGAAATTTCAATCATTGAACCGAAAAAAAACAACATAAAAAAATTAAATCAATTCAATTTTTTTTTGTTGTTGGAAAAAATGAATAATTTAAATTAAACAAATGAAAAATTAAAAAAAAAATTCCAAAATTCTATAGCTTATAAGCTGCTCAATGCACACATATTCATTAACACACCACACACACACAAACACAAAAAAAACAAACTAACAATGGAAAGAATAATACACTGACACGACTACCAAATAGTAGGACTTTCAATTTCAAAATAATTTGATTGAATGAAAATTATCATATATGAAAATAAAGACAGGTGCATCACACAACACACAATCGACAATCAGTAGTAGTGATTAACACATCGACAAGAATATATACACAATAATAATATAATAAGCATTTGTATCTTGTGTGTGTGTGTGTGTGTGTGTGTGTGTGTGTGTATGTGTGGGTAATATAATAATCAACAATTTGAAACTCACATTTTGGTGTTTATATGGAAAACTTGTAATGATGAAAGAAAATATGGGACAAAAAAAATTACTTTTTTTATCACAGACAGATAACGTATATAAAAGATGATGATGATAATGATAAAGGTCAACAACAATTAATATTTGAGTTGTAATATAGATGATGATTCTTTAAATCGTTATGACGACAATAATAGATGATATTACGCGGAAATATGATGTGTATATATAGTAATAGAGTAAATGTGTGTTGGTTGGTTTGTTGATTAAATGAAAAACGATATTTATTTAAATGGTAAAAAATGAATTTTTTCCAAGAACAGAATAAAGAATAAAATAAAAATAACAAATAATTCAAACGAATAAAATCAGATAATAATCATCAATGGAAATGATGACGATGATGAAGAAATCCTTGAATTTTAGTACATTTATTATTTTCCATCATCTATTCAGCAGAAAGATGTCCATGTTTGATACAAAAAAAAATATCAATTTAAAAATGTAGACAAAGAAGGGTTGACATTATGTTGTTTTTTTTTTTGGTTATTGTTTTTGATTCACATCGATAAACAGAGAAGATTCATTGTATTGCAATAATAATAATAATATTTCAAATTAAATTGATTGATATTTTAATTCGGGTCAAATACAACCACATACAAACACACACACAGTCACATAGGCACACAATAATCAATATTATATCAATCAATCAATATCGGAAAATGTGTTCACAATTGTTGTTGTCGTTGTTGTTGTTGTTGTTGTTGTTTTTGTTAAAGAAAGAAAACCGATGATTTTTTTTCTGTCATATTGAATATATATAAGATTATGATCAACAAGTAATAATAATTTTTTTTTACTTATTAAACGATTCATATGATAATGTGAATGCAATTCATTGAAGAAAAATAAATACAGGATGTAAATACATCAAGTATGTGTGTGTGTGTGTATGTATGTAAGTATTTTATTCAAATCACAGATAAATATGATGAGATGTAAAAAAAAAGAAAGAATGAAATATTCTCATTTGTATACAATAGATGAATGAATGAATGAAAATATTTAATATTCAACTAATCATAGAGATGGAATAAAGAAGAAATAAAAAACTAATAAATTCAAGGTTAATCTATTGTGTAAACGTATACAATTGATTGACGATCATTATTGTTATAAGGAATATATTGATGAATAGACAGAACAAAAAAAAATGAAAACCTTAATGATCAAAATCAATGTTGCGGTAAAAAAACACTACTACTACTATTGTATATATGCGTGTTTTATGGAAACAACATTTCATTTTCTGTCATTCACATTTTCGATGATTTTTCATTTTGGATGTCGTTGATTTTCAATGTTTTTTTTTCATTTGTGATAGTGGATGGAAAATCCACACAGACAAACGGATATATATCGACGACGATGATGATGATGATTATTATTATGACGAATGAAATATATATCAGATTTGAGATAGTTGATCAATATTTGGCCAAAATAATAATAACACAACAACAACAAAAAACAAAATCAATAGCAATAAATCATATATATTGGAAAACCAGATTTTTTTTGTTGATTAATTGACGATTAAAAAAATGATGAAAACAAAAACATTCGATGGCCACTATAAATGTTGGTGGTTAACAAAACATAAATTCGTTTTTTGATTCAAAATTCGTCGTCGTTGTCGTCATAATTGTCAACTGAAATTGAGAAAAATGGTCACTGCTTTTCTGGTATAAATACAATCTAAACATTGGACAACGACGACGACGACGACGACAACGATAACGATAACAACGATGAGAAACAATGTTAACAATTAACTTGATGCCGGTGGCTTGCCGTGCCGTGTTCGTGTATAATAACGCCGTATAAATCCATGCTCGAATATTTTTATTTTTTTTTTTTTTTTTTGACAACGAAACAATATACGAAAAAAACAACTTTTCAAAATGGTGAAAATGAAAGAAAAAACAGATTCGAGAGAGACATAGAAGAAAAAACCTCAGAATAGAATAGGCATATAGAAAAGCATTAAGGCATTACTAATATCACCGCTATCATCATCTTGAAAGTTCAGTGGTGCTAATTTTTTTTTCTTATCTTTTCATTTACGAGTACAATCATCCCATCATAGAGTCCATTCTTTTAACCATCATCAATATCATTGATTGTAGCTATTTCTTGTTCATTTTTTACGAACAAAAAAAAACAGAAAGAGAAAAAGAAGCAGAAGAAGCTTTATATGTGAATTGAATGAGAGAATACAGGCAACACACACATATACACAAAAACACAATTATAATAATCATCATCAGGACAGGTTTATTTTGAAGAATCCAAGCTTTCTCGTATAAAGTAAAAAAAAAATCGTTAAATCGAATACACAAATACAGACACCATAGACACACATATAACAAAACATGAAACATGACGTTCATTGATTCTATTTCATTCAGCTTTGTTTGATGATGATGATGGTGCCAATGTTCATTGGCCATACTACTCCCAAGAAGAAAAAATTGATCATATCTGCCCATTTAAGGTGAATTAATAACAACAACGCAACACACACACACACACTCACCTGTAAGATACACGTTTACAAATAAAATTCAAAAAAATTCATCATCTTTTGCAGCCACATTTTGGGATCCATCATGATCTATACTCATCAACTATCTCTCTTTCGTTGTGTCTTTTCTCTCCAAGTTTATTTGTGTGTGCGTGTGTGTTTCTAGCCAACAAATATGTTATGTGATTGAGAACCGACAACAACAACAACAACAACAAAAATAACCGACTTTACCACTTTTTCATCATCATCAAGCTTGCTTTCAATTCATTGTGTGAACAACAACACATGTTTGTATATGTATTGTGTGTGTATGTGTGTTCAAGAATCTGGTCAATCTGGTATGTCGACCATGCTCGATGAATATTATTTTTTTTCCATTGGTTAAACGGATGCGCATATATGCATGAATTAAGCTGAATTGAATTGAATGATTATGAATGGAAAATCATGAACGATTCATCAAAAGAAAGAGAGAGAGAGAGATGAACAAAATGAATGGATGAATGAATGGTTATATGGATGGATGGAAAAAAATGAAATCAAAAATTGTCAAAACTTTTTTTTCAGAAAAAATAAAAAACAAACATTTTTATTCGAATGCGAAATAAAAAAAAAATATATCGTTTTGTTTTGTTGTTGTGACAATTGAAACACAGTGATATTTGAAAAAAGTAACTATTTTATATTTAATAGATCACTTGAATTTTGTTTACAATTCAATCATCAATTGTTCATCATCATCTTTAAATTGAAAGAATTGTTTGCCATCTCCTAAAATTGATGAACCGATGTTACAATTGAAAGAGTGAGAAAGACACATGCACAAATGGACAAAAGATCTTCAATTTGACAATTGCTATCTGAATTTTGTTTTTTTTTTTTTTGTTCGTTGTCATCATCGCCAGAATGATCATGAAATTTTTTTTTGTCTTGCTCCAAATAAAAAAAAATCCATTCATCTGTGTAGCCATAATGTGTGTGTGTGTGTGTGTGTGTGATCGATTGAATGGCCATAAAGAATTTCGATTCAATTGAGCAAGAATTTGAAAAATTTTTCATTGTAATGATGGAAAAAAATGAAATTTCTCTTCATAATATAATATTGTTGTTGTTCATGGGAATTTTTCTATTTTCTAACTTTATTATCTGTCACAAATGCATATGCATGGAAAAAATTATCTTCACTTCCTACAAAATAAATTCCAATAACTATTGTTGAAGAAAAAGGATCATGTTACGTTTGTTAAAAATAATTCCACGATTCTTTCATCGTACTTTATGTCGTTTCATTTCAATTTTGAATGGAAATTTAAAATTTCATCATTATCATCATCAAAATGATCATCATTTTATTCTAGTCATCATTATCGTCATATTGTTTATATGTTTTTTATCGACAGCAATCTATTTTCAAATTATTGCACATTTTAAATCAAAATTATCGAATGGTATGTATTATATTTTAATATATTATCTATATAAAATATCAAGAATTTGAATTCGAATGCATTTGAATATAAATCATACCTTTTGGGAAGAAAATTGTCTTGCCAAGGTTGAATAAAAGTGTAGATTATTTTTTTTCAAAAAGTTAATTTCATAAATTATTTGATTTGATAAGAATGATGATTGATAAAAATAGAATGGCCAGAAATAGTTGAATATTTTCATTCATCATAATGACTATCATCATCATTATCAGCATTAACATTGAGAGAAAAAAAACATTCCTACAACAATTAAAAAATCATGATGATAAACGGTTGATAGTCATTAATTCATTTTTCATTTTTTCATTTTTTTTGCTGGTGAAACAAATAAAAAATACAAAATTAGCCCCTTAAGGTATAGCAAAAAATTTTTTTGATTGGGGACAAAAACAAAACGAAAAATCAATTATAAATGATTATTATACAACCGGACACTCCATTTGAAATATGTTTCATCAAAGATTTGTCTAGCATGTTGAAATTTGTATTTGTATTGTCATCATCATCATCATATTATATGTTGGATGGAAAGGCTTGACAAAAAATGACATAATTCAAATGATGATGATAAATTGAGAGACAATCATCATCATCATCATTGTTACATGTGACATTTTCCCTTGTAGAAGACGATGAAAAAAAAAAACCATGTGTTGATAGTGTTTTTAGCTATAATGATGATTCGGCTGGCGGTGACATTTTTGTGTCATTGTACATGTCTTTACACGAATAATCTTTAAATACAGACAAAATGGACATTTCTAAAATAATAACCGAAAAGAAGAAATAAAAAAAGTTCAACATATAGGCACGAAAATCAACAACAACAACAACGACAACAAAAATCCAAAATGATGATGATGATGACAATCATAATTATGAATGATGATAAATGAAGATGAAATCAAACAGATGAAACTATTCTGGTCTATGTGTGTTTTGTTGGATGATACTTTTTTTAGGATGGAAAAATTTCCACTATCTTATTTTAATTTCAACTTTTTTTTTGATAATAATAATGATGATGATGATGAATGAAGGAATGAATGGAAAAGAAAATTTTATAAATGTCCACCAACATCACATTCATGCACACAAACAATGGAACATACACACACACACACACATACACAGAAGCTTTATTGAGAAGAATGACAATGTAAAATACATCGAACTCTCTCATTCATAATCATCATCTTTTTCTTTTCTTTATATTAATCTACTAATAATAGTTTACCATTATATAATATTTAATGATCTTCATCATCAAACCGAAGAGAGAGAGAGAGAGAGAGAGAGAGAGAGAGAGAGAGAAAATTATTTGATTGATTTATCGTTTTTTTTTGTTTTGTTTTTGGTTCTCAACCAAAAAAACAAAACAAAAAACATCAACGATTTCATGGACAATTATTAATTGTGAAAAAATTGTGACATTCGATTTGTTATTAAGTGTGTCAGCATATGTTTTTTCAAACTCTTTTTCTCGTACAATTGTTGTAATTAAATGTGTTATTAGTTTTTTTCCATTCATTAATACTTGATTGAATTTAGTTATTTGATGATCATGATGATGACTTGAAGTTGAAGCTAATTGATCGACATCTGGGACACACAAATGAATGAATACAATGATGATGATGATGATGATGATCACGATTGATGATTAAATGGAATTATTAAAATTGAATCCAAATTATCATAAACATTTTACAGATAATAGAAGAAAAAAAAATCGGTCGATCACATTACACAAACAAAAACACAAATAATAAATGTGAAAAAATAGTATATGGCTATATACACACAGCTGATATAACTTTTAATAATAATAATTTTATTAAAAAATCAATGTGATTGAATAACAATCGATCAATCGTAATTTATTGATTAATTTGGATTTTGAACATATTTGGTTGGGATCATATTAATAGTATAAATAATCAAGACATAATAAGATATATCAATCTATTCATTTGATTCTTTTTATTTTAGAAAATCTGATAATATCATGAATTAAGTCATGATTATCTATTTGGTTTGGTCAATTTAAATTTGATGACATAAATATTTATATACAAAACATACACACACACACAGCCGAAAAAAAAGTTGTTTTTATTGTCGGCGACGGTGGTGGCAGAGTATTGGTATTGAGTTTTTTTGAGCATCGAAACCGTTTTTATTTCAAAACACAAACGTTATTTTATATACCACTTGGATAGACACACACACACAACACACACACATACATTGACACTACTATCAATACAACCAAAAATAATATTAGAAAAGGAACAACAATACGGCTGTTAGTAGAAGTAGCCCAATCCCAAAAAAAAACTATACGATTTATACATTTTTGTTTGAATGAAAATGCAATAATTGGAAAAAGAAAAACACACAGACACATGCAGCTCTATAGTTTAGAATCGGTTCGTTGATTTCAATCAAAAAAAATTACACGATCGAATGGATGTATATATGAATATATATGGTTGTTGATAGTTTGTAGTTCCAAACATACGCATGTGCAAATTGGATATATAGAATTTAAATTGTTGAATTTGAAATTTTTTTTTTTTTTTTTTTCATAATGTTGTCATATGCCGGTCGAATGATAATAAATAGTCAAATGATTTAGGATATTTTTTTCCATGATGATCACTATTATTTTTAATTTTTCTTATTCCTCTATTAAAAAAAAAATTGTCCCTCACAAACGCGGACAAATGTGACATCGAACCTAATTTGGTATTTTACCTATATTTTATTTCTATAACTTTATTTGTAGTGAAAAATGAAGAATCAAATGGCAATGATAATATCATATCATCTAGGTCAAATACCGACAAAAATGGCATTCATATTATCGTTGGTCAATATATGGGCAAAGGTTTTCCATGGATCAATCAAATCAACCTGACAGATGGTGAATTTATCATCACATTCAATTCAAACAAATCCATATTTGTGTTCTAATTGTTTATTGTTATATATTCTTATTTCCATATAGATTTATTAAATGTTAACAATTATTCACCATTACCAAATTATGGCGAAAATGGATCTCCCGTATATGTGCCAAAAATGGACCATACACAAGCCAAACGTTTATTCGCTATTAATCAATTCAATATTGTTGCTAGCGATATGATTTCTGTGAATCGTTCACTGCCAGACATTCGAAAACAGACATGTCGTGTGAAAAAATATCCAGATAATTTACCAGATACCAGTATAATCATTGTTTTTCACAATGAAGCTTGGTCAACATTGGGTAGTTTTCTTTATACAACCATCATTTAATGACTAATAAATCTTCATAAAATTTTTACTATTAGCTCGAACTGTACACAGTGTCATTCTACGTTCTCCACATCGATTAATCAACGAAATAATATTGGTCGATGATGCCAGTCAAAGAAAGTTTCTTGGTCAAGAACTTGATGAATATATGAATAAACTATCGAAGGAAATAAAAATTCAAATCAGAATTCTTCGTTCCACAAATCGAATTGGTCTAATACGTGCGAGAATAATGGGAGCAAATTTTGCCAAAGGACAAGTACTTACCTTTTTAGATGCACATTGCGAAACAACCAATGGATGGCTTGAACCATTATTACATCGAATATTGATTGATGGAAAAGTGGCCATTTGTCCAGTGATCGATATAATCAATGATCAAAATTTTGCTTATGTACGAAGTTTTGAAGCTCATTGGGGTGCAATGAACTGGGCACTCAATTTCCGTTGGTTTTCGGTGGGCCATGCCGAATTGAAACGAATGCATAAAAAGAATTTTGATTCGACTAAATCATTTCGTACACCTATAATGGCCGGTGGCCTGTTTTCTATACGACGAGATTATTTCTTCGAATTGGGTACCTATGATTCTCATCTACAAGTTTGGGGTGGCGAAAATATTGAAATGTCTTTACGTATTTGGCAATGTGGTGGAAAAGTGGAAATTGCTCCTTGTTCACATGTTGGCCATGTTTTTCGAAGTTCATCACCATATTCGTTCGGAAAGAAACAAGTCGGCGATGTACTATATGGTAATCTGATTCGAGTGGCTGAAGTTTGGCTGGATGATTGGAAAAATTTTTTTTATAAAGTAAATCCCACTGCTAAACAAATACTTCATCATGATCGGAATGATATTCTAAAAGATATAGAGAAAAGAATCGATCTTCGTAGGAAACTTAATTGCCATTCATTTGAATGGTTTTTAGAAAATGTTTGGCCGGGTAAGTTATTAAACAATCCATGTATTCAATCAATAATTTAGTAATAATGTTTTGACTTTTATTACGAAATTCCAGAGAATTTTTTTCCAAATACAAACACCACTTTTGGACATATTCAAAGTTTATATAGCAAAGAATGTATGCAAAGACCATCGAATGGAGTGCATCCAATCGGAAAAGTCATCATGGCCAAATGTTCAATAGAAATTTATGGTCCACAAAGTTTTATTATTCCATTAACAGGTGAAACAGGATATATTAAATCAGATGAATCTGTTTGTATTGATGCAAATTCTAAGAAAACAAACGCTTCAATTTTATTAATTGGTTGCAATCAATTAGAACGACAAAAATGGCGATATGATTCAAAATTTAAGCAAATAATCCACATTAAAAGTTCATTATGCATTACGATTGATCGAAGAAAAACGACACTTTCATTGGCGAAATGTTTATCAAATAATAATAAAAGACAAGCATGGAAAATAATATCACAAAATTGGAATAATGATTAAATTTAATTGCTTGAAAATATTCGTTTTGTTTTCTTACATCATATATTGTGATAATTTTATATTGAAAATAAATCATTTTTTTCGATTTTGATTGGTTGTTTTGTTGTTTTTATTGTTTGGATTGTAATAGTTTGATTGTCTATTTTTTGTATTGTAATTTCGATTATTGTTATTATTGCTACTGTTATTGTTACCATCATTGCGTCTATCATCATTTGTCATTTTAGATGAATGACGATGATCTTGATTGACATTATTTGGATATTGTTGATTTTTAACTGTTTGTCTTTGACGTTGTTGAGGATCATTCGAACCATAACTATTATTGAAAGATTGTTGCCCTTTTCCTTGGTTGTTCCGTTGTTGATATTTATTATTATAAAGCTGTTTGCGCAAATATTTTGCACAATTTTCATACTTTTCATTGGCCATCCTATATTTAGGCATATTGTTTGTTTTGCCTAAATTTTCATGAACAATAGCATCATCATTATTATTATCATCATCGTCGTCGTTTTCATTATTCTCTTCTATCACAGGTTCTATATCAAAATTTTCATCTTCATTTTCATAGGTATCATCATATTCATCATCATAGATATCCATTCCTATATATTTTTCATCGGTTTTTAAATCTTCACGTTGTAATTTTCCACGTTCAATCATCAATTTAATCTGTTCTTTTAGCTCTTCTTCTTCCTTCTCTATTTTTTCGGCCAATTCTATTGTCACATTTTTCGTCTTTTCTTTGTTGGCTTTCATTTCGCTCAATTTATCTTTCTTTCCGATATAAATGTCGGCCAATTGGTAATTAGCATTATTGATTGGATTATATTTCTGTGAATCCGTTAATATTTGATCATCCATCTGTCCACTCGATTTCACATTGTCCAACATTGATGCAACTTTATCCAAATCAGATTTAGTTAATTTACGGTCTAATGAATTTAATTCCGCTGGGAGGTTAGATTCGAGAATAGCATCGACAACTCGTTCATTATTAAAATCATAATGTTCGAGACATTTGTAAATGAATCCATTACCAAGTTCAGGAAACATTTCAGCAATAAGTTGTTCTTTGGAAATGGTTTCAGGATCAATACGAAAACTATATTTTGATGTTTGTTCCAAATTTATTGCTTGAGGCTTTTCGACTTTCTCGGAATTTTGTGATTTATGTTTTTCTATCAACGTATTAAAATTCATTCGATAGTATTCCAGAACATCGTTGATAGTTAATTCTTTATCTAACGAAGGGTTATGACGGAGTGATTCGAATTCTTTTTCAAAAGAAAATTTTTCAAAATAATCAACACAGAATCTACATGATTATGAATAAAATATTTAAATGAATGGCAGAATTGAATGAATATTTGGTTACCTTTCTTTGTTAGCAAGAAAATCAAGCAATCTCATTAAATTATCAAATAGTTTGTATAGGTCATCTTGCCTGAAGAAATTAAATGTTAAAACATGATAAGATGAAATTATTCAAGACTTACAAATTCGCTAATGGTTCAATGTAGACGGTATGTATAATTTTACGAAACAATAATAAAGAGGAAGCTTTGGACAAACAAATTTGGCTTTTGAAATAATTGTAGAAACTATTACGAAGAATTCGAATGAAAATACAATCATACAACCGAAAATTACTTTATTAATAATACATACTTTTCGACGATTGTATTCGAACGATATAAAGATAGAGTCTCATTTTCGATGTATGGAAAATAAAGTGAATGAAACTTGATCAATCGATTCAAAAGTTGACCATCTTCATAAATGAAAGCAATTCGTGGTTCATATTGAATTAATTTGTTCAACGAGAATAATACATCCGTAATATTTGCGATCACATAAAACATTTCATTATTTAAATCATATGAATTATAGTTTTCATAATGGAAGAAAAATTCAAATATTTCTTTTAAAACGAATACGACATCATTTTTCATTTTTGAATAGTTTCGTTGGAAAAAAGATTTTAGCAAAAATTTTAACATTTCTGAATTTGGTCCATAACCGTAAATCTGTATTAAATCCAATATTTTTGATATGTCTAAAATATTGTTTTTAATCAACAGTTCAGAGTGATAATCTTCGCTCATATAATTTTCCTGAAGAAAATAAAAGATAACGAATCAGACATGAATACTAAATAATATGAAAACAGACCTCAGATTCTTTGTGTAACAGAATCCGTATATAGATTCGGAAAACAAGAGAATGAATACTACTTGATACGGGTCCAATCGTTTCATGTTTAATTATTGGATGTATACGATAAGGACGTGTGACATAATTTAGATATGATTCTAGAGCAGTATGAACATCTGGATTGTAGACGATAACAGACCAAAAACTTTGAAAAAAAAATAAAATAAAATTTCATCATCACAGAAAAAAACATACCGAAAATAAGGCAAATGAACAATGGAATTAAGAGAAGATTCAAACATTTTACAATCGTGAATCCATTTTGAGCTGTTCATTGAATTGAAATTGTCCATTTCATTAGATGATGGCTCATAATATAATGGAAAATTGATACGAATATTGAATTCTTTACTCTGTATTCGGATGGATATGAATTAAAAAAAATTAACAATAACTTTTGAAAGAAAAATTTATCATACAATCAATGGTAACGATTTTTGTTCTCGATTTCGATCCAAAAATACGATACGTCTTTTCTCCAATGGATCATAACGATTCATCTAAATATTCAAAAATTTATTCAATCAATCATCAAAGCAAGAATTTACAAGAATAAGAAATTATTTACTTTGTCGCTTGATCTTGATTTACAACGGAACGATGATTGTGGTTTTAGATCCATAATTTTGAGAAATGATAAACCGGATTGATAATAATAATATTAAAAATGTGGAAATTCTGAAAATTATATTACAGCCGGTGATGAAAAACTATAGTGAGCCAGTTGTCTAATGCGCATGTCATCGTATAACTTGAAAAAAAACTTGGAATTGTTGCTTCGTTCCAAAATTAGATTCCTTGATTAGATTGAAAGGACATTTCTTGTAAATTAATTTTTTGAACTTTCTAATCGCGATTGTCATCTAATTGGGACTGGAATTTTATCTGGTACATCATAAACATTCATCTACAAATCAATTTTTTATTTATTAATCATTGCTGAATAGCTTATTCAACATAGCTAACTTGCAGCTAGATGTTTTCGTCAATAATCTTTGCTTGTTATCTTCATTATCATCATCATCAAATTGCACATCAACATCATCATATTATTGATGGACGACAGTCTTTAATTGCGTATGAGCTATATAGCTGTTGATTGATTTTTCTACCTGCAAGCTTTCAGTTGTGTTACATTTGGAAATCAAGTTGAAGTTCAAGAAAATGAAATATTTAAATTATAATTTTCATTATAAAAAGGTTATTATCAATGTTGTGTATGAAATAATCACTTTCATTTTATTTTGTTTATGAAAATATATCTTATTTTTTCCGTATAGGTTTTCTCAGCCTTGATAAATCAGCGATCATTGTCGTCGAATGTGATGAGAGAAGAATGGAAAAAGATGGCCACTAAACAAATGAAGGGCAAAGATCCAGATACATTGATATGGAAAACATATGAAAATATTCTGCTAAAACCAGTGTATTTCAGTGAAGATCGAGCACAGGATCCACAAAATGAATTGCCGGGAAAATATCCTTTCACTCGAGGACCATATCCAACTATGTATGCACAAAGAGCATGGACTATACGTCAATATGCTGGTTTCAGTACGGTAGAAGAAAGTAATCGATTTTATCGTGAAAATATTAAAGCTGGTGTACAAGGTTTAAGTGTTGCTTTCGATCTAGCTACTCATCGTGGCTATGATAGCGATGATATCCGTGTACAAGGAGATGTCGGTATGGCTGGTGTGGCTATTGATAGCGTTGAAGATATGAAAATGTTATTCGATGGAATTGATTTAAAAAAAATTTCCGTTTCAATGACAATGAACGGTGCGGTCATACCGACTATGGCATTTTTCATTGTAGCTGGTGAAGAATCCGGTGTAGAACAGAAATATCTTTCCGGAACTATTCAAAATGATATTCTTAAAGAATTTATGGTTCGAAATACGTATATTTATCCTCCAGATGAATCGATGAGAATCATTGGCGATATATTCTCATATACATCCAAAAATATGCCGAAATTTAATTCCATTTCGATTTCTGGCTATCATATACAAGAGGCTGGTGCAAATAGTTTATTAGAATTAGCATACACCATTGCTGATGGTCTTGAATATTGCCGTACTGGTGTAAAGGCGGGTTTGAAAATTGACGATTTTGCTCCTCGTTTATCATTTTTTTGGGGAATTGGAATGAATTTTTACATGGAAATTGCTAAAATGCGTGCCGCTCGAAGATTGTGGGCACATTTGATGACTAAATACTTTCAGCCAACAAATTCTAAATCATGTATGTTGCGTACGCATTGTCAAACATCGGGATGGTCTCAGACAGAACAAGATCCGTATAATAATATTGTACGTACTACCGTTGAAGCTTTAGCAGCTGTATTTGGTGGAACACAATCTCTTCATACAAATTCTTTTGATGAAGCGCTTGCTTTGCCTTCACGGTTTAGTGCTCGAATCGCTCGAAATACACAGATTATAATTCAAGAAGAAACAGGCATTCCTAAAATTATTGATCCATGGGGAGGTTCCTACATGATGGAAAGTTTAACCGACGAATTATATAATGATGCATTGAAAATTATTGAAGAAATCGAACAAATGGGAGGCATGGCAAAAGCTGTGGCTCAAGGTATACCAAAGATGAAAATCGAAGAATGTGCTGCAATCAAACAAGCACGTATTGATTCTGGCCAGGAGGTAATTGTCGGAGTTAATAAATATAGATTGGAAAAAGAAGAACCGATTGATGTGCTGATGATTGACAACAAACAAGTACGTGAAGCTCAGATCGCTAAATTAAATCAAATCAAAACCACTCGTGATGAAGAAGTATGCCAAAGATCTTTGGATGCATTGACTGAAGCTGCCAGAGGTGATGGTAATGTTCTGGAAAGAGCAGTTGAATGTGCCAAAAATCGTGCTACATTGGGTGAAATTTCTATGGCATTGGAAAAAGTATTCGGCAGATATACAGCCGTTGATCGTTTAGTTAGCGGTGCATATTACAATGCATATTCAGAATCGGAAGTATTGAAAAAAATTCAGGATAAAATCAAAGAATTTGAAGCCGTTGAAGGTCGTAGACCTCGTATATTAGTTGCCAAAATGGGACAAGATGGTCATGATAGAGGTGCAAAAGTCGTTGCTACTGGCTTTGCTGATGTTGGTTTTGATGTTGATTTGGGGCCATTGTTTCAAACACCCGAAGAAGCAGCTCAACAAGCGGTCGATGCTGATGTTCATTGTGTAGGCGTGAGTAGCTTGGCTGCTGGCCATAAAACATTGGTACCATTATTAGCTGATGCATTGAAAAAACTTGGCAGAGAGTAAGTTGATTTACAAACAGATTGTTAAATGATTGTTTCTAACAATATTTTGTTTCGTTTACCAGAGATATCAAAGTGATTGTTGGTGGAGTCATTCCTCCACAGGATTATGATTTCCTTTACAAAGCAGGTGCTTCAGCGATTTTTGGTCCGGGTACACCGATTCCGCATTGTGCAATAAAAACATTGGAAGTCATACAAGAATCTCGTAACAAAAATGATAAGAATATTGCCGCTTCTAATTAATTAATTAAAATTTAATAAGAATAAAATACTCAAAATACATATGGATTGTTATATTATTTTTTTTTTATAAAAATGAAATCAATTTGTTTAATAATTATAAAATCAAAAGAAATAAAAACTATAATAATAATAATATAATTTTTGTTGTTGTCTATTTGAGATTGATTCGGGAAAAAGTTTTTTTTGTTTTGTTTGTTTGTTTAGCATGAAATAAAATCTACAAGTCTATGAGGCTAAGCGTTTTGTGTGTAACTGCGATTTTTACACTCGCCAAGTGCTTGCACTGTGTACTTGCAATGGGTATTAACTTGGCATTTGATGCGGCGAAGCTGAGCCGGCCATTCCTGCTTATTTTCAGTACAAACCTAACTATTTGGTATGAGCTACTCAGTGTGCGTTGTGTGTGTGTGTGTCTGAGCATGCGGGAAAACTTTTGAATGCCGCTGAACAGTTCGTCCAGCTCAGAAGTAGAAGTCGCTTCCAAAGAAACGCATTCTGTGGTATGTAGCTTTGACAAAGCTTTTTTTCATTGTTCTAGCTCAGCACACGTTGCTGCAGCTTTTGCATCCAATAGATGGTGCAGTCATTCAATAGAACATAAAAAGAGTTCGAATTCGAATTTTTCGAATTGATTATTGTGATAATACATGTGTCACACGTGATTTTCATTTTGTGTGCCTGTGTGAGTGTGTATTTGATGATGAAATCTTGCCTGAAGACTGCATTCATTTGAATGATTTTTTCTGTATTTTTGTTCCCGTGATCTATGATCTACTCATCGTTTGGTAAGTTATTTCGGTTATTTAACCTGATTATACCTAAAATACCTGATAACTTTTTTCATTTAAAATAAAGAAAATGGAGCATTTACGATATTGCAGAAAGCCACAGCGGTTGACGATTCAATGTTGAGTGTCTTCATGCGATGAACCCACAAGGTTATCCTATAGGATCTATAGACACAAACTTGGATTAAACATTGGATCGATTATCATGTTCAGTCGCAATATTGAACCACAAAGTGGTTTGCTCAATGGCACGCGTTTATTTGTAAATAGACGCAGCATTGAAGCTCGAATATTGACAAGGAGGCTATGATTCATTTTGCAGCAAAACGATCGAGATCTTAAGCTACCATTTAAATTGGTTCGTGGACGATTTCCTGTCGTATTGGCTTTTGCTCTGACAATTAATTAATGTTTTAAGGAAAATCTTTCGATAAAATAAGTGTGTACCTTCCTACACCAGTATTGCAACATGGAATGATTTATGTGGCTTTTTGCCGCTGCAAAAATCCTAATAATCTGAAGATTTTTGTTCATGAAATTGAGGAAAATATCAACAATGACCACAGTATCTATACCAAAAATATTGTATTTCTTCAACTTTTTGATTAGCAATAATAATTATGCTGTTCGGTGTACGCAACTTTTTCAACGGTATCAGGTGCAATGCACAAGTGATGGCTGACCCTGCGGTACCAAACCGAAGGCCGGAAGCAACACGCCGTGCATAGAAACCCACCGTCAGGCACGAAGCGTTAAAATTGACACCTTTGGCTGGGTACCAAGCAGGGGGGGCGGCGCAGCCGCCACACCTGCGGGTATCCAGCTATATTGACCGTCAAGGATTGATACCTTTGACTGGATACCAAGCAGGGGGGCGGCGCAGCCGCCACACCTGCGGGTATCCAGTTATATTGACCGTCAAGGATCAGCCCCGCAGGGCCAGACCAGGACAGGCGCGAAGCGCCTGTTCTCGGGCTGGTATATTGAAATAAGGAAGAAAAAATAATCATTAAAAGAATAAATAGAACACCTTCACAGAGAATTATACAATTATTATTATAGTTTTTGTTTTCCATCAAGCAGAACCTAATTTTTCTTTTCAATTTGAATGAATGAATGAATGAATATGTCAATCTGTAAAATAAAATTGTCTTCTTTGTTTCGTTTATCATCATCATCATCATCATTATTATTAGGCAAGGAAGAAACAATTCATTTGAATCAAAGTAAAATATGACAAAACACGATACGTAAAATGTATTAACAATTAAAAAAAACAAGTATACAAGTATTACGTATCGTTATATTGATGATGTTGATGATGAAACAGTATTGTGTATAACTCAAAGAAATTGCATAGAATCAGGTGGAATACAGGAAAAAGTGTTGCTATCAATATTCATATGCAAAATGTGTGATCGAAAATATTACAAGTTTACAAACACTTCATTATGTATTTTGTGTTTGTGTGGGGGCGAGGGTGTCGGTTGAATGACGGAAATTTATATTTTCATCTGAAATGAAAGAAAGTAAAACAATTTGAAACAAAAGAAAAAACCTAGATATAGATTCCAATGTGAATGGGTTTTTTTTATATTCACTTGGATTGCATATTGTTCGGACGATAAACAACGGTATTGGGTCCACCGCCAGCACGAATTGGTTTTACTATTGAATTTTGAATAATCATTATTAATTGACAAAAATCTAGATGAAAATGTATTAACAAACCTATTTGAGCGACGTGTCCTCTTCGTGCTAAATTCTTTTGTCGGACGGCTTCTTTGATTCGATCAACTTCGTGTTGATAACGTTTTCGATCTTTCATAGCCGATTCTTTAGCTTCTTTTAGGGCAGCTTCCAACGTTTTTACACGTTCCATTGTAGTACGTAATCGTTTTTCTAATTTTGGAAGTTCACACCTCAATTCGGCATTGTCTCGTACAAGCTAAAAAATAAATAATAATACATTAAAAATGACGAATACAAATTCAAACAATGCAACAAGTACCTGTTTATGAACTTTAGTCAATTGTTCAAGATTGTTCTCGAGGAAGGCAATTTTCTGTTTCTGGGCTAATGATCCACCAGAATTTGAAGAATCATCCTGTTCCTCACCAATCGAAATCTTTTTAAACCGATTCTTAATATCTTCGACAAATAATTTTCGAAGATTGAATAGGCTATTCAACTCTTTGGCAACAGTCTCTTCTAGTCCTTTAAGATCTTGTTTGGCCTGTTCACATTTTTCATTCAACAATGTCATTTCATGCAATTTTGCACTCTTGTCATTTTCTTCGGCTTTGAGCTTATCATAATCTTGTTGTAATCGTTCTAGAGCAAGGGTCATTTTTTGATTCAAATCTTTGTACTGATCGACCATTGATTGGCGTTCGGCAATTTCATCACGTAATGTGGCCAATTGTTTTTGATGATTTTCTCTATGTTTTTCAATTTGTTGTTCAAGAGCATTTTTCATTTGCTCGACAGAATCTTTTTCCTTTTCTTTTTCTTTTGATGTAACCTGATGCATTTCTTCGGCTGCTTTCAATTTAGCACATTCTTCATTTAGCTGATCAACAGTTTCTTCCAGAACGCGTAGTTTTTTATCAGCTTCTTTTATCGTTTCTTGTAATGAATTCATCTTGGCCTCGTATTGGCTTATAAGTAAACGACGTTCCTGCAATTCTTTTTCATATGATTCAATCTTTTTATTACAAGATGACTGGTATGTTTCAAGATGAGCAGTTCGAGTCGTAAGTGCTTTGACTTCGCTTTTCATTTTACTTATGAACAATCGAGCAACAGTAAATTCATCATCCAATTTGCTTGCATCATTTGATATTTTTAGTTCACCAATAAAACTTGCATTTTGATTCGAACCCAAAACGATTCCCACTTCGCTGAGATCTTTCATTAGATTTGTAACCATTTCTACATATCGTCGCTTCTGATGATTCATCTGTTCTTTTATTTGTTGTAATTCTGATTCTTGACCATTCAATAGTGAAGATTTTTGTGTCAATTCTTCGCTTAACGTTTCAAATTCTCGGTTCTTTGTTTCGAACTCTTGTGATTTTTGATCATAATTAACAGCAAGCTCTTCGAGAGCTTGTAATACTTCTTTAACCTCTTCTTTAAGAGATTCATTTTCCTGTTGAAAACGAGTAATATCGGCTTGTAGGACATCATTATCACGTCTAGATGATGTGAATATTTCTTCCTGTTCGACAATTTGCTCTTTTAATTTTTCAATCTGTTGACTATATTTATCAATTTCATCATCTTTTTCATCAAGCTGAGCATAAAGTCGAGCTCGTTCTTCTTCGAATTTCATTCGTTCTTCATTTGTTAATGGTTCGTTAGTTGTAGCTGCAAACATTGGAACATTAATATTCATTGCTGGAGCGGAAGCAGCAGGCAAATTATGAACTGATTCGGATAGACTAAGTGTACTAGTATCAAGATCTCTAACCAATCCTGATTGTTCATCAGGCGGTACGGATTCACCGTTTCGCCATCGTGTCAATTCCTGTTCACAACGTTGAAGTTGAGCACGAAGTTTGGTAACTTTTTCACGTTCACGTTCATAACGACGTTTCCATTCTTCAGCGGTCAATTCTTCATTCACTATGACAACGTTCTTGATGGTTTTGGCTCGCCGACCAAATTCAAGCGTTGACTTTGTTTCCATTTCATTGAATGATGCCGGTGAACAGCATATAATGATTGTAGTACGTGAATTACCGCCGAGTGATTCTTGTAATATACGAGTAAGCTTACTATCACGATATGGAATATGAGATTTCTACAATAAAAAATACATGATAAAATAATTATGATTCATTTGTATAAATGTCATTTGGAGATAATTACATTGCCATCCGCTAGGGCTGATATCACATTTCCAAGTGCTGAAAGCGATTTGTTAATATTTTTTGCTTCATCCAACACCATTCCTTCAGCGCCAGTCTTGCTAACCTAATTTGTAAAATAGTCGCCATTTATTTAACTATTATTCATTATTGATAAAATTACAAACCTTTTCAGAACCAGCCAAATCAACAAGATATAATTTTCCGGTCAGTTTTTTCTGGTTATCTTGATTTTCTTGCTTAACATTTATCAAGAATACTGAATGACTACGAGAAGAATGTTCATTCATATCTGATAGAATAAAATTGTTAAAAATTTCTATTTAAAACGAATAATTTTTGCAATACTAACTCGTCACGGCTATATGTCGATTTGATTTTCCTTCATCAATAACTTCCATCACTTCCTCTGGACATGTTACGAAACGTTCGGTCGCACCTTTGACAAATGTGCAACGATTTTTATCTTCATGAACCGATAGATTCACTTTGGACACTGTTGAGAAATTATTAACAATAATTGATTTTTTTAAAATCACAAATACTGATTATTTACCATCTAAAAGATCTCTAATTTTATCTAAATAAATTTCAAAATAAGAGACTTTGATGTGAAATTCAATTGCTTCATCGATCGAGTAGATATAATTGAATATATCATTCACGATACGTGGTATGATACCCATATAATCGGGATCATTAAGTACACCTTCCATCGTATGTGTTTTACCCGATGATGTTTGACCATATGCAAATATGGTACCATTATAGCCACCAAGAACATCTTTGACAATAGCTTTTGCTGCTTCATTATATACTTTTTCTTGACTTGCATTTGGTTTGAACACTTTATCAAATACATATGTTTTGCCCTGAAAACAATATTTTAATTAATTAATTCTAAAACAATCGATTTTATAATGCAAAATATTTACATACCGATATAGTCAATCCTTCTTCACTATTTGAAGGAAATTTGACGACGAATTTGCTACCAGATTTTTCCTCTGAATCATTTAGAGGTCGAAAACGACAGACAACTTTAATGTTACATTCGGATCCATCAGACATTGTGACTGGTTTTTTTCTGGTGTATCGTTGATTACAATATAAAATTTAAATTCATCAATAATTATTCTTCTCTTTGGACTACGATATATACACTCGTACAGAGGGAGAATCACTTGATTTGATTAGTCTTCTTTTTTTTGCCTCTGATTTTTATTAATAAAATTGTAGGTGAAAAAAAAATATCACGGTTATAATATAAAGAAAAAAAGACAAAGCTTTTCGTTGCTATTGTTTGAATCGTTGAACATTAATGATCAAAAAAACAAATGATGAATGAAGATTTTAAATCAAAGATCGATCATATAGGTTTCGTGGGATGTTTTTAAAATCACATGAAATTTTTGATTTATTCAAGAGAAAATAAAATGCAATGATTTTCTACCTAAATTAAAAAATGCAAAGAAATTTCATTATAATGTCAATAATATAAAACGAATTCAATTAGAAATGTGACTTTACCTAAATTATTATTGACGTAAATGAATCAGTGGATCTTGGATTCGAGAGAGGTAAATATGTTTGAATGAAATTGAATAGAAAAAAAATGATAATAATAATCATAAACTAATAAAATAAAATAAAATGTATCACATAAAAATTTCCATTTGATAATTGTTGATTGCATTAATTTTTATAATAATGGTCGAGAGAAAAAGCAACAATTCCAAAAAATACAGCCAAATTGATCAATGTTTTTTTTATTAGATAGAAAAATTTTCAAAAAAGGCCGAAAACATTAATAGCAGCTTGATTCAGGCCGAATCATCATCATCATCATCATCCGACAAACGACATTGTCATAAAAGGCAATGTGTGTGATTATTATAGTTTTGAACATTTAGGCACACACGTACACACAAAACACAAGAAATAACACAAAAAAAATGAAATGATTCAGGTCAAAGAGAAATGTAATTTCAATAATATTTGATGGATGGATAAAAATTTTTATAAGAAAAAACAATTGATACGTGTCATTCGGTAGATGATGATGATTCACAACTGTGAGTATTTCTTGTTGTTTTTTATTATCAAAAATTCAAATTTTTGTCACCATCAATTAAAATGTTGATAATCTGTGTTTGTGTGTGTTGTATGCATTCAAAATAATTGAACAAACAATATCATCAAATGCCGAAATAACATATGATCGAATGGTTTGCAAAAAAAATATAAAATACACAAACACTCACTAAAACAAGAATTCAATGAATATATTCTTTGTATATGTGAAATTCGTTTTATATTTGTAAATATTAGATGCGATTCAATTCTCACATTAACACATATTCACACGATACGACGTATCAATCAATCAAAATTGAGAATTGTTGATTATAACCTGAAGAATATATTATTATCATCATCATCAAAGAATAATAAGAATATACAAACACATCCAATGAGTCAGGCGTGAAAAAAACGATGGATTTTTTTTTATTTTATTATTATTACACATAAATCAATGAAGAAAAAATACTATAAAAAGGGGAAAGATATGATGAAGAGAGAGAGAAAACAAAGATAACCAAAAAAAAAAAAAATAAAGGGAGAGATGATGTCCGGTTGGATTGTGATTGGTTAATTTAGGTTTTTTTCTTTTAGGTTTGGTGTGATGATGATGATTACTGTCACGCCATGCACATACATACATTTACAATTTGTATAGATAGAGAGTATAAGATGTATAAGGGGAACGAAAAAAAAAATAAATAAATAACGAGGGACGAAAATATTTAGTTAGAGTTTTGGGAGGTGCGTATATATTCTGCGTTGTTGTTGATACCACCACTGTTTGATATTTACGTTTGGATAATTTTTTTTTCATCGTATTCTTATACTACTACTTCTATTTAATGCTTTGTGACTATTTGTACATTTATCATTCATTGTGATTGTAACAAACACACCCACAGTGTTCAATGCGATTCATTCGTGCATTCATTCCGCAAATATTGCCTATTGGAGTGATACAAATTCATTTGAATAAATGAAAAAATTTCACAAAATTTTCTTTAGTCAAAAAAAAAAAATTAAATAATTTTGTTTGATTTTAGATATAATTGGCTCGACAACAACAACAACAACAAAAAAATTTTCTCATTTTTGTTGAAAATAGAATGACGAAAAAAGAGAAAATTTTAAAAAGTATATGGATATAAAATAAAGCTATTATATCATATGATGATGATGATGATCATTATGACAACTAACGATATAACCAGGTTATATGGTTGAGAGTTATGGCTAAAATCTCATTATTATTTGTTGATGATAATGGAAAATTATTTACAATTAACTTTTATCTTTCGTTTTTACAAAAGCTAGTTTGTAAAATTTCAAGACTAATACAAAAAATGCATTGAAAAAAAAGATTTTCGGAAACTTTCTTTATAGATTATTCAAATTTCCGTAAATATTGTCAATTTTACAAAGAAAATGCTCTAATTTAGATTTTATTGAATAATTTTCATTCTATTTCTTAATTTATTCGACTTAAATTTTTGTATGAATAATTGTTAAAAAGATTTCCAGCAATTGGCATATAAAATATGCGTAAAATTTACAGCAATATTGATTTGGTGCCCAATCAACCCAATTAAAATGAATGTGGCACATGGCAGAATAATCAAAATAATAATAAAAAGAAATATATTCGTTCGATAATCAAGATTCAATGTGATTATTTTTTTTAGGGTGAAAAAATATTTATCCATAAATACTATACTATACAGGCAACAATGATGATGATGATCATCATCATTATCATAAAGTTTCTATGTGATGGCATAAAAAAAAGCGAGAAAAAAATACTAAAAAACTAGTTTTACTGGTCCGACATTTAAAAAAAAAGACAGCTATAGCCAGCGTCAATCCAACCGATGCGATTACGGGCTGATCTGTAGGCCAATTTTTTTTTGGATTTAAAATTGGATATTTATCCATCTCCGATGCTGCCATCTATTAGGTTGATTTTTAATTTGTTATTAATATCATCATCAAAAAGATATATTTTCGGTTTTGTTTCCTTCAAAGTTTTATTTTTATTTTATTTTTTTTTTTTTTTTTTTGGTTTGTCATCAAATGTATGCAACAACAACAACAACAACAACAATATTTGACGTTCAGATATCGTTGATTTCTGCTGCTGCTAAATTTTTTCCATAATTTTTTTATCAGTCATTTTATATTTTAGTTCATACAACAACCTACTACAGAAGCTCACTCTTTCAAAATTCTATTATTTGGTTTTGTTTTCGAGAATTGGCCGGCAATTCTGTTTGTTTTATTGTAACAATTTTGAGCCACTAAATAATGACAACTAATATGGGTAGAGCAACTATAACAACAACAATAATAATGATATGAATGATTTTCTAAATGAAAATCATTATCAATCATTTGAAAAATACTCGAAACAATCATGCATCATCATTAATGGAATAAAATCAAGCTAATAATGGTGGTCATTGTTTATTGTCGATCAACAACAACCAGAAACAAACCAAAACAAAAAGAATCAATATAAATGGCATTGATGCCAATATTGACCAGGTAGGTCATATTATCTATTAGTAGTTAATGTTATTTTCAAAGATTTTTATTGATGAATCATCATCAATACGAATTATGATCATGAACAAATTAATTATTATACATTGTTCCTGGTATGACATCATCAAAAAAAAAATTCCATATCATATACTATAACCGATTCGAGAATAAAAATTATGAAAAAAAAAATTTTATTCGAATTTTTATATATATCAATTGATTATTGTCGTTTTGGATTTTATATAAAAATTGTGTGAGATATTTTTCCTATAATTGATAAATCAAATTTAGCAGCTGTAAACTGTCATTGTTGTTATTTGATGTGTTCAAACAACAGAGAAGAGGCAGAACAAAACACCTTTAGATTTCCTTGAATTAAAAAAAAAAACAGACAAACGAAAATGTAAAGCTCAAATCAAAGTGTGAGAATTTTTTTTTTTTTGATAAATTCCAATGTTTTCAAAGATATATTCTATTATTACCACCGCCATTCATTTTCATTATTATTGTTGAAAATGAAAAAAATTTGTTGTAACAATTATGATTTTGTCATTATTGAAATGATGATGAAAATCCTGTTGAAAATTGAAAAATCTTCGTTTTTTTTGTTTTGTTTGTGTTTCATCCTGTATAAAATTTATATTTTTTTTTTCAATTCATTGAATAATTTCAGCAGGTGCACGCATATAAATTCATTATTTCTCGACCCATTCATTTATGGATTGAAAACCCGTGTGTGTGTGTGTATTTTTGCATAATTAGTTTATTAGTCTGTGTTTGTTATTTGTTTTTTTTCCGCCGTCTTCATTATATAATAATGAACTTTTTTTTATTTTATTCATCATTATTATTATCCGGATCACCGATATTATTATCATTATATTTCTGTTTTGACATTTGTTTTTTTTTTTGGTATTTTTCATTGACATTTTTTTCTCTCTCTCTCTCTCTGTGTATGTTTGTCTTTGTTGATCTAGATTTCTGTCTGCTGAAAGTTTTGTGCATTTTTTTCCCTATTTAGTTTCCCAGATACACACTTTCATGAACACACAAACAGTTATTCATTATAATCCATCATTGGTCTTATGAATTTATTCAGATTTTAGTTTTGTTCCATTCACCTGAGTAGCAATCATTGATTATCGTTTTAATCAGACAGATTTATTTTTTTTATATTCAAGTTTGTTTTTAAAATCATCAAATTTAGAACCAAAAATGTTTTTCAATTTCAACCTCAAAATGAAACAATACCAACGATAAAAAAAATACACATCGATAAAAAAAAGAAAACGATAGATTAATAAATTTATCTGTAAATATGTAATTATGATGATGGTGGTTGCTAAGTGTTTCTTTTTTTTTAGTACAACCATCATCGACGACAAAAATGGCAGCTATTGTGATGATTCTCATCGTGATCAGAAAAAAATGTTCAATTATAATTGTTGATCATTTGTGACTGTTTTTTTTGTGTGTGTATGTGTATGTGTGTGTGTGATTTCCAATGATTTCCATTTTCCGTTTGCTACGTCAATAATTATAAAAATATTTGAAAAAAACAAATCTGTTTTCAATCAATTAACGGCGAAATATTTGTTAGTAAATATGGGATGAAAGGAACTGAGGGTTTGAAATAATGAATGTTTATTATGATAGAATCGAATTTTCGAATATCATAATGTTTACCATTGTTGTTTATATATTTTTTTGTTGTTGTAAAAAAAAATCCTGATGAAATAATTTTTAAAAAATTCTGGGAAAAAATATTTCTAATTTTGCTCAATTTGTTTTTATTATTGAAAAAAGGTCAGTTAAACTAATGTCGTCTCTGTCGCAAAAATCATATCCATATCAGCCATTAAATACGAATATAATAACGAATAATGGTTCATCATCATCATTATCATCGCATAAGATATCGAAGAATTTTATGATTGCCCTATTAATGGGCATGACATTTGGTTTCAGTTTTGCCTACCTGTTGATCAGTGTTGTGAATTGGGATTCATTGAAAGGAATTAGTTTTCTATCATATAGACAATCAGAATTTGATGATTATCATAATCATAATAATCATCATGATCATGATTTCGATCCACATCATCATGAACAATTAGATTCGGTGACTGGACCTAAACTTCCGGTATCATTTCATGATTTAGATGAAATATTTCACAAAGGTAAATCGTAATAATATTTTTTTTTCGTAATGATTGTAATTTGTTTTTTTTATAATAGATGAAGATATAGTTGCTCGTCATCTATCGAAAACCGTGCGTATTCTATGCTGGGTGATGACTGCACCGAAAAATCATCAAGAAAAAGCTAAACATGTGAAAGAAACATGGGGAAAACGTTGTAATACATTGATATTTATTAGCTCAGAAGCGGATTCATCCTTACCGGCAATCAAATTAGATGTTCCAGAAGGTAGAGATCATCTTTGGGCCAAAACTATTGGTGGATTCAATTATTCTTATCATCATCATCTGAATGATGCCGATTGGTTCATGAAAGCTGATGATGATACATATGTGATTTTGGAAAATCTTCGATATTTCCTTTCATCTCATGATCCTACGGAACCTGTTTATTTTGGCTGTAAATTTAAGCCATATGTTAGTCAAGGTTATATGAGTGGTGGTGCCGGTTATGTTCTCAGTAAAGAAGCATTGAAAAGATTTGTCGAAATCGGTTTGGCCAATGATCATCCGGATAAATGTTATGATAAAGAAGAAGGTGGTGCTGAAGATGTTGATATGGGCTATTGTCTTGAAGCATTAAATGTAACCGCTGGTGATTCAAGAGATTCATTGGGTCGTGGTAGATTCTTTCCATTCGTACCGGAACATCATGTCGTACCAGGTCATGTGGATCGAAATTTTTGGTATTGGAAATATATTTATTATCCATCACAAGAGGTAAATATTTTTTTATGAAAACAAAAAAATTTATTCTAATTTAAATTGTAATAAAAAAAAATACAGGGCCTAGGATGTTGCAGTGATACAGCCATATCATTCCATTATGTTAGTCCAAATATGATGTATGTTCTTGAATATTTAATCTATCATCTTCGTCCATATGGCATATCAAGTTATGTTCGTCCACAAGATCAAAAATTACTTGAACATCACCAACAACAAGAATTGCAAACAAAAACCATCCCAGTGGAAGAAATCACCAAGAATGATGATGATAATAATAATAATAATGTTGAACATCGTAATATTAACGAATGAAAATTTAAATATTTTTTCAACAAAGATCTCTTTCAACACCGAATCCATTATCATCATCGATATAAACACCATCAAGTGATTCTCATCCTTGTGATCGATATATATTCAAGAAAACATTCCCATTTATTAGATTCAAATACAACCAATTCAATAATAACCGTATTCGAACAGCCAATCTGGTTTTCTAGTCCAATTTTTTTTTATTTTTTGCTTGTTTACCAGCAAAAATAGAAATTCATGTTCGTATTTTATTTTCATTCCAATTTGTAAAAGCAAGTTTTTTTTTATTATTTAGTTGAAACGAAAAAATATAAAATATATTAATGAAAATAAAATTGAAGAGAATTTTTAAACTTTTTCAATAAAATATAATTACGTACCTGATGTGTGCACCACCCAATTATTTATGAATATCAGATATTCGAATCCGAAAAATACTTACCCAACATTAGTGATTCATTTATTTATGGATACAATATATTCACATACACTATTTTCAATGGCTTCATTAATATTGCATGCATTCGATAATTATTTCACATGTTCACATGATGAAAGAATGAAACATTTGTCATAGATTTTTCATAGTTTGTCAGAATGCATCTTGAATATTCTACAGAAATTTGTTGTTCATCATCCACCACCGAACATCAACCGAATGGTGAACCTGAGAGTTTTTTTTTATTATCCACAAAACTTCAAACTTCAATCAAGTGAATAATACTTCATCATTGAATGGTTGTTTTTTTTTGGATTTTTGAAGAATTCGATTCGCTGACGATTTGATCAATCATCAATTGTACTAATTTTTGATTAATTTTTTTTTTGAATTTTTCTGGCCGAATCATTCTTGCTAATTGTTTTTTCTGTCTTTTGATTTCTAGCTGCCAAATGCTTGCCCAAAAGTACTCTTCATCATCGCTACTTTTTTTTATATATTTCAAATCCTTTTGTTTTTTCTGTTTTTCTTCAAATCATCATCAAAATCATCAATCAAATCATAAACAATAATTTTCATTCAATTTTGGATTTTTCTTCTGAATCCTTTTTATATGGAAAGGGAAAAAAGAAATTTTTTTAAAATGTTTTAATTGTTTAGCATATAAGATTAATAAGTTGGTAAATTATAGTATCGAATGTGATTATCTATCATGTTTTTTTGTGTTTTCAATATTTAGGGTAACGAAAAATGAAAAATTTGGTGAAAAAAAAGAAAGAAAAAACAAAAGAAAATTTGTATATATTTGGGCATATAGAATGATTTTTGCTCGGATAATGATTATGAAAAAAAATATAGAAGATCGAAATACATTTAGCCGAATCAACACAAAGTAATTTTTTTTTTTTGTATTATTGTGATATATAGATTTTGCGTCAGATTATGTGAAAAATGAAATGGAAAAAAAAACAGGAGAAAAAAGGGTTATTCATAATCAAATTAATTGACTGACATTGTTGCTATACACACACACACACACACAAACACTTTCAGAATGATTCAAAATTGAATCATATAATGATATAAACTGCTTATTATTATACTTTAGTGATATCATCGATTCTTGTAAGTTAAAAAAATTCTGGCACAAATACACATTTATGTAAACACACAAACACCACAATCATCATTTTTTGTCATAAACATTTCCTATATGAATGTCGTATATGTGTAGGTATGAATTTTAGAAAAAAAAATCAATCCTCAATTTGAAGCATATATTTGACGCCTAGTGATGAAAAGAATCAAATCATTATATATATATTGATTATAGAATAAGGAAAAAACATTATTCATTAATTGATCAGATTGAAAAATGGCCAATAACTTTTAAAAAAAATCATGGATTGATTGAAATTGTTTTTTTTTGTGATTTTCATATTTAGTATGTAAAAGTTGGTTTTGTTTGTTTGAGTATGTCTCTATTCGGATTGTAGATGAAAATCGGCAAGGATTTACCGATTAAGTGATATTTTTTTGATTCTTTCAAGCATAACTAGACATAAAAACTCTGCCCGAACGTTTAAATGGATACTTACGAGGGGAAAATGAACGTGAACGAGATCTTGAATATCTTGCCGATGATGTATGTCCCCCTCGTCGATCTCTTGATGAATATGAATGAAATGGTGATGGTGAACGGCGACGATGATGATCACTACTACCACTACCACCATATCCAGATGAATTCCGATATCCACGATTATAGTTACTTCCCCCGCCTCTATCTCCACCACTGCTGCTTCGATAACGAGGACTTACAATTAGCAAAAGTATGAAAATTTAAACAAAATTTAGCGAAATCCGAAATATATGGGATAATATCCAGATTTAAGCTATAATTTTAAACTTACTGAGTTGGTTTGCCCATATAAATTCCAGGTGTTGGTGTATGTGCTCGTTGAGTTATAGAAAAATCAACACGTATTTTACGACCATCAATTTCCATGCCATTACAACGATCTTTAGCCTGTAAATATATTCAGAATTTTAAAAATTAGATTCATTATCAATTAACAAAAAAAACGCCTTACTTCAACGGCATGATTTCTGTTTTCAAAATAAACAAAAGCAAAACCACGAGAACGCCCAGTTTGTGCATCATAAACAATTTGTACGTCTTCAATGGGACCATATTTTGAGAAAACATCTTTAAGATCACGTTCTTGTGTGTAGATTGATAGGCCAAAAATTCCTAGACAACGGCCAGAAGGTGGATTTTCACGATTACCAACATGTCGTCGTCGAGATGACATTGGTGAACGAGATCGTTTTGTACGACGACTGGAAGAATCAGGTGAATGTCTTGAACTTTATTTTTTGTAAACATGTTATTTCTGAAACACATAAACAAACAAAAGAGTAAATTCTTACTATTTGCGACTTTTTCCACGTGAACCACTTCGTGAACGAGTTTTACGATAACGTCTTGAATTGCTGCGACTTCTAAAATTTTTTAAAAAAGAAATTTATAGAAAATTTATTAAATAGAATTTTGACATACCTTGAGCGTGATCGACCAGCTGGCCTTGGTGAATGCCCATTAGCTGAACGGTTTGATTCATGTTCAGAATCTTGTTGTGAAGCAGAACGATCATCAGCATCTGGTGAACCACCATTACCCATTTGTTCGGAAGAATCCTAAATCAAAAAATGACGAATTATTCACACTTTAAAATCAATTTCATCCAACATACTTCACGATCACTCATTATGAACACCAAAAAAAAATGAGTCAAATCAACAAAAAAAAGTACAACTTTCACAAAAAACGACTAAATTTTTCTTGAAAATTCCCGAATTCGACAATGAATAACAAAACAACACCAAAAGATGTAATCCACTAAATTTCAAAATGTTAGTTTGAATTTGAAATTAGAAACAAAATTAACTCAAAAAAAAGAAAACGTGCTTTGTACCACCAACAAATACAACACACACACACAATGACAACTTCTATGGCGTGTTCATGGCCTTGCAAATGGTTGCTCTTCTTCACTTGCATGATACAAGGATGCTGCCATCTATCAATTGATGGCCAAAATACAAAAGTATTTTTAAAAAAATTGGATTTGTGATTATTATGTGAAATGTTCGATCAATATTGACAAGCAATCGAATAGATTCAATTGAATAAAAAAAAAAACTTTTGAATATTTTCATTTTTTTTCTACAAATCAATAAAAAAGGATTTAACCTCGAATTGTCACCCACACACACACACAAAAAAACAACAAAATCGTGTATCAATTCCACAATACATTTCGAAAATATTCAAACATTTTATCATTGAACTTGAAATTATTATTAGAAAAATTGAAATAATTTTGGTCACGATTTATGATTGTACGGTACGTATTTATTATTATGATCATCCATACCATTCATTCATGAGGATCTATATCATGGACAGAATCGAATCGTAGTCTTCATAATCCACGTGACAAAAATAAATAAATGATGATGATTGTTGTTATGATGGCGGCGTGGGTGTTTTCCTTTTTTTATGTTTGTCGATTATTATTATCATTATTGTTATAAATAGTTGCAAAATTCATAAACGATATTGTTAATTGTCAATTATCATATATAAAAGACCGAAAAAAAATGATGAACAACAACAACAACAACGAAAAAAAAACATCTGTCCATTCCGATCATCATCATCATCATCATACAGTGCATACAAAAAAAAAGACAACGATAAATTCGAATGGAACGAATGCGAATTATTATTATTATTTTTGAAATAATTTTTCATTTTTTTTCAAGAAAATTGATCTTGAAGAGTTTTTTTTCTGTAATGATGATGATGATGATGATGGCTGTTTAATGATGATAATTCTTTCGAATGTTTTAATATGTCTGTCTATGTCATCTTGGAACAACAAAAACAAAGCTAAAATTAGCAATTCGAGACACAAACAAAATGGATGTTTATGGAAACAAAATCAACAGGGGGATGGATGGATGGGAAACCATCATATAAGACAAGTAAAGATAATCGATTTAACATCGTGACTAAATAGAGAGAGAGAGAGAGTGGACACATTACACACACACACACACACAACATTAAATGTGTTTGAAAATGAAATACAATTGAAAAAAAATGAAAGTGTTTTTTTTTCGTTTTTTTTTTACTTTCTCAATTCCTAAAAAAACCATTTGCCGATTCTTTTCTTTGTTGCCTATTTAAAGCGTAAAACATTATATTAGTGGTTTTATTATTAATTCACCATCAAATGTCCAACGACGATCAATGATTAGGAAACCCATCCTTTGAATTTTATTTTATACCTGGTTGTTTTTTTTTCGTTTTTCTGGTTTTTTATTTTTATTTTATTTTTTTTTTGGGCTATAAAAACGGTACGATAATTTTTCTTTTCTCTCTTTCTTTCGTTCACAATTGCGACCAAAACGAATAAAATTAAATTGGCTACCATAGCCAAACGAAGTGGTAGCCTACCTCCACCAATTCCAGGTCGAATGTCAAATAATCATCGAACAAATGTAATCTGTTCGACAACAACAACAACAACATCATTATCACCATTAAATTCATCATTAAATACATCATCATCATCATCATCAGCATCAACGGGTAATCTATTACAACATACCCGACAAGCTTGTTATAGAATGTCATATGTATTGGTATCGACCGATGATTTTCATCGTGGTCCAACACGAATATCAACAATTGATCCATATCTACATGAAAAAGTTCCATTCACTGTCATCAAGGATAGCCTATATTTCCAGGTGAAAAAGAATGATTTTTTTCACATTATTTTTTTTTGTTCGTAAATAATTTTTTTTAATGACAATAATATTTTAAATTCCTATATGTTTGAATAAACAAAATAGGCTGAACCACAATATGATCCACATGGACGATATTGGAAATTTCGTGTTGAAGATGCGCCTGTACGTGTATTGAATAAATTATTGGATCTTGGCTATAAAGTATTGACCGGTACAAGTCTATCTAGTACATATGAACATAAACAACCTGGACATGCATGGACATTGTTTCGTGATCCAAATGTTCGATATTCAATCATGCATACAAATAATAATAATCATTGATTATATATAATCACATATTGAATTTATCACCATCAATCCATTATATTAAAAAACAGAAAAAAAACAAAACAAAAATTCATTCATTTTAAAATCATTTCCATGTTTCTTTGATAATAATTTTTGCTGATTTTTAATTTCGAATACCACACACACACACACATACAAAATGAGGAAATAAAATTTCATTTTTTCTTCTCCTCCATTCACCAATTTATCCATTCATCCATCCATCCATATATACGATTATTTAATCTTGTAAATTGATGATGTTTACGGCAATACGGTAATCATCATCATTATTATATAAACATTTAATTTTCCGGATTGCAGCCATTGGATTGTTGTTCGTTTGTTGTATGATCAGGTGTGTTTTCGAATGTTTACTCTGTGTATGCGAGTGTGTTTTTTATATATGTTTATAAGATTCGAAATCCAACAACAAGAACAAAAAAATCACTCCACCTTTTTTTTACTCCAGTGTAAATTCAATGGAAAAGTTTTGGTTTAGTTTTTTTTTTTTTTTTTTTTTGAATGTTTTGATTATTTTTAGATCTATATCATCACTGTCATTTTATATTTAGAAAAATTATTCAACAATCGAAAGTAAAACTTGTTTAGTTTGTTTATTTTTTTCTCGATTGTTTGATTGAGAAACTGTTTGACTGTATGGATTTTTTTTCGGTATAGTCGCTGTTGAGAGTATGTGTCCGGCAATTTTTTTTTTTTTTTTTTTTTTTTGCTAATAAAATAATAAAAAAGAAAGTAGCATTACATCCCATTTGATCCAAAATTTTGTTCATTTGTTCGATTTCATATATACAAAACAACAAACAAAAGATATAAATGAAGTTAACATTTTGTTGACCATGTTCATTCATTCGTTTTTCATGACGGCATTCGTTTTGTGTTTAAAGTTTTTTGTAAGAAAAAATTCAAAATTTTACGATTCAAAATTTTTTTTTTTTTTGAAATCTTAATAAATTGTGACATGTTATCAATATTTTTGCAACAAAAATTTTCAATAAAAATCATAATATTCATCATAACAATTATTGTATTCGAATTTATCATCAATTCAAATCAGACATTTGTACCAAAAGGTATTTTTGTCTTTGATTTAAAATTAAATTTTAATGTTTTTTTTTGTTTTTGTTTTTTTTTGGTACCACAAACATAAAGGTCGAAAATGTCGTCTACAAGAGATGCATTGTGATATTATGCATCCAGAGAAACAATGTTGTCCTGGTACCAGTTGTGGTGTAAAAAGAATCAATAATAATCTTGTCAATATATGTATGATGTGTCTGGATATTGGTGAATCTTGTGGTGGAAATGATTCAAAAACATCCTGTTGTCGTGGTTTACGTTGCCAAAAAATTACTGCATTATCAAATGCTTGTATTCCGGTTGCCGATTTTAAATTCTATCCAGATTATGAGACAGATATTAATGTTGATGATGATCAACAACGTAATAATAATTCACCACAACAAATTTCTCTTGCATCATTATTAATGTTAAGAGGATGATGATGAATGGTAATAAATTGATATTGGAATCATAATATCATAATCATAATAAAATTTTTATTTTTGTAAATATGAAAAAAAAATTTTTTGAATTTGTTTTCTATGCACAAATTTTCAACGATTACGGAAGTTTTTTTTTTGATTTATTCGAATGATAAGTTTTTGATGATAATCTATCTCATGGAAAGCGCGCGCATCATTTATTTATCCTCAATAATATCAATTTAATAATATACCTGTGTATCATCATATCATATATATAGAGATCGAAAGTATATAAATTCAAATATGTAGTAGTGGTATTAAAATGAATAAAAAATTGATACTTTAATCTTTAAAATTTTCATTAATGCTTGCTACTACCATGAATATTGAATAAATGTGTATATAATAATGTTGAATATATATGTTTGAAATCCGTTTTTTATTTTGGAATAGAAAAATAGATACAGTAATATCCCGCTTAACGCTGCATCAATCAATTTCATTTTAACGCTAAATTCAACAACCATAAAATGATCAAATACTAATACTGTATGTATTCAGTGATTACATAAGTAATCAAAATTGACATTATTTAAAGAATTTCTAACCCCAATAAATTGCAAATTAAGATAGGCAGCTTTATGTTCAAAATTTTTGGAACGTAACATTCGCGTTAAGCGGGATATTACTGTACAATAAATACAATTACGCAGGCGCTATTTGTCGAATGTCATCGAAATCGAATCCAATGGCGTATCTTTTTTTTGTGTGTGTCCCTTGATTTATTTTATATACACAAAAAGATTTTTTTTTCTATTTAGTTTTGTTCACTTTACTTTTGTTATTATTAATATTGTTGTTGTTGATCTTTGATGATGATGATGATGATTTTCTTGTAATCCTGGTAGCATTTTTCTTCTTTTAGCTATAATATTCTTCAATAAATAGGATTATTAGATAGTTATCCGAAATTTCAACAACAACAACAACAATAAGAAACATTCAAAGAATATATCGTTTTTTCTGGTCCAAAAGGTTTGAAATTTTTTTTATTTGAATTTTTTGAGATTTTTTCCTTGAGGCCCCACTAGATATAATTGACTTTGTTTTTGTTTTATTTAGTAATCAATGTGATCCAATGAATCGTGATTCAGATGCCAAATTTAATAATAAACAACAACACCATCAACAACAATATATCATCTTATCATATAGAAATAGATCATTGAAAAGAGATCTAAAATTTATTAACCATCCAAATACTTCCATTTCGAAAAATAATGAATACATTACAAATGATCATCAATCAAATATTATTGATTGGAAAAATCTACCATTGGTGATATTATATAAAATATTTGCCTATCTTTCATCAACGGAACGGTTGCAAGCATCATCTACCTGTAATTCATGGCGAAATGTTATCTATCATTCAACATTATGGCCACAAAAGCATTTAAAGGTCAATCTTTGTCCACATAAATTTGTTTTGAGCGAAAATGAACATTATCAGAACCAGCAGCAGCAGCAACAACAACACCAACAACAATCTTTATCATATGGTTTTCATACATTTCGTCTTCAAGATTCATATCTTTATCAACAAAATATTAATAATGTAACTTGGATGAAGATTCGTAATGATAATTTAAATAATCGGAAACCAAATCGAAAAAATTTCAATGAGCAGCTAAAATTATTTATACAAAAATGTTCACGTTTTTTAAATGGCATCACATTTTATTTTGATCCAAATTCATCACACAATGTATTAGACTTGATCAAAATAATCAAGTTTCTATCCGAAAATGAAGTTGCTATATATGAAATGAATGATAATCGTCAAAATTTTTATGCCAATTGTCGTAATCTTAAATATTTTTCAATTATACCTGTAACTACATTGGTACGATGCGCTTCCGATCAACGTTTTATGTCACTTTATTCTGGCCTAACCGAAGCAATTCGTTTTCTATTCTCCAAATGTAATCAATTGGAACATGTATCGTTGGGTGATCTACACGAACTTATTCATGCAAGTGATGCTTTTCTGTCACAATTTTTCAAAACAGGCGTTCATCAAAAATTACAATGTCTACATTTAAGTTCGATCAAAGGTGATATTGTTCGATATTTACCACAACAAATGACCACGCTTGAACATTTGGAAAAATTCCATTCATTAAATCATTTATCATTGGATTTTGATGTGCTCAATACAAAAGTAATCAGTATTTTAAGCAAAATTGATACACTTCAATTATTGTCAATCAACGTACATCGTTTTAATCGTAATCATCCTGGTATATCATCATCAGCATGGTCACGAATTGTAACCAATCTGCCAAATCTAAGTGTAAACCTTAATCTATTACATACAGAAAGCAATAATTTTCAAATTATTATCGATTCATTATTGAATACTGAAATGCCTATCAAACATTTTAAAGCTTATTATCTTGAATTTAAAGATGAAAATTCATCAACAATACTTTGTAATATGCTTGAAATACTTAGTCGAACTCATATGAATACTCTTGAATCGTTGACATTGATCGATCATTTAAATAGTCCTAAAAATCATTTAAAAGCTGTCACGCCAAATGTTTTGATCATGCTTTGTTGGCGTTGTCGAAATCTTAACAATCTTACTGTTATCGGTTATGAAACAACCGATAGAGAAATTATAGCAATGGCTCGACTTCGTGGTGAATCTCTACAATCGTTTTATTTTCCTTCCTGTTGCATACAATTAAGCGAAATATTCACTAAATATAATTATTCACCAGTTTTCAGTGAATTTTTCATCAATTTTGATATGGCTAATCAATATGCACAACGTAGTTTTCGGGATGCTGTTTCATTACCATTGAAACGTAATTGGCAACCAATACCTACTCATAAGATACCAGAAATAATAGCTACAGGATTTCTTCCTCAAACAACTTATCATCGAACCATTTTGGAACAGAAAAATAGTCATTGTATTCATTGATCTTTTATCGTATTTTTTTCGCTCAAGTAGGCGATAACAAACGATTACTGTGATTAAAGAAAAAAAAATTCATTCTATAATAGATAGTGAGAGAAACAAAACGAGGCAAATCATCATCTCATAGGAAAAACAAACTTAAATTCCTGATGAGTATTCCGGAGGCCAATTTATCATTTGAATAGCTGAAACAAAAAAAAATTTCGAAACTTAATTCATTTGATCATTGAAAATGAAAGCGAATCATAATATTAAAATTAATAATTGAACATCAACTGTGATATGAAACAACGTAAATAAGTAAAAAAAAATAACGGCGATAAAAATAATTGTCAAACTAAATATTTTTCAATTGTAATCATCAACCAAATAATTGCCGATTGCCTTTGATTTTCAGTGGCTACATCATTCAAGTATACGAAAAAAAAACAAATAAACTAATCAATCAGCCATTGAATATTAGATTTTCATCATCATCATCATTTCATATTAAAAAAACTATCCATCATCATAGTTTGAAAAAAATTATTTTAAATTCTCACCAGCAACAAAAAATTTTAATTATCAACCATCATAAATATCACCTTGATATATAATTATCTGACACATTCCTATCATATGATAAACAAAAACAAAAATGACGCAACTAAATCACCTCAATGAATAAACCAACCGATTCGATTGTGATCTTCGACATACAAAAAAAACAATATCAAGAAAAATTTAATTCATAGTAATTAATCATTATCACCGGATAATCAGTCCATTTTTCTTTCTGAAATTTGAATCTCAAGCTTAGTTTTGTTTCAGTCATCAATTTTAAAATCATCATAAACTTTTTATACATGAAAACCAAAAATACACCGTCGGCAAGCACAATGAAATTTTTTGTTTTCGAAATGAAAAATAAATACAAAGTGATTTGAATTTCAAACAAACAAACAAACATATTGATTAATCATTGCTAAAAGGATGAATATTTGAAATCACAAAATTCATCAAGCATACGAACTGTGATATGGTGAAAACAAAAACAAATGAATAATGATCATCATATTTTTTTGGAAAATATCTGAAAATGTTGATAATAAATTCTTGAAATCCTTTATAAGATAGCTACAATTTCTGACAAACAAATTAATCAAGCCATTAATTCTATTTCTATTATTATTTTCGTTGATATTTTGTTACCTCTAACCATTTTCAAAAAAAAGAACCAGTCAAATCACTTACATACATTTAAAACAAAAAAAAAATGGTTTCAAAAAACCAACTCAATAATAACCAAACAAATAACGAATGCATATCTTTTTTCCTGTCATCATCATCCCATTAAATAATTGGACACAATTGTCATCCACTGTTATATTCATATATTATGAATATATTGTTGTTATTATTAATAATAAATAAAAAAACCATCACTACCACCACCCCTACAAATACGATTACATCGATTTTGAATGAAAATATGTGGCCAATATAACCATAATAATAATCATCTGAACAAAAAAAACTCATGGACTGAGTCAATTTTTAATCATTATATAACAATTATATCACTTATATATCTGAGATTAGCAAAGTTTATATATTCCCTGTACTTTTGTTTTGTTTGTTTTATTAAATTTTTTGTCTAGCAATTTTTAGTAATAAAACTTGAATAATAAAAATGAAATTTTTTTTTTCCAAAATTAAGACAATTATCTATCGATTCAAAAATGAAATGAGTAAATTTTTTTGTTGTTGTAAATTTTATTACAATTCATCTTTGCCGATTTTGGTCATGGATAATGAACGAAAACTATCCACAATATTCAGACGATTTTTGAGATCAACTTTTTTCTGATCAGATAATTTACCATTCAACAGGTTACGAATACGTTCGAATTCACTTTCAATAAATATATCTCCACGTTCTAGAATTCTTTCCATTATTTTTACATAAATTTTTGCCGAATTTTTATGATCTTCATTTCTCATATTGTTCATTTGTTTTTCAGTATTTTTTAATATTTTCTTACGTTTTTCAGCTGATTTATTATCGCGTATAAAATCTTTGGCCAGATTATCAAATTCTGGTATACAAGATTTTAATTGAAATGATAATCCTGGAACATTGGTTCGAATGAAATCACGTAATGTATAGGAATCAAATTGTTTTCCATTAAAACGAATTGGATTTTCGAAATTTTTTTCACGATACAGGAATATGACAGGCATATTCTCAGGACCAGTAATATTATATTGTTTGGCCAGTTTTTGTTCTTCGGTCATTTCATTCTTATCCATATCATCAGCTTGATATGGTACGACAATATGTCCAACAAATATATCCATACTGAAACGTAATTCTTCGGCAAGAATTTTATACTCTGCATCCTTATCTGGGTTCACTGAATAACTTTCATCAAATTTTACAATAACAGCTTTAAAATTGGAAATTATCTGCATTTATTAAAAAAAAAAATTCATTAGATTTTGTTTAAAAAGAAAATAAAAATTAAATTTCGATACTTTTTTCGCATTAAAATATGAAAGTTTAGCCACTAATAGTTCATCCTCTTGCGAATAAACAATTTTTGCCGACAATATGAATGATAAAATCAATAATACATTGAAAGAAATCATGGTTTTGCCGTATGATAATTTTGATAACAATAAAAACAAAAAAAAATAATGAAAATTCTGGCTTCAAAATTTGATTTGAATGCAATTTATTGAAATTTTTTCAAATTTATTCATAAATTCGATGAATTGAATGATTACGTGTTCATCGTGGATTGGTGGTCGACGAGTCATGACGACATATTAAGCACCGTTATTAACCATAGAAAATACAAATGAATGTTGTTGGCCTATATAATATAATAAAATTAAAATTGTTGCCATTTTTTATTTGATTGTTTATGAAAAAAAAATAATAAAAGGAAACAATTTAAACATGAATATAAACGATTCAAGACAAACAAAATAAACAAGAATCGTAATCGTAATTATCAATTAAATAATAATAATAATTAATTAATTAATAATAAAATTAATGACATATCATAGCAATAAATGTATCCTAATAAAGATCAATCCAGAGTTTTTCCACCTTGTTTTGTTCGTGTTTTTGATTTAATCTTTTTGATTATCTTTCAATATTTTTTCACGTAAAAATTCTTTGTACTCTTGTATGGTTGCATCCCATTTCGTGACGGTTTCTTTTTCACAGATCCAAATTTCTTCGGCCACCTTTAAAAAAAAAAAACAATTAATGAAAATGAACATAAATGCGAATAGAAAAGTTACCTGGCTGATTAGACGGAAATCGTGACTAACCAATACCATACCACCTTCGAAATCATTGATAGCATCGGCTAAAGCATCAATGGTTTCCATATCTAAATGATTGGTTGGTTCGTCCAAAAGTAAAAGATGCGGAACTTGCCAGGCCAACCAAGCAAATACAACTCTACATCGTTGTCCATCGGATAATTGTCGAATGGGACAAATCTGTTGCCGGCCAGTCAAACCATAGCGGCCAATAATTTTACGCATCTCTTCTTTTTCCTTGACTTCAGGGAAACTTTTCATCATATATTCGAGAGCTGAAATATCAAGCTCAAGTTGTTCATGCAAATGTTGGTGATAACGAGCAATCTTCAAATGTGAATGTGTCCGTACCAATCCTTCGGTTGGTACTAACTCACCACATAACAACTTCAACAGTGTAGATTTTCCCGCACCATTTGGACCGACCAAGGCCAGACGAGAATCCAGATCGATACCGAAATCAAGACTTTTATAGATCCAAGGTGTAGTGTCACTATATCGAAATGAAACATTTTGTACCATAATAACCGGCGGTGGAATTGTACCACAAGATGGGAAATAGAATGAGACATTCTTATCGTTTACAACTCGCTCAGTTAATCCACTAGCCATCATTTTGCCTAATGTTTTTTCTTTACTTTGTGCTTGTCGAGCTAATTTGGCGCTACCATGACCAAAACGAGCAATATAATCCTGGGACACAAAAAAAATTTTATTATTCATTAGAACCAAAAGAATAAATAATGGTGGACAAATAAAATTTAATCTTATACTTACTTTCATATGGGCGATTTGTGCTTGTTCCCAATTATATCGCTTCATTTGATTCTCGAGCAATTCAAGACGAGTTTTAACAAATGCATCATAGTTGCCAGTGTAATATTTCAATTTACTTTTAGTCAAATGAATAATATTAGTGCAAACACCATTAAGAAAATCCTGTGAATGTGATACGATCACCAATATTCGTTTATATGATTTCAGTTCTTCTTCAAGCCATACACAAGCATCTAGATCAAGATGATTAGTCGGTTCATCTAAAAGCAATAAATGAGGCTTAACATATAAAGCACGGGCCAAAGCGATTCTCATGCGCCATCCACCAGAAAAATCTTTGCATTTCTTTTCTTGCATATCCTTATCGAATCCAAGACCGCGTAGAATATAAGCGGCTTTAGCTTTAGCTTTGTCTGCATCAATTTCATCAAGACGATCATAAATATCGAGCAATTGTTCTTGACTTTCTTCATCATCATATTGAACCAATTCTTCAGCTAATGCTTCTAATCGTGTTCGTTCTTGATCAACGTTGAGTACAGCTTGAAGAGCGGTCATTTCTGATGGTGGAATTTCTCGAGTAAGATAATAAATATCTATATGATCTTGGATGGGCACTTCACGCCGTCCAAGACATGATAAAAATGTAGATTTTCCACAACCATTAGCTCCTATCAAACCATATCGTCGGCCACAATTTAATTCAATTTTAGTATCAGACAATAATTCAACGCCATGAAAAGTGATGGAAAAATTATCAATTTTAATATCACGAGAACGGGGATGAATACCCAATACACCGGTACATGAACGAGCTTCAGAATTCAATTTCATATCATGTTCAAGTTTTTTGACCAATTCTTCTTCTTCAGTAAGAGGTAAATCATTGTTATCACCATTGATCAATGATGACCCATTTTCATTTGATTGTTCTTTGGTCAAATCTTTTTTATTACTATGTTTACTTTTAGCCAATTCTTTTTTCTTGGCTTCACGTCGTTTTTTATTATCAGAGGGCATTTTTCGGCTGGAAAATAATAAAAACAAAACAAAAAATTACAGAAATATAAAGAAAAAAAATCAGAGGAAAATCAAGAATGAAATGAGAGAAAATTCTCTTTAGGAGCACGTGAAATGTGTGTGAAACAGAAAAGTTTATTCATATAAGATGTAACCAAATTGTATAAAGAATTTTTTGCGCAAATTTTCAAATTTCCATAACAATTTAATAGAATTCATCTGTTTTGGATTTAGAATTACTTTCATTCTGTTCATCATTATTATTATCATCTTCATTGTTGGCCGAATTCATTTGATTTTCCTGATTTAAATACATTTCAGCAACTTGAGCGGCTGTTGTTCCATCTTCAGGTTTTTTATCATCACGAACTTTGATGAACCGTGGAAAACGTAATGATATTCCTTTTTGAGGATCAATAATACCGATAGCAGCTTTATAAACGGGCGAAATAGATAAATCGGCACATTTAATTTCCCAAACTTGATTCGCTTCAAACCAAACATCAGCTTTTAATGTTTCATCCACATTATAATAGGATTTTGGCTTTGATATGCTTAAATCTTTTAATGAAGTAGATAAAGTGGCCAAATCTTCATCGGAAAATCCTGTGCCAATCTTACAAATACTTTGAAATTCATCATTCTTATCATCATAACAGGCAAGAAGAAAACCACCATAAAAGCCGGTTCTTTTGCCACGTCCATAATATGCTCCAATCGGTATTAAATCCAACGTATCACCAGTGCCTTCTAAATAATCTTTCTTAAGTTTAAGCCATTTAAATGAACGTTTGGCTATTTCATAGCTTGCATCTTTATGCAATGTTTTTACCATCAATCCTTCGCATTTATTCTTAATGGATTCATCTAAAAATTCTTGAATAACATCAATATCATTCAGATCTTTACTTGAAGCCCGCATAAATTGACCTTCTATAAATTCGAAATTCTCCTGAAGTAATTGTCGTCGTTCATATAACGATTTTTTAACCAGAGATTCATCATTAAAATAAATCAGATCGAATGCAAAAAGACATATATGAACTTTGATATCGGATTCTTCCACATTTTTACGTTTTCTTGTGCTCAACACTTGAAATGGAAGAATTTGTTTGTTAACAACATCATAGGCTACTGCTTCACAATCGATAATGAAACTTTTCACATCGCTTTTCATAACATCTGGCATCAATTTTACAATATCAGGATATTTTCCAGTATTGTTCTCTTGATTACGGCTATAGATGTAGATTTTACCTTGATTATCCAGATGAATTTGTGCTCGTTCACCATCGTATTTATATTCACATGTAAATTCTAATCCTTCTAATCGTTGTAAAACTTCACGAACTCCTTTGGTAGGATGAGCTAACATGGGCTTTAGTGGTATTCCAGGTATTAGATAACATGATTTGGAAAGATCGTCGAAACCATTTTCCAATAAGGCCGGAATTAATTTATCATAATTCGGACATTCATTGAACGCTGTCTGCAATAGTGAAACATTTTTGTTAAGTTTTTCTTTAAATCTTTCCGAGTCAAGTTGTTTTCTATTATCGGGATTTTTATAAATCATATATGCTTGTGCTATAGCTGTAATTAATGATTTTTCACCCAGTCCAATTCTCATTTTTCCGGACAATGCACGCATAATATATCGTGATTCAATTGGCTGTGAACAGGTAATTAAACTTTTAATTTTTTCCACTTTGTTTGACATAACATTACGACCGGTCATTGTAGCAATCGATTTGAAAGTATCGAATACATGTTGAACAGTAAGTGGTTTTGGTTGTACCAGTAATCGTTGATTCGTTTTAGAAATTTCAGAACAAGAGCCAATGTCTCCAATGTCATTGAGCTGTTTTTTTAGCTGAGCCATATTACGGCCAGTAGCTTCCGATAATGCTTTCATCAATAAAGATGTCCCGATACCTAATGTAAATAAGGTGGGAAAAAATTAATTTTTATATTGAAAAAACATTTTACCTTACCAAGTTCAATGCCTTCATAGTCTGGCGCAACTTTATTCAGACAAAGATATATTGATTTAACTAAATCTTCATGTGATAAAGCCATCACTGATGATATATAATTACTCATTATTTCGATACTTTTCAAACGACCACTAACATCTTCAATAGCTGAGAATGTTTTAGCCAAAGCAATAAAAGGTACCTTTTCATTTGTTTTCCAACAGGCATCATTGACCATATCATATTTGGATTTGGATGGATCATAACTATTTTTATTTTCATTCGATGGTTTAAAAAGAAACATTTTTCTATCCAATTTTTTGGCACGCCTTTTCTGAAAACATTTAACCGAGGTACAAAACAATTTCCGATGAATTGGAATGAATGACTTTAAATAAAGAATGGGTGAAAAAATGCAATATAAATTATAAAATTGTAATGTTTATATTTAGAAATTTAGAAACAAAAATAATACCGATAATATAAGTTGTCGATTAAAAAAAGCGCGTAAAAATATTTTTCTCATTGGATCATCTGAATCATGAGTAAACATTTTCGAAAAAACTTTCTCCCATCCCAATGATCTCGAAACATTTCCCGTATTAATAATTTATGTACAAACTATTTCAAAAAAAAATTACGATTTCCGACTTATCGGATTGATCAAATAAATTACTTGATGATTGAATAAAAAAATGACCATAAATTGAAATATTATTATGTCCAAGAATTGTTTTCTTTGTTGTACTGTATTCAAATTTATGATTGAGAATAAAGAATTTTTATATTTTCAGAAATGTTGTTCACTTCACTTCACTTTTTACGAATAATTTTTCTTTTATTGAACAAACACATTATAATATGCAGAAGCAGACATTTCGTTTTTTTTTCGCACATATTAAATGTCGAAAGACATTTGAAGAAAAAGTCACATGGATTTTTTTTCTTTGTTTCCTCTATTATCGTCGAAACAGATTCGATATCACGAATCTATTTTATTCGCTATATCGTTTCATTGTCAGTCACAGCAGGTGAAAGAAATATTTTCGATTCTGAAACATGAATTAGAATGTTTCTACTATTTCGTAATTCAACAATTCTATTGGATAATAGCAATAGTGAGTTATATTATTTCTTTTTATTCCAAACACTGTAAATTGGCTTTTTGTTATTTTCTCCATTTACATTTTCGGTGATAAATTTTTCCAGGATTTTGAATGAAATTGCAATATAAATTTTGGATATTTTCATATCAATCATTGTGAGAAATGGAATAAATTCTATGAATAATAATAATCCAACAAATTTTGTGATGAATTGATAAAGATGATCATCAATGATTCAGGAGTGGAATTTTTTTTTCAAATCTATATGTTTCTGGATAGGTTTTTAAATTTTTATTGAACAATCTGCAATGTCCGTGTATGTAGTAGTAGTAGGAGAACAAAGATTACAATATGAATGAATATTTCATTTTATTTTGGCATCTTTCGAAATCGAAATTAGAATTGAAAAACAATAATAACAACAATAACAACAACAACAATACTAAGCCGTGAGCTCATCAACATTTTTGCATTTTGAATTTGAATCGATTCCAGTTTTTTTTTATCTTTTTCATTTGTTTGTTTGCCATTGCCATATATATGAACCATAATTTTATTCCGTTTTCGGATAAATGAGCTGAAAAAAATATGTTTAAAAAATTTTTGTTTTTGTTGTTACGTATTTTTTTCTTTGATCCAATTGTTCCATTTGTGAACACACACACACACACACAAAAAAAACATATACTATCGGTTTGGGTAATTATTATCATTTTTTGAATTGGGTTTTTCATTGTTTTTTTTCTATGAAAAAAAAATTCATTTCTTTGTTATTGCTTATTCAGCATTATTTTATATTTTAATAATTTTTTTGAAATATACAAACAAACAAACAAAAATTTTAATGGTGATGATGATCATCATCATGTATATATCACAAAATTTTTTTTGTCATATAATTTGGAAATAAAACAAGAAACGAAAAAGCATTCATTTTGTACATTATAAAGATGATAATGATAATGGTCATATTTGAAAGAATGTTTTTTATCTATAGATTATTACATCTTATTTATGTTCACATTAATAATTTCTCATGATTTATTAGATTTGTTTCATCTATGAATAAAATGAAATGAAATGAAAAAAACAATACACGATGATGATGATGATGAAGATGAAGATGATCACGAAATCTGAGAGCCGTTAAAAAAAATTTAGGTAAATGGCATACATAATAATAATGTAAAACAAACTAATAATAGAATATTCTTTGGATTTTTTTTTTGGTTGCTGGAAAATTCCATCGTATTTCGTGTCTTATTATTTGAATGATTTTATTATCATTATGTTTTTTATTTTTTTTTCTCTCTCTCTCTTTTACTGTCGAAAACATTTAATAAAGTTATAGAATTTATTATTATGTATTTAGTGTTTTATTTCCCTCTCCCTCTTTCTCTATCACGCACACATGCACACAATTTCAAAACAATTTAATCATCCAGACAATAATATCAACAAGAAAAAATGATACAATGAAATACACACACATACACACAAACACATATGTACAAACAAACAAATGAACAAATAGAGAACAATATAAAAAATAATAATAAAATCCAAATGTGTGTTCCAAAAATAAAAACGATTATCCATTTTTATCATTTTCGATTCCGATAGAGAATTATATAACAATGATGATGATGATGATAATGATAATATATGCACATGATTATCACTTTTGGTTTTTTTTTTATTCTTCGAATTGTTAATTTGTTTTTCTTTGTTTTTTTTTATTTTTATCTGGAAATGTATATGGTTCACATCTGTCCAATTTTATTGTATATTTCCGGTTGGATTTTCATCATTTATTTTTTATGTGTCTGTGTGTGTGTGTGTTTTATTCAATTTTTTTTATTCAACAAAAAAGTATATAAAAAAGTGACCACATATATAAAAGAAAAAAAATTAGTATTTTAATGACTAGAATTTAGCTTTTTTTCTTGATTTTTCATTTTTGTTGTTGTTGATGTTGATGGTAATGTCGACCATCATCCTTATTGATATTCTGTTGTATACCATTAAATTCTGGTTCATTATTATTATCATAATCTTCGATGTTATTTTTATCACAATTCTTAAAGGTTATATTTTGTTGTGACTGTGGCTGCTGCTGCTGCTGTTTTTGCTTTGATTGTTGTAATGATAATGATGTTTGATCTATTGAATTTCTTTTTCTTCGACGTTTTCTTGAATCAACTAATGATAATCTTTTAAATTTGCAATGGGCATTTCGATTAAAATTAATGTGATTATTACTATTGCTGTTGTTGATGTTGTTATTGTTACTATTATCATATTGATTTAGGTCATCTGTTTTCATTGAATAATTAATTTTTATCTGACCATCTGACCGTTTTTTCTGTAGCTGTCGTTGTTGTTGATGATGTTTTTGTTTTTGAAAACTATTCGATTCATCTTCATGTATCACTGTTGTTGTTGTTGTTGTGGATGCTGGATAGATTTGTGTTGTATCCGTTTCATTCATATTCGTTGTTGTTGTCATTGTTACCGTTGATGGATGGAAATTTAATCGATGACAAATGTTATTATTATTATTGTTGTTGTTATTAGTACTATTAGAATTACTATTATTATTCGTATTTGTATTTAAAAAAGGATTTTTTCGATTCGTATCATCTGTCGTAATGATTATATCATTATTATTGACTATATTTGTATTGTTTGTTTTATTATTATTGTTGCTGTTGTTATTTGTCAGATTTGTACGTGTATTGATAATATGACTAAAATCTGTTATTGTACAACGACCATTATTTGGCTGATAATGAATAATACGATGATTTGGCGAGAATGACATTGAATGATCAGATTCACGAATAACCGATGTTAATTGTTGTCGATGCATTATTGGATATTTAAAACATCGGCGACAAAATAAACGTTGAAATGAATTAAATATTTCTTTGAATTCATTACGAAATGTTTGATTCAGCCATCCATATAAGAATGGATTCGAACATGCAGATGACATTCCTTTTGTTGTTATTCGAACATAAAAGAAAAAGATGATAAAGAAAAAAAAAGATATAGACCAGAATGTCATTAATAGTGATGAATAAGAAAACATTTTCCGATTTCTTTATCGAAAAAAAATAATTGAACAAACAAACAAACTTAAAATTCTATTGATCAAAAGAATAAAAAAAACGTTGATAAATACCAAACATGTGACAAATTGCAAATGTAATACGAAATGCACTGACGGGAAAGAAAAAATCAGCTACTATATTGAGTACATTCAATGGTAACCATGATATAAAGAAAATCAATGCAATCGATATCAATAATAGATTTGTTTTACGCATTCGCCTTTGTAATCTTGTACGTAATTTAGGTAACTGTGTAGTCGATGTACGACGAAGGGTACGTGAACGTAATTTAATACAAAGACGTGCATAAACAACCGATACAATAATGATTGGTCCAACATATTGTATTAACATTGATAATACAGAATAATAAGCTCGACCATTATCAATAGGCCATTTTTCAATACAAAAATTGATTGTATGTATTGGTCCCATTCCTATTATATAATTTAACAAAACATTATAATTATCGATAATATAAATTGATAATAATAAAAGAAAAAAAAACGTTTTTATCCAAATGAAAACTGACAAAAACATCATTCAATTCATTCATTCATTTGATTCATTTAATATATACATACCAATATAATGAGATTCAACTGTACGAACTAAAAACAGTGGCATTGACAATATGATTCCAATAATCCATATTAGTATTAGTTTTAGAAAAATGGGCACCACTGTTGTACGACGATGTTGATCAGGACTAACTGAACGAAGAATCACATTATAACGATCCAATGCGATTGCAATAATGGATAATGTTGATACAAAAATCGATGTTCCTTCCAATGCCTGAACCAATTTACACATTGTAACACCTTTTTTCCAAAAAAAAAATAATAAATTCAATTAACAAAAATGTAATAAATTAACATGATATAAAATGGTTATGATAATATTATTATTCGAGTGAATGAACTTTGAAACTTTAAAATTGTATGATGAGTTTTTCTCAATGCGAGAAAAAAAACATGGTTTCAATTACTATTTTTGATTTCCAAATGCATTCAATGTGACTAGAAGAAAATTCTGTCTGAAAAAAATAGACGAAAAAAATTTCTTTTCTATTTTTTCGATTAAATCATTATATCACAGTAACGAAAAAAAAAATCATGGAACCAGAATCAAGTGTATTCGTCATTATACATGTAACAATTGATTCATTGAACGAGAAAAAAGTGATGGAATCAAAGAGAAAGAAAGAAAAAGAAAGGAAAATTGTTGTCATGCAACATGAGAACGATTTGACTATATAAGAATTCCAACTATAATTTAGAAGCGAGAATTTTTTTTTTTTTTTTGTAGAAAATGTTTAAGGATCACAATTTCATTGTTGTAGTCATTATTATTGTCATCATTTGATTTATGATGAGAGAAAAAAAAGTCCATTTCAGAATGAAAGATTTTCGGTCGACTAATTTTATGGTTCATATTACATGTAATTGTAAAAGTTATACATTTTCGTTTTGTTAGTTTGAAATTTTTTTTTCAAGTTTTTTTCCTGTCTAAATGAAATGAAGATTATCAAGAATTGTCTTGCGGTCTATTGAGTTCAACCGCACACACACACAGAAAACTGGAAAAACTTGATGAAAACAAAAAAAAAACAACAATACAAATCGCTAGGTATGAGGACAGTAAAATAAAAGTTAAAAGATTTTTAAAACAAAATTTTCCTTCACATGATTACCGCAAGAAAATTCTAGAATCTAGATGATGAAATCTAGAAAAATGTTTCTTTTTTTTTGTTCTATAAGTTTAAATAAACAAAAACAACAGCAAAAAAAAAATATTGTTGTCCAAAAATAAACACAAACACACAAAAAAATCACGATATTCAGAAATTGTGATAAATAACATTCGAATAAGTGGCGTATGTATTGGAATTTCATTCATTTGTTTGTTTTTCTTTGAATGAATGCTTAACGATAAAAAAAACGATGATTGTATTACAATTTTTGTTTTCATTCATACATTTGATTTCTATTTGGAAAAAAAATATGAAAATCAACAATATCCAAACATTATGACCATCTCATAGAATGAACATTTTTTGTGGTAGGTGGTCAAATATAAACACACACACACATTGTGAAGAGGACAAAAATATCTAATCGTATTAGGATAAGATTACATGTTTAATTTATGTTTGCACTTGACAAATTCTATTTCTTGAAATATATCCTAATCCTTAACGTTTGGTTAGTTTTGTTGGATGCAATGGTTTTGTTTTACGTTTTCTGTGTGTGTGTGTGTGTAACAAGTGCAAAATTATTATGGATGGTCATATGAAATTGTCATCATGAAAAAACATCATAATTCTATTTTGTTCACAATTTCTCTTTCTTGTTAAAAGAGTGTATATGACAAACATTGATCTCCGTGTTATACATTCACATGAAGCCTTAATCAATATCAATCGGATAAATGACAACAACAAAATAATGATGAACATGAAGGCTATTCTTGTAAAAAAAATAAATTTTAGAAAACAAAAATTGTTAAAAGGATCGAAATACAAATCTTTTGTATATTTGCAGCGGCTATCAACATCCGAATATAACAATGATTCTTTTTTTTTATGGAAATTTTTTTTTTCAATTCTAGAACATCTTTTAATATTATCAGTATCGATTGAGTAGAAAATTTTTTTTCGTCATTTTTAGAATAGAAATAAATGGGTGATGGGGGAATTTTTTCCGTTAACTTGTGTTCCATTCATTAATTCTCTTCTCCCCTCTTCGTTGATTCCCGGCTATAGTTAAGTAAAGTTTTCAACATTGAACATGAACGAAATCGTACACACATCAATATTCTATTTTTTTTTGAACTGGATAGAAAATCATTTTATGTAATAATATAATGAAAATATCGATTATGACATATGTCAAGAATCATCATCATGTTTTATGTATGTGCCATATTCAATTTATAAAAAACAGAATATTTTTTTCACATATATAAAAATAAATGTATTTCACTAGTTTTATATTTCGCTGTAAAAATATTTTATACAAAAAAAAATATCTTCATCATTACGGTCATCGTCATCATCATTATATATATACATACCATAAGGCCAAAATTTTGTCGCTATCTCAAACAATGAGAATGGTATTGTAAAAAAACAAAGTAATAGATCGGAAATGGCTAGATTTACAATGAATAAATTCTGTGATGTACGCATACGAGGATTTCTTGCAACGGCCAAACAAACAAGACCATTACCAAATGCTCCAATGAATATTAATACAGCATATACGATTATTAATGTTACCAATATTGGTGTTTCCAATGCTTGATTACGTAAATATTGTTGAAACAATTCTTTTTCACTTTCTGAATCAAAGAATAAAATTAAAATAAGAATAAGAAAAAAAATGTGTATAAAAATCATCAGAGAATTGAATTAGAAATAAAAAAACAAACAAACAAAAAAGTCAATGAAAAACAAAATCACTTCAACACAACCAAAACATCATTAGACGTGAGAATTCTGTCAATGTTATCATTATTATTATTTGCAATTTTCAGAAACGGATGAGACGGGTTGATCTGTAAAGAATCACAAATCAACATCATCAGTGAAATTTTCGAAATGAAATTAAGGAAAAAAGAACAGAGAGAGAGAGAGAAAGAAAGTGAGAAATTTTTTGCATCAAAATGAATTCTATTCATGATTCATGATTCTCATCTTCTTCGATTATAGGGAGGATTCAAACAAAATGGAAAGAAAAAATAATGGAATATAATGTGTGGTATAAATTGAGTTATTTTTTTTTTTTTTTTGGTTATTTAAATTGCAATGTGTATGTGTTTTCATTGTTCATAAACTATAAACATAAATGAAGAAAATACTAACAAACCAACCAAACAAAAAATCAAACAAAATAGTATAAGAATTGTGTTGTTTTGTTATTTTTTTGGGCAATTCAACATGAATTTCCGTTGTCAAATTTATAAGCACCATATATTTGTTTGAGAAATAGGAAGAAAACAAAACAAAACAAAACAAAAAAAAACAAGAAAAAAATAGAATACTCTCATGACATTATTATTTTTATTATTAAAATACATGCTGTACGAACACACACAAACACACACACTCCCACATCATCAACAGCCAATAACCACTAGAAAAAGAAAGGAAATGGTTTATCGTCAAGATAGAATAACAAAATAAAAAACAATAAGCAACTAAAAAAAAAATTTACAAACCATCATCATAGTTGTATGCATTGCTAACAATTGGTGATGATGTAAAATATGATGAATGTGATAATGAATATGGTGATGTGAACGAATAATTGTTTGTTGTCGAAGATGTTGATGTTGATGTTGATGAGGATACAGCATCAGAATAGTAGGCCATAGTTGATGGTGATAATGATTGTAGTTGCTGATGATGATGATTATTATTATAATGTTGTTGTTGTTGTTTTTGTCTATCATTGAAAACATCATCAATTCGATCATTGGTAGTTGTATGGCTATTATCTGATATAGTAGTTAAATAGGAATTTGATGCTGCTGCCGTCATATTGTTGACCATTGTTATCCATGGTAATGTAAATTTATGAGTTTGATGTTGAAAATAAATTGTTGCAATCGGTGTCGAATGTCTGATTGTTTCAAATATCATTGCTGAAGATGATAATTCATCAGGTGTCATATTTGAATTAATACTATTCATTTCTGTAATAATATCTTTTGTGGTTGCTGTAGTTATGGCCATAATATTTATTATAATACTTTGATTCAATTTCATTATAAAATGACAATTGAATGATGCTATAATAATACTTGTTGTTGTTTTCATCGATTTTCTTTTGTTACGATTATCATCATGTGAAAAATAATAATCAACGATTGTTGTGAATTGTTGCAAATAAATTAGGTCAATAAAATTATTTTTTAATAAAAAGTTTTCTGTTAATCGCATGACCATATCGTCATTATTGTGATTTTATTATATTAACTGATGATGACGATGTCAATACATATGATTATTATGTTTAAAAATATCCACATGATGAATGCTGTATCAAATAGAAACAAAAACTTATTATTATTAGGAATTAAGAACAAGAAATCGGCACTTGAATATATTTTTTTTTTATTCCAGTCATCCACATGGAATACCCATGAATTAATAGTATGTTTATATAAATTGTAAATCCTATGAAAAAAAACATGGTTTCAATTATTATTTTTTGATTTCAAAATGCATTCGATGTGAATAGAAGAAAATTCTGTCTGGAAAAAAGAAACGAAGAATTTCTTTTTACGATTAAATCATCATATCACTATATAAGATCTGAAACAAACAACAATACAAAACATTGACATCATCATTTATTATTGTATGTCAATCAGGATAATTGAATTAATAGAAAAAAAAAGTGGACAGATGTTCCAAACAAAATTGAAACTTCAATGGTAATGGTAATACAAAAAAAAGTGAGATACTTGTTCATGAAACATTGATGATTTTCTTCAATCATTATTATTATTAATATCATGATCATTTGTATTATTATATTGTATTACACATCATCAATTGTTGATTGGATGGTTGTAGAAGATTCATTGATTCTACTGTTTTGGATGTTTATTTGTTGTCATTGTTATAGTTTTTTGTTGATGTTATTATTATTTTCATCATCATCGTCATCATCATCACTATTGTTGCTATGATTCGGTTGATGCATAGTATAGTATTATAAAATAGAAAAAAAACATTTTAAATTTGGATTTCTTTTATTTCTGAGAATGTTCTTTGAAAACTAATAATTTGATCATATTGTGCACGAAAGCAAACACATAAACAAACATAGAAATAGAAAAAGACAAGACAATTTAAATTGTTCTGACTAAGTGATATGATGATATTGAAAATTCGGTCTCAATCAAAGTAGGTTATTCTTTTTTTTGCCGCTATGATGATAATGATGAGAGTCTCTTATTATGCCGCGGGTATTATCATGCGTTTTTTTATTTTCTTTATCATTTGGTTTCATCATTCATCATTTTTCTGAGTAAATATTTGAATTTTCAACGTTGTTTTTTTTTATAATTGCCAGCAGCGGAAATACTTTTAGAATTTTTTTCTTTTTATTTGCTATTTTAAAAAAATTAGTCAGAAAAAAATTTCGAAGAAAAATCAGTTTGTCAAATAATGCCATTAAAAATTATCTATTATTACATTGTGTCTGGATGACAGTGTAACAAAACTGGAAAAATATAAAGTTTTCTATCTTCCTACCAACAGATAAACAGATATATCGTTTGAATGGAAATGGGAAAAAAACCGATTATAATTCCAAATAGAATTAAAGAAATCAAAATGATTTACTTTTTTATTTTTGGTCGTAGTCAAAACTTTAACATACTTATATGACGCATTTGATTTGTTGAACAGGAAATAAGTTGAAAGCGATTTTTTTTCTCTTATTCTAACTTTGAAAAGTCAAATGACAGAAAAAAAGTCCATCATATAGAGATAACATGAAAGTGAAAAACTTTTTCATCCAGATAAATAAAATTCGAAGCAAAAAAAAATTGTATAATAACATACAATGTTGATTGGTCGAATGATTATTCACTCTTTTTAGCTGTTAAAGTTTTAAGTTTTACAACAAACAACACAATGTTCAGCCATTCGATCTGATGTTAATGTTTTTTTTTTTTTTTGATTTGATTTGATTTGGAAAAGATAAAAGGAAGATGTTTTAGCTTTGTAGATGTTGGAAATATAAACAACACATTAAAACAAAGATAAACTTACATTCACAACGGATAAAAAAATATGTTATTGAACAACAACAATTATTAATCATCAAATTAATATTATTAATTTCAGAATAATTGAGGCGTTTCATCGCTTTTTTTCTGGCTAATGTATGATCATCATAATCTTTGTAGTAGTAGTAGTTGTTGTTGTTGTTGTTGTTATTGACTGTCCATTACAAAGATCCACTTGGAAAATAGCCTTTTGTTAGTATATGTATAGTTGGCGCGAATAACTCACATTACGAAAAGATGAATGAATTTGTTGTCGTTGTAACTACTGAAGTTGAATGTGATTGAACATTTTGAATATATTTTTTTTTCAAAATTACATAAAAAAATATACAGAAAAAAAATAAATCGGATCGGATTTTCACAAATGAACAAATTATTAAAATATTTAAATGAATATATCTGACAATCTGTTGTCTGATGTTATATGATACTGTTTTATTATTTGAATTCAATATTACACAAGATTCATGAATCAGACCAACATATACACATACACATATATGAATACAAAGTGACACAATCTCAATCTGAAATAATGTTATTTGATTCCGATATGTAGCACTGGTTATACCATAAAAACAGAATATTCTATCCTGTTGGTCTGTATATGTTTATGGCCAACATAAAAATGATTCAGTTTCAGTTTAATTCTTTAACATAGAATATATTTTTTTTTCTCTTGTCTATTCATGTTTGAATCGCGCGTTTTTATTTTATATTCTGTTTTTACTTGCTGATTGATTAGTCTAACAAAATATATTCGATATACTATAGTGGTGGTTCGGCGTCTTGCTTGCTTGCCTACTTGCTGGTGTGTGTGTGTGTGTGTGTTTGATGGTTGGTTCTATAACTATACACAAAATGTTCCAGTATATTGAACAACAACACCACCAGTTGTGTTGTATGAAATTGTGAAATATTTGAAGAATATTATATCAGTAAAAAGAAATGATAAAGTTTCGCATGTGCAATATAACTATATATAACTGCTATATATTTAAAAAGAAAATAAGACAAAATAATAAAGAAATCGATGATGACAAAAATAATTTGTTGAATGATAATAGAGGTAATGACGATAATCATTATTGATTGTTTAAATACATATTAATAGAACACAATATAGCCAATCTAGTTAATATCGACACAATGATGATGATGGTACATGATTATCATTATTATTACGGTTATTTTTTCTAAAGAAAAAAAAATAAGGAGGAGAGAGAAAAAAAAGTGAGGTAAAAATGAACAAGTTCCCGGAAACAACAAATTAATGTGTTGATTATAGCTGCATTCAACTGAATTCAAATGAATTGATGATTTATTAACGATCAGATGAGAGATCGATCCAAATAAGTGAGAATGAAAAAAATGATTAGACTAAAACAACAACAACAGGAAAAAAAGATTTAAAAAGATTCTAATTTATTTTGTTTTTTTTCCGCACAAATCGAATACGTTTCCTATTATAGAAATTAATTAACCATATATATATCAAACAAGAGAAAATAATGTTTTATGATGGTGATGTGGGTTAGATTCACTGAAATGATTTTTCTTTTTCTACTTTTTCTCGACAAAATGAATCAATATTCATATATTGTATTCGTATTAGAATCATATGAAATCAATGGAAAAAAATTGATAATAATGTGTATTCATGGATGTTAATCAATAAATAATTTGACATTTAATAATTTTTTTTCTCTCTTCATTTAAATGGAAATTTTCGTTATTGTTTTCTTGAATCATTGTGTGTGTGTGTGTGTTTATGCGGATGTTATATATAATTGACATAGAGACATGATTATTTATCCATTGGAACATCAATAACAACTGAATCAATTTTATTATTTACATTAGATAGATATTTTCTGCAAAATATCATTGAGAAAAAATTGTATATTTCATTCAATTATTTTTTTTCCTTCACTTTCTCTCTCAGCCATTTTTGTTTTGAGAAAAAAAAACAATCAACAATTTATATAAATTTTGTATCAGAATATAAATAGAATATATATTGATTAAACAATATGCAAGATTGACTTAAAATAATCACACACACACACACAGATCGATTGATATATCAACATCATTTGAAATGGAATAAGAGAAATCTTTTTCTGTAAGAATATTTAACAATCAATGTTGATATATAGTATAAGAAATAGAATGAAACAGATATTAAGAGAGATCTTTTCATACTGAATCATCATCATCATCATCATAACAATTGATTTCCAAAAAGAAGATTCTTAGCAACTCTATAGTTATTTTGCAATTTTTCACACACACACACTCGAAAAAATTCTTGATTGTATAATGAAATTGAAAAAAAAGAGTTCATCATCATCATTATTTATTAATTTAAGTACAAATGATAAACTTATATGTCTTGCATGGCATAGGCATTTTTTTTTTTTTTGTATAAGAATCGAAAGAAAAACTATCACTCACACACACATACATAGAATAATCAAATGAAAATCAATCGAATATATGAAAATAATCAATTTTCTTGTGTGATAAATATAAACAAAATCGTGTTTATGGTATTGATGATGAATTAATTTCATTTCTTTTTTCTTCTTCTTTTTCTTCCTCTCAAAATATCAAATTGAAATGAAATTTTCATACAGCCAAATAATGATAATTATTCAAAAATGAAAAAAAAAAAAAAAAAAAAAAAAAAAATGTTTGTATTTTGTCGTAAGATTCAATGAATGAATGAATGAATGAGTTATTATCGTGATTAGTTCGTAAAAAGAAAAAAAATTCACCGAATATTTATCCAAATGAGCTTTTTTCATTGAAATTTTTATTGTTATCATTGGATATAATGAGATAATAACTAAATTATCTATATATGAATGTGAAACTATTTTATTATTCTATTCTGTTTTGTGTTTTTATTTTTTTTTGTTCAAAAAGCACATGATGATGAACCAGACCAGATAATAATAATTTGATCCCGAATTTTTTTTCTCTTTTGTTTCAGGACAATATACTACTACTCGACCAATTTATTTGACAAGTGTTCATTCATTATCTTTTGTGGGTGTGTGTGTGTGTGTATGAGTGTTTATGTTGAGTAAACATTTAAGATCTAGATAGAGATTAGTTTGTTCATCGATTTTGTCAATCGTTGTTACTGTTGTTGTCATTGTTGTTGTTGTTGCTGTTGTTGTTGTTAAAACAAATCGATCAATCATCACATGATGTTGAACAATAAAAAAATAAAATAAATAAATTCAGATGACCATGTTTTTGTATAATATCAACAATCAATTGACAATGATGACAAGGAATATTATATATACAAAAACACACACACACACACACACACACAAAAAAAAATCGAACAAAAAGTTATTCCTATCATTCTATTTGTTTCTGTTTTTTCTCTGTTTTTCTTCATTTATATACATTAGATATAGAAGAATAGAGAAAAGTACATTTTGAATGCAAAACAATTTTTTAAAAACATGATCAGGTATATAGAAAAGAAGAAAAAATTGAATATCCATAAACATCATTTAAAATAATGATAAATCTAATTTTTTTCTATAATCATTAAAAATCTACTAGTATAGAAAAAGATTTGATTTTCATTTGAATTTCCGGTGAATGATACACACACACACACATATTACTACATCAAAACTATATTCTTATGACGAAACAACACACACACACACACACATAAACATAAGAACATGTGTGGATTTTTCACATACTTTTTCGGCTTAATTAAACATACGAAAACATATAAAAGAAAAATCTGTCAAAAACAAAACAAAAACAAACCGAATAACATCTAATAATCTTTTTTTTCCGGTGAAAAAAACAATGGATTATTTTTTTTCAATTCATAATTAATGCTAATGTTTAATTATTTATAATTATGAACACAAACACACAAATAGGAAATAAGTGAAATTCTAAATGAAAAATTTCGAAACATAAATGAACAAATGAATGAGATAAAAATTTTTTTTTGAACAAAAGTTAATGTCCGATTTTCGATTCTTGTGAAAATGTAATTTGACAAGAATTGACAGGACAAAAATAAAAAAAAAATTCTGTCATCAACCGAACATATACCGCTTATTGAATACAATAAAAAAAAGAGATAATTAAAGTTTATGTATGTTATTATCGTTATTAAATTGTACAAAATGTCAGATGAACAAAAATAAAAAAAAATTCTTTTCACTATTAATAAATGTAAACAAAATTGATGGCCATAAAAAATTTGAATCAATCAACCATATGTGATCATTTTTGAAAATGATGATAATCTATAGATTATAGAATGGCAATGATGAAATATCCAATGATCGATTAAAATCATTCACTTTTATCATCATCATCAAATGTTATGATACAACATACATACTATCCATTCAAAGATGATCATAGAATCATAGAATCAATTCAATTTATTGAAGGAAAAAAATTCGAATATAAAAATGGTGTTATATCGACAATCTAGCTGAATTCATACAAGTAAACTAGAAGGCAAGCAAGCAAGCAAAAAAAAAGAATAAAGAAAAAAATTCATTAATCACAATCAATGGCTGAAAGCGGTTATTTATTATTTGGATGGTTGTTTATTTCCCCATAGGAATAGATGAAGCCAACATAAAATTTCGAATCATACTTGAAACACACACACACACACACACACATACGATAACAACAACAGCCAACCGTCAACACTAATAATAATGAATTTTGGAATTGTGTGTGTTTGTGTGTGTGTGTGTGTATGTGTTGAATTCTGTCAACAAGTACAAAAAGTATAAAAATAGAGTGTTGAGAAAAAAAAATAATAATTACCATTATATTTAGTTTATCACTATCGATAGTTATAATCTTTGGCAAGAATATTAAATGCACTAAAATCATGATGTAATTGTATCGATAATCATAATCAACAATCATGATTCTGGTTATATAATCTGTGGTCGATTTTTGTATCCCTTTTCCTTTCACGTCCTTTCGTTTCGTTTGTTTGTGTGGGTGTGTGGATGTGTTCAGTGGTCCATGATATTGTGATGAAGATGTTTCGATAATAAAGACAGAAAAAAAATGAAAAAGAGAAAAATTTTTATAACTTGACAACAACAATAACAATGGCAACCAATATGAAGCAATAATATTATACCACAAATAACATTTTATAAATGAAATGACGAAATACATGAATAAACTATACAATCGATGATACTGGTGGATAGATTGACATTCATTTTGGAAATTGACACCCTTGAAATTCAGAGTGTAATTTGGTCACAACCATATACCATGAATATATTGATGGTAAATGAAATTTTTTTTCGCAATGATTACAGCATACACACGCACATTCACAAGGACATTACTTACAAATTCCATAGAATTTCGTATGTATAGTAAAGAAAAAAGAATTTATTTTATTTTAGTTTTTTTTTCTTTGCTGATTTTATGGAATCTCTTTCTTGTTCCAGAATCAATTTTGGATGAAAAGATCTACGACATTCGTCGCTTCATTAAAAAGGAAGTGGTTTCAATAATGATGATGACGTTGATCGTCTTTCGAAGAAATAAACTTGAATTATTTCTGAAATTCGAGATTAAATTAAAAAGACAGTGAAAAAAGAACTGAAACGACTAATATTATAAACTGGATAGTTTATCGTAAAAAAAACATTTCAAAGGAAAACTTATGATGATGCACAAGGACAACAAAAAAAATGGCTTCTTTCGTTCATCTTCTTGTTTGTTAGATTATTATAATCATCATCGTTATTATATTTTTTTTTGTTGCTGTAATCGAATTAACGATTAAGAGTAAAATAAATTATTGTCGTTGTGTTCAATCAATTCTTGAATGTTGTTATTTGTCTCTCTTTCTCTTGCTTTCTATCGATTATCCCATAAAATATTTTGATCGTTGTACGATTTTTACCGAATTCTAGATACAATGATTCTTTATTTAGTTTCTTTACCTATCTGTGTGTTTGAAACCTAAAATAATTAAAACCATTGAAGATAAAATCATAAAACATTCATATGAAATCTGATAAGAGAAACCGATCAAATCTTATCGTTTTATTTCGAAAAAAAACACAAACTATTCAAATGAATTTTTTTCCGTTTCTCATTTCCGCTTGAATATATTTTTTTTTTATTATTGTTCATGGAATTATTATTATACCAATTATAGTGGGGAACGATAACTGAAAAAGATAATTTAACTATACAATGATTCTATAAATGGAAATATTCATCAATTATTTATTGAATAATTCAAATGATGTTTATCGTCATCATCATTATTGATTTAACATTCAATTTGAAAATGTTCAATGTGTGATCGTATTAGTTGCAACCACACATTATTGATATAATAATTTTAGCGATTAACCATTCAATCATAATAAATAAATCGATGATGGCATTAATTCAAAGGACGTCGTAAAATAAAAACACAACAAACCCTTTTTCTTTAAGTATTTTTGGACCAAAATCATCAAAATTGGCAAATACCGTGTGAAAAAAAAACAGACAAACAGAAAAAAATTGACATTCAAACCATTTCAAAAATCACTTGTTTTTAATGAAAAAATCATTTCATATATTATCTTTAAACTTGAATAATATTGAAATGTTAACGTTTGTTGATAATGTTGTTAGAATGACTACGACGACGACGATTCATTTCATTTGAAGATTTTGTCCAATATCGAAATGCTCGATCATGAAATGAATAGGCTTCATTTTTACCGACAATACTATCACATTGGATTGTTGTTGTCGCTGTTTGTTGTTCATCCAAACTTTGTCGACCATCTTTGTAGGGCACCAGAATTTTCTTATCGATTTTCGTTTGGTTACAGCCGCCACTATTATCACCTTCTTCGGTTCGAACTAATGATATTTCATTTATACGATTTTTCATTGCTTGTAAATTTTCTTGAAATTTTCGATGTACATAATAATTTTGATTCACAATAACATTGGGAAAATTTTTCACTATATTATCCTTAAGACAAACAAACTTTACAAATCGTGAATAAATATCGGCAATATCATATGAATGGACAGGTATACCGTAACGCATTTTGTTTGGATAGAAATTAAAATCTTTATATACCCATTTTAATTCATTATCAATGGTTTCCATTTGATAAAATGAATGAATTTCGCCTTTTTCATTTTTTTTAAATTTACAAATTTTATCATTGAAAAAAAATATTCATTTTGATACAACTTACCAAGATGAGCAATCAGATCAGAAAAACCGGTCGCATAAATATTAAAACTCATACGCCATATTTCCATATTATCATCGGTACAGCGAACAAATTGTGGATATTTTCCATTGACTAGATCAAAATAATAAAAATAACGTGCTCTATATACGGCCAAATAATTGTTCAATTCCATAACCACACGATGAATATGGCCATTCCTATCGACAATGTTTGTACGATGTCCCCAAACATTTAAATATGGATTATCATTATCACAATTTTTAGAATTGTTCGTTGCTGCTGTTTTAATATACTGTTGATATGTTACCATATTATTACGATGAAAGCCACGATTATGAACAGTATTGCCACTACCGCCGCCTGATACCATACGTTTGTTTACCGGACGTCGTTTATTGACATTTGGCACATTTTCTTGTACTGAATTATTTTTATCAGATTTCTTTTCTTCTTGTTGTTGTAATCCATGGCCATCATCACTTTTGTCTAAACATTTAACAAATTCTTTCAGGTAATCCTCTTGAATATCATATACAAAAACTGAACTATTATCACTGTCAAAACTTGCAACATCAGAATTTTTGCTTTTAGTATCTTCATCATTTATATGTAAATCGGATTCTAGAAAAATTAAATCAAATAAACAACAATGACCTTTTTAAAAAAGAATTTATTTTGCTTCTAGTCGTATACATACCATAACCATTATTATTGTCAACAACAGCGGCGACATTTTCATTATCATTTTCGGAATCTACGTCTGTCATTTTTTCATGCTTGGAAACATTTTTTGTATTCAATTCAGGATCGGAAATTCTTTCATTTTTATCCATCATCATCATCACCATATAAGCATTCACCACCAGTAACGGTAATTAACAAAGATTTTTTTTTTTTTTTTTTTTTTGAAACTTTTTTGTATTATTAGATTTTGTCGACAAAACACGAAACAAATAAACGAAAGCAAACACACGCACACAAACACACAATCAAAATTAATAATGACCCAAGTGTTTAGAAAACATGGAATTTATTTTCAGAATTTCATTCGTTTAACTATATTCGATTTTCAATAATTAAATTTAGAAAAAAAACTATGTACTGATGTGTGTGTGTGTATGTTTACATTCGTGAACATGTTTGAAAGTCTATCCTAAAGTAAATTGAAAACGAAAAAAAAACTTCATGTCTTTGTTAGAGAATAAAAGTGGACGTCCTTTTCGTCCATCCAAACAATGTATTGCAATTTGATTCCAAAATTCATTAATGATTATATGATGATATGATTTTATTATTATATAAAGAAAATTTGAACAAAAAAATTTCAAAATTATTTTGTCATCCCTATATATGTGATGGATTGTTTAATCATCATATATTTCAAGTCATAAAAATACTATATACTACACCCTTTTGTATGAGAGAAGGGTGAAAAATATGAAAAAAAATTTGCCAAAAAAATGAAAAATATGTCATGAATATAGAATATGAAGGCGTTATGTTTGTGTGTGTGTTGTGTTGAAAAACTAATAACATATTTTTTCAAAGTTCTTTTGAATATAAAATGAATTATTATAGTTAGAAAAAAAACTGTATTTAAATGCAGACACATACATAAATGAATCATATGTTATATTCTATTTTTTTTTTCATGTTTACACATCAAATTAAATCAATATATTTGAAAATTATGCAAATGTTTTTGTTTTTTGTTGATGAATGTTTGTGCGTTACTCTGCTATTTATTGTTTTTGTCATCTTTGGTCATGATTATTATCAATATCATCATCATCATCATCATCATATCATTTAAAATGTTAATGTTCCAATAGTCGCTGGACACTAATGGGTAAATATTGAGCAAAATGATAGAATCCAAGTGCTACGACAGCTGTGGTTGCCACTCCGATGGCCGTTTTTGCTTGATTACGTACTGATTCCGGTATAAATCTCTCAAATAATCGACGTCGTTTATTTCGAAAAGAATCAGAATCCGTTTGATCATTTGAATTTTGCTCACCAGGTGTTACCATAGTCTCGTCTTGCAAGTCGCTTTGTTTTCTTTTTGTTCCTTTAGGAATTGGCAACAAATCATCATACCAATCGAATGCATCAAGCATCAATTTTTCCTCATACATTCTTGGCAATGAATTCTTTGCTATAGTTCAAAAAACAGATTATAAAAAAAGTATTGATATCGTATTCATTATTAAGTCGAAGAGGCAAGCGCCAACTCTTGTAGAAATTAACATACCAAGTAATTTTCGCATTTCACTTATCATTTGAATGACATCTTCTTCTTTGGTTTCAGATGAAGATGGTAAAGTTTTCATCCGATTTTGTTCAGAATTCAGATCATATGAAAGAATTGGATGTTCAGGATGATAAGTGATGAAATGAATCCACAAATTGTCATTGTTATCAAAATGGCCAGGACTTTCATTACAATATGCACAATGTAGTGAATAGTTTTCAAAATCCCAAAGATCTTGATATTCGGGTTGATAACCAAAACGGTCGATATAAGTTTTGTAATCATTATCATCGATTTTATCGTCCAAACAATTGATGATTTTACAGATATCTAGATGATGAATTTGAACTACATTGTCATCGAAAGATTCTTCAATTTCAGTTTCATCATCGCTTGTCTTAACATCTTGAATAGCTTGATTTAAAAAAGTTTGCTCGAAAACATTCAATTGGTGATCTGGTTCATCTTTTTTCTCCAATGTCAATCGTTTGATTGTTTCATAAAAATTCTTCGAATGTTCAAATGCTTGATGAAACAAAACGTGATCGAATGAGTATGCACGATAGAAACAAAGATTGCATTGGTATGCTAAACAGGAATGTTTTTCAGCAATGTGATCAGCCTATGTAATGAAAACAAGACTTTCATCGATTAAAATGTCTATATTTTATTTTGTTATTACTAACCAATTCATTGGAATTGTCAAAACAATTTGAACCACTTGAACAATGTTTATGGCGGTCATCATCAGATTTGATGCAATAAAAACAAAACAACGATCGATTCGAATGTTTCTGGTCGATATGTTTACGAAATTCGATGGCATCATTTGTTGTAAAAAAGCATTCGTCATGGAAGGGATCGCATTTGTAAATATTGGCCAAATTACGTTCAACTATTGTCAGATTGTCATGGTTATGATGTAACAATGGAAACAATGATCGAAGTTGTTTGTAAACATCTTCATCAAGTTTCATAAAGCCAATTGATTTCAATAATTGTTGGAATGATTTAATAAACTCATACGGTACTCGAGCTGGTTTTGATTCTTGATTGTTAATTTTCTTTTTAATACTTTTATCATCAACATTCATATGATGGCCATCATTATTATGGTCATCATTACTATCATCATCATGAAATGCATAGATTTTAGCTTTTTTTGATTTCGATGTTTCAACATTTGATGTTCCATGATAGAATTTGCGATCATAAGGTAATGCATCATAAGGTAATGCCATGATGTTTATTTCGAAATTACAAATTCAAACAAAAATTACAATGAAATTTGTTTTCGACGCACACAAACAAACACAAAGGCCATTTGAGTAAAACAACAGAAAAACTGCGCCCAACACAGCGATAGCAGTGCCACCGTGTTTATGAAGTAATTGTTGAAAAAAAAATTATTCTTGGCATTTCACAACAAATGGCAATGGCAATGACCTTTGTGTTTGAAATTGATGAATACAGCTTTTAGAATGGTGACGTTAAACTATTTTTGGTTATTATAACCTTCCGTGATTTTTTTTTTTGATTATTAACTGACAACAAGTTTTTGATTGGCTGATCATTTTTATATTATATAAATATTGAGGTCATCGATAAAAAAATATAGAAACGAAGAAAAAAATATAAAATTCAAAATGTTCAAAATATAATAATACTAGCTATAAGTAAATGAATTTGGTTTATAAACAAACAGGTCAACTAATACCTGTCTGGAAGAACTTAACTATGTTGAGATATATTCTCGATAATCTCAGGAGAATTGATTCAATTATAGATTCTTCGTTTGTTTGCAGATAATTTAAATGATGATCCAATTGATGATTAGAAATGAAATAAATGAAAAAAAAATTTGATTAGAACCGTTTTACCAAACATTAATGGATGATGATCATCGTCTCATGAGATGAAAAAGAACAATTTTAATTATCCTGATGATGTCGAATCTTTTCGAATGTTGAAAATTAAATTAAATTTATTTTTCAACAAAATTTTCAGAATTTGAAATTTCATTATCTGTAAATTTTTTTTTCAAAATCGATTGCTTTTCAAGCACTTGATTGAACTAATTAATTTTATGTATACAAGAATATTCCGTCAATTTCTTGGAATTGTTTATATTTGTTTAAATCTATTTACAATGTGAAATTATTTTTTATCTCCTATAATGAAAAGCATAGCTATGATTCAGGATTTTGAGACAGGTATATAAGACAAGAGGCAATGATGGTCACGACTATCATTTGGAAAATCATTCCTTCCTGAATATTGATACGGACGATTCTGATAATCGATGATCATATCGATACCAATCTTGACAACAGTAACCACCAGCATCATGTTTACTTCAACATTATCGATGAGAATGTTTTTTCTTGCCATTTGTTTATATGGTCATTTGTACATGCATATGATTTCATGTTCAGATAATGATTTTATGGAACGGCTTAAAGTTCCGCCTCGTTTTGGTAAACGACAATTCGATAACAAAGGTTAGTATGAATGAATAAAATTGTCAAAAATTATAAATATTCATATTCAATATAGAGCAATATTTGAACGCTGAAAAAATGTTTACAAATGATATGATCGAACATCGATCATTTCCTATTGATCAACAACCAATAAATATGGATACTTTTCAGTCGGTATTGTGTAAAATGATAATACGACAAGGACAATATTATATTAATCTTCAATGTTTGAATGCAAATGTTTTGTAATTCTGTTATAACAATCCAATAATTCAATAATTCGAACAATTATCAATCAAATAATTGAATACAACAACTATAGATGGCGTTAGTGTTTACATGTTCGAATTTTTTTTTTTTTTTTTTTTTAGATTTCACCCACGATTCTATTTACGGATTTTCTTGCACCATTAATAATCCATTATCATTAAAAATAAAAAATTCATGATAATAATAAAAAAAAATTGAATAAACAACAAGTTAAATGTCAGATTAATGGAATGTTGCATCAATGATTAATCTTTATTGATGATTAATTAATCTAAAAAAATTTACTGTTTAAATATGTCGAATCCAATTAATATAACACAAATACCAAAACAAAAACATGATGGTTGGACATTATTAAATATATGAATTTTGTTTTTTTCCCCTATAGCAAACAAAGCAATAAAAAACAAATTTGTCCTTAACTTTTTTTCTGTTGTTGTTGTTTGAATTTTGGATAATATTATCATCATCATCATTATCATTGGATCATCCAATCAATAATCAATGATAATATTTGACCAATAGATTAAACATATACTTGTTTGATTGATGGAAAAACTGTCAAAATGTATGTATTCTGTATGTGAAGAAACTAATATCGATTTGTTCGTTTTTTTTCTTTATCATCATCATCATTGATCCATAATCAAGTAATTTTTTTGCATTTTTGTCCCATTGAACAAAAAATATGTATATATAGAGAGAGAGAATGTTTTCAATTTTGACATTTCATAATAGTATTTTTTATTATTATTTTTCTTTGATTGAATTCAGAACTTTCAATTTGTTCTAATTTTATGGCTTCTAATTGATCAAGTTTGTTTTTGATGGAATAGGGAAAAAATTCTGACAAAAAACTTTAGATTAGCCTCATTTTTTTTGTTCTTAATCAATGTGTTTGTGTATGTTCTATGTTTAGATTAAATTCCAACATTTATCATTCGAAATAATATTATGTGAATTGAATTGGAGAAAATTGAAAAAAAAATACATGCTGTTCATTCAATCATGAACCATGTGATACATTGTGTTGATTTTTTTCCCATTTGGAACAAATTTAGATAAACAAGAAAATTGAAAAAAAAATTCACTACTGTTGCTGCTGCTTGAGGCTGTTTGTGTGTGTGTGTGTGTGCATGATTATATATCTTTTTCAATTAAATTCATCCAACAAATTAAATGTTTAACGAATTTGAAAATTGTTTTAAAAACACGTTAAATACATTTCGATGGAAATGTTCACAATCATTTTGGAAACTTATCTACATCATTTTATAATTGCATGTTCTGCATATATGCATCAAGGAATTTTTTTTACAATTTTCTTTCCCCTTTTTTTTATTGACATTTTCAAAAATCGAATCGATCACATTTTCACGTCATTCAAGATATCTTTTTAAATAGAAACAAAAAAAGAAAAGGTGATGATCTGTATTATTCTAATGTATGGCTATGTTAACTTTTACAACACACACACACACACACACACACACAATCTGATTATGAACGTTTCATTGATGAAAACGGAAACCATTTCATTTTCTTTTCCCTCTTACCATTTTTGGTCTTTTGTCTCATATCATTGGATTTATGTATGTGTGTGTGTGTGTATGTGAAGGTGGAGAGAGATAGAGCTGTTCATTTCCTTTCCATTGGCCATATTCGGATATAATATATATTGAAAAGGGACGGTATTTATGTATGCGTGTGTTTGCCCATACTCGGTCTAATTGACGGATTCTTGTGTTGTACATTCACACAATTTGATGCTTAGTATATGTGTGTAGCAATTTTTTTTTTGTCTTGATTGGTAGTAGAACAATAGTGAAATAGATGATGATGATGACGATGATGATGATGGTGAGAACCGATCATTTTGACCACAAATCCGATATATTTTTGTCGGGTATATAAATGGATGGTCCATGACACAAATTAATTCACAAATACTTATACACATAACATTAAACTTGGTAAAAAAAAAATTTGAAAATCTCGATCCTCGAAAACTACCGATTAATTCTCCTGATTAATATCTATCCAGATTATCATTTAATAAAACGTGGTAAGTTTTTCATCATTCCATTTGATTACGACCATTGTTGGCTGTTGGTATTGATTAATTTTTTTTTATTGACTGCTATCATAACATTAGCAAGATTTTGCATCTTACAACATAAAAATTAAAAAATCTGGTTTAAAAAATAAAATGGCCGCCTCGTCATCATCATCATCATCATCGCAATGTAGCCGATTATTCGCCATCATGGCTATTGTCGTCATAATTTTGAATGTTACATTATTCATGCCAATAGTATCGGCACGTTATCTACCGACACGAAGTAATGATCAATTGCGACGGCAAGAAATCAAAGAAATTTTACGTCTTGTAAGTGGATATTTGTTTATTATTTTATTTTTTTATGTTTTGCCGATAAAGAAAACTTGAATGTTTCTGTTTTTTTTTTTTTTTTGTTTTGGATGATTACACAACGAATCGAATAAAGATTTATTTTCTTGTCAATTTTTTTTTGTCACTTGTTATTCTGAATTTGATATTGATAATTATTTTCAAACATTCAAACATTTATTTTTTTTACATTTATTTAGCTTTTAGATTTACCCGGTGATGAAACCATTTCATCACAAAGAGATTCACAATTAGGATGGATGAATGGAGGCCGTGAAGCAGCATATGATATGAATTCAGCAATACGTGTTGCACGTAATATTCAAGGAACTGATGTTGCTGGAACCGATTCAATGATGGCTAATAATCAAAGATCAAAACGATCAACATTATTAAAATCTGGTTGAAAAACGAAAAAAAAATGAACTCACAACAACAACAACAACAAAAAACCAAAACAAAACAAAATAATACATACAAATAGATAAAAGTGTTCAAAAACAGTTATCTATTATTATACTACAACCTTCTTGAAAAAAAATAATCAAATAATCGATCAATAATTGTGAATTGACATCTTCTAGTAGTTTAATTTAGTAATGATGATAGTTTCTTTTTGCCATTCTCTCATTTATTGTATTTGTATTGTTATTTTTTATTCCATTTGCTTCACAAACAAAATACACACACACATTGATGATGAAATGTAAAGTTTTTGGATAAATAAGAAAAAATTAAAAAAAATACAACAAATTCAATCATTTTTTGGATCATGATCAACATTTGGATTCCATGATTTAATAATAAAATCAAGAATTATTGTTATTCTGAATACGATCTTTTATTCAACATTCCAAAAAAAAAATCACAATAATAATTTTCAAACCAGAAATAAATGAATGCTAAAAAAATATGAATTTTGTCTTAATAATCTATGATGATGATGATGAATTTTAATGTTTTTCAAATAAATTAATTAGATACAAGCTACAAGTTTCCACTAATAAAAAAAAACTTTTCAATTCTTATCGATTTTATTTTGTTCATTTTGGCCATCCACCATTTAAAGGTTTTTTTTTGGGTTACCAGCAATACCGATTATCATACATATGATAAGATTTTTGTAGATTTGTTGTTGCAATGATAAGATTGCTTGCAAGCAAGAGAAAAAAAATTTATCAATACAACAAATGATCATAAAAATACGAGTTCACCAGATTCATTCATTCATTCATTCATTCATGCAAAAGTGTATGATGATCAATTGAAAAAAAAACTGTCAACATTGGAAAATGAATGAATAGTAAAATTTTATGACAAAAAAAGAAAACGAAAATTGTTGAAATGAATTTTGATGAGTATCAGCAATAACAACAACAACAACAACAACAACAACCGAGAGAAACAAAAATTTTCAACATGGTAAGTGTATATTTTCAATGAATCAAATTCTGTCATCCGGTTGAATGCAATGTGCAAAAAAAAAGTAAAAATATAATGGAAATTCCCAAATGAAATTTTTTTTATTTATATTTTGAATATTCTTTAGGATGATCATCATAAAAAAAATTATGATGATCATGATGAACAACATGTAAATAATATAATCCATTATATCTAATTTTCTTTTCTTTTTTTTTGTTTTGTTTCTTGTGGATATATATATATCAGTCACCATACTGGTTCATGAAACATATCACCATCGTTTTTATCATCATTTTAATTGTAATAATAAAAAAAACAACAAATACAACCATAACTGAACAACGAAGAAATTTAAATTTAACGATCGAATCTTTCAACATATGGCATGGTAAAAATTCTAGAACCATTCGTGATTCGTTATCATCAAGAGGATTGAATAGTTATCAATTGAAACAAGGCAAGTGGGAATTTTATAAAATAGGTTTTTTTCATCATCATCATCTCTCTTGTTGTTGTTGTTAGTATTATTTTAATCTTAATGAAAATGTTTTTTTTTTCACTGGACAAGGAATATATAGGTTTTTATAGTTGTTGTTTTTTTTTCATTCGAAATTCCAAATGATGAGTATATGATGTACATATATGCCATTATCAGAATTTGTTGTTGTTGCTGTTGTTTTTTGATTAGAATATAAAAAAATGAAAATAAAAAACTTTTTACTTTAAAATCAAAATTGATTGGTTGGTATCCAATATTCAGTTACACACACACACATGCATCCAAAACAATTCGATTCAGAATTTTATTTGGATTATGCTTCCTTTTTTATCATGGAAAAATGTTGATCTAATTTCTAAAATTAAATTTAATTTTTTTCCACCAATAAAAATGATTAGTATTCTCAAAAGAAAAAACCATAAATTTTATTCTGAATTCAAAATTCTTGAATCTGAAATATTTTTTTATTTGCCATTCAATCAAGAGATAACGAACTGGATTTCTGATGAATTTAATTTTTACTTCATGTTCATCATGATGAAAATTAAAATGGACAGTCAAGTGAATTTTAATTTTATACGGAATTTCATCAATCAAACATAATAATCATGATATTTTGAAACATTTTTTCCTTTGTTCAATTGTTTTGCAATTGATTACATAAAAAAAAGAAAAAATTGTACTAATTGACTTAAAGTTTATATTTACGAAAAATCCAAATTCAAATAGGATCATGTAGGAATCAGCAGCAGCTTTCAATTCAGAATAGTTTGTTTTTATTATCTTCATTATATTATCAAAATTATAGGAATTTCCTTGTTTCGTCCACACACATAATTAGACTTTTTGTTGTTGTGTGTAACAATATCAAAATTAATTTTTTATTTTCTCGATTCTTTGGCTTCGATTCTTATCCATCATCATGATTTCTAAATTTGGTATTGAAAAATGTTAATGAAAAACATCTGGCAAAAACGGTGACTTGATTCTGGTGAAAACATCAAGAAGTGAAAAATGGAAAAAATAAAAATAAAACTCTTTGATAGCATTCTCGTATCCTAAACACACACACACGATTTTCCTAACATTCCATATAAATTAAGTTGAAAAAATTAAAGTCTGAAAAACGATTCCTTTTGTAAAAAAAAAGAATCGATTGATAATGCTATTGGATAGAGCAAAAATAAATAAAAATCACCAAAAAAAAAGAGAAATGAAGATAGCCCATTATAATGAATGACATCATGATGAAACGAAAGAAAAAAATAAGTTGGTATTTTTTTTCACTTGCTTAATGACAACATTCTGAAACTTTTTTTTTGATTGTATTAAGTTTTTTTTGTGTTGAAATTTTTGTTTTTCATTTCATTATGTGTGAAGAATAAAGAATTTTGTTTTTTTTCTGGTATAAAAATAGTTGTTATTTTTATTTACACTGGACGCACACGCATTTATATATTATTGACAATAATTGATTCGTTTGATAATTTAAGAATTGTATATTATTTTGTATGATAATTATACACACATGTAACATTTATTCTATAGTTTTTTTTCTAATGTTACGATCAAAGATTTTTTTTTTTGAGTGTATGTATGTGTGGCTGTGTATTTCTTATAAATAATTCCCATGGTTCGTTTTTTTGTTGTTGTTGTTGTTATGTTCGTATCCGAAAACAATTATCGCACAATGATGATGATGGTGATGATAAAATTACGATATGAAGTAAAATGAATTTTCGAATAAAAACTTATTCAGTTTTTTGTTGTTGTTGTTGTTGCGTACGTATTTATTCGAAGAATGAAACAAAAAAAGACTAAAGAATAATAATGAATAAACCATTTGAAAAATAAAACAACAACGACGGAAACTGTGTGAGAATTACAGCATTTTCAGCATCACCAGCAGCAGCAGCAGCAGCAGTGTAATAATAATGAAATCTAAATTATTCAATAAATAACCATAACCAAAATGAGTTTATATTGCAATGAAAAAAAAACTGTAAATACCTACATTTTGTTCAAATTCTTGTCGGATGAATTGCTTTTCTTTTTTTTCTTTTCTTTCTTTATTGTTGGTCTTATTATTTCACTATAAATGTAATTATAATAATTATTGAATGATGAATAATTAATTTTACAGTAATTATCAACATCTATTAACATGAATAAAAACTTAATATATATGAATGAACATAAAACAACAACAACAACAACAACAGCAACAAAAACAACTTCAAATCATTGATAGATTAATCGTAATTTCTTATTTTCCATTTTCCAATTATTTTCATCATCATTCAATGAAGCCAAACAATGTTGTCAACTAACTTTGAATCAAATGTGTCAAAATAGTTGCCATAATTCATTCAATGAATTTTGTAATGATGATTATTATTGTAGTGATAAATCAAAAATTTTGGATCAAATAGAAATTTCTTGTGATAAACCATTGGTCAATCTCGAAACGGTTTGTTCGCTACAATTATTATTTTTTTTCAAATGTTCAACTTGACTATAATATCTATTTGTATCGGGCAATATATTTTGAATAGGATGAACTTTGGGATTGTCTTTTAACATCGGGTTATTTTAACGGTGATAATGATCTCAATGATGGCCATAAAAATATTGAAAGTATATCAAATGAAAAATCAATGAAAAAATTACAGATCAATACAGTGGATAAATCATATTACGGTGGAATGAATCCAGCAAAATTTGTTTGCTGTGAAAGAGCACAACAGAAAAAATGTCGAAAACTTTGTTATGAAGTAAATTAAATCTAAACACATTCGGATTTATATCATAGAATCATTTATATTTTTTCCCATAGACATATTCTAATAAATGGCTGGAATCATGGCAAAATTTTGAACAATTCTGTCAACGATCATCGAATGAAATATCATTGAATCAATGCCTAGATGATGCCGATAGCCTATGCACTTATAAATGTCCGATAAAATTACATTTTTGTCATCACTTTAATAACTTCGAATATCCATTAAGAAATTGTAATCGAAATTCTGATAAACAAGCCGAGAAAATGTTTCATTTATGGATTCTACAAAACATGACTGGATTAGTAACGAATGTTTCAAATCAAAACCAGATGGAAATGTGGAAAAATCTAGCATGCCTACTACATATTCGTCCATGTATGCCACAAAATCATGATCCAATGCCAATCTGTCAATCAAATTGTGTTGAACTTTTTCATCATAATAGTCTTAATAATCAAATTGAAATGTTGGACAAAAATATTGTTTGTGATTTTTTAGACAATACCATTCATAGATTAACAAAAGGATCATCAGATCTTTTATTTTCAAGAGAAAATCCCGAAAAATGTTTGAATCTAAACCGTATGACGATAAAATCAGATAATCGAATTTCCACTTATTCGGTTACTTCTCGCATGAATGAAGAAGAATGTTTTTGCCAAAATGATCATCAACAATGTTCAATCAATCATGATTGTTTCATAAATGATTGTCCTCGTATTCGATGTTCCAATATTTGTAGTATCGGTAATGATTGTTACAGTGACTATATATATATGTTAATCCATTTATTCATTTTATTTACGTATTTGTATCGAAAAATCTATAGGAAAATTATCTGAACTAAAAATATCTCTAGATACAAGTATTAAATTGCCAATGATCCAATCATTTGATAATAATAATAATCATTTGAATAACTGTTATCATCAATGTTATTGCAATCCAATGGGAACATTAGTCGATTGTTATTATCATTGTTTTTCCAATACTTCGATCAATGAGAAACAAGAATGGATAAAATTGATCCAGGATCAATTGTAAGTATGGTCCCCCACCATTTGGTCAACGTTCTTTTTATGATCAAAACTATTATTTTCAATAGATTTTGTATGTCACAATGTTCCGATACTTATGAACCAATTTGTTCGTTTAAAACTGGTCATACTTATTTGAATAAATGTTTTTATGAATGTTTTCATAATGAATCGGAATTTGAAATGGAATATATGTTTGGCCGAAATTGTCGAAGAATTGGTGATGATTTCAAAAAAATTTGTCTAAAAAATAAGAACAAAGAAAGGTTTGTTATTAATGTTTGATATTATTCATTTTGAATTTTATTTTCAAAAAATATAAAATATTTTCATTTTTAGTTGTATTATGGATGATTCTGTTCAATTGTTTGAAATAAAAGAAATGCGAATATCTATCGAACGATTACAATACATATGTGATGATTTTAACCAATCAGAAGTTGAATGGATGAATCTTAATGATATGACCGTATGCGATACAAAAGGACAAGAACACTTGAATATCTGTACCCTACAAAATTTTACCACATCCTATTTTGGAAAATGTCGAGTATGTCGGAATTGTCGAGCTTTTCTCAATTTGATTACCAATAATTATTTTTTTTTCATTATTCAAAGGTTTATTGTTCAATGTCTGGTCCTGTATGCGGCCGTGATCTTTATATTTATTATTCTGAATGTGCAGCACAAGCAGCCAATGTTTTTGTCGATTATTTTGATTCGTGTGGATCAAACAATAAAATTCAAGAAAAATTTTGTCCCACTATTACATCATGTCCGGAACAATATATACATTGGTTACCATTTAATCAATGTCCATTCTGTGGTTCGGTTGCATATTTCATTTATGATCGAAATTATTTCAAAAAAATTTCCTATCAATCCGATGCATTGACCATACAGTATCTCTTACTAAGGCAAAAATCGCTAAACATTAAAACATTATCACGTCAAATTCAATCATTGATGGACAATAATGATTGTCAACTTTCAATACATTTATTAGCACCAGGTTTTGTCACTGTATTGATTCGATCGAAATTTGAATCCAATTATCAAAATGATGTTTGCCATAAAGAATTATTAAGATTGATTATAATAATTAAAAATAGATCACCTATTGTACAGCTGAAATTTCCATTATCATTACTTTATTATGATGAAACAATCAACGAAAAAATTCGATTATGGTCTTCCATGTTGGCCGTTAAACAACAACAACAATGGAGAAAATTAAAATTTTCAAACATTAATTCCGGAATCATGAATTCATCGAACGTTTCATATACATTCATTTTTCTTAATCTCATTTTATTAATATTATTGTATTGGAAAAATATATTTCATGAATATAATGTTGAATGATTATCATTATAAACATCATTATTATCATCATTACGTTTAAAAGATTTTTTAGTTTTGATAATTTTATCAAAATTTTTAATTATTATATCGTATAAACAATAACATTGTGTCATTATGTCCTGTAATTCATGTTGTATTTGTAGACAAGTTTCATGATCATATTCTTGCATCATGAAATAACATTCCTCTGAATGTGGATGTTGGTTGATTGTTTTTAACAATCTGGCACGTTCATTGAAAATTTCATTAAAATCTTTGAAAAAAAAAGAAAGAAAAATGTTAATAAAAAACTATAAATAAAGTTTTGTTCTATATGTACGTTACCGATACTGCATTCAAATGAAGTAAGGGCAAGAACTTTATCAAGAACTTTAATGGAAATATCATTATCTTCATTATCTTCGGTCTTTGGAACCAGAAATGAGAAACCGATATTGATTTTCAATAATTTTTCCGTAAGATCAACAATGATGGAACGAAATTTTTCACTAAATCTTACAATATATTCATTCGAAATGGTGGTGTTTGACAAAATCTCGGGAACAATGTTTATTGTTTCCCAGAAAGAATAGCGATTGTAGCAATGATGATGTAAATTGTTAACATGTCGAACACATTGGCTATATGGATGACGTTTTTCAGCACATGACAAAGTTTTGTTTGAAACTTGTTTAGATTCACTTTGTTGTTGTTGTTGTTGTTGTTCACATTCAAATGGCCAAAGTTTTTCTAATTTATTTTGCAATTTATTACGGATATTTTCATAATCATTTTTGGTCAATTGTTTATCGTAATTATCATCAATAAATTTTATAATTTCATTGTAAAATTCATTAATTTGTATTAATGTTTTTGGTATTTCATTTTGAACACATTCAATAGAATCATTAATCATTTTCTCTTTATTTTCATTCAAATTACTTGAATCTAATGGCACGGTTGGTAACTTTCGAATGTTTGATCGTCTAATTCCTGAATATTTTAAATTGATCGTTTTTGATTTGTATCGACGATTGTTCATCGTTTTTTTTTATTTGTTTTTGTTTATTTTTATGCTTAAATTTCAATCACAAATACACACTGCTCTTGCTCTCGTTTTTTTTCCAAAACAAACATTCTGAATATGCAAATTTAATACAATAAATATATAAACGATCGATCAAAAACACTCATTAATTATTATAATAATTAATATAATTTATTTATTCATTTATTTATTATTATTATAGAAATTGTATTACGAAAAATTTGCATCGCTAATCCAAATTACATATACGATTATCTTTAATTTTTATGATCATATATAATATAAAATTATTATTATTATTATTATTAATTACAATTTTCTTTTCGATTTACTATGGATTTGATTCTCAATGTTTCGCTGCTTTTTAATACAATGTCTACAGAACCAATGTTCATTTTTTTCTGGTGCTTTGATAATATTTTCACAAACAAAATGATACCATACATCACATATATCGCAGGCAATCCATTCTTCATTCAAATCATTTTTAGTATGTTGTTTACATGTACCGCATATTGATTGTTTCGAATCTGTTTGTATTTCAACAATTGAATCGTCATGTATTTGATCTTCTAAATGTGATTTTGCCCGAGATGATGATAATTGTTTTTGATGATGATGCATTTTACGACGATGTTTTGAAGATTGCTGTTCACTATCAGAACCAGAATCTAGTTCAGTCCATAAGCGTTTGCTGGATTTTTTCTTTATACATTTGGCACAAAACCAAGATGAATCAGGGCTTGGTGCAGTATTGATACCCACACATGGCCAATGAAACCATTGATCACATGAATCACATCCGATCATATTTACCGATAAATTTTCAACACTTTGACATTTGGGACAGATTTCTTTCTTCTGTGTTGGTTTTTCAATGATACTTCCAACATCACCACCAGCACTTGCGGCTTGATTCATGATCATTTCCATTGATGTAAGATAAGATTGTCTTTGTTGTTCCTTTATAAAATTATGATCATATTTCATGGATGATGATGTCGTCGATAAACTTGGTGTCGGATCGATGGGCGTAATTGTCAAGCCTGAATCCTGTGGAGTGGACAAATTAAGTGGCGGATGTTTTCTTGGTCTACCAACCGGTCTTTTTGGTTTAGATGTTTCATCAATGTTTGTGGTAACGGTAATTGTCACAAAGTCTTCTTCATTTTTAGCCTTGGCAAGTTTTTCCTGTTTCTTTTGGAATTTTTCTAATTTTTTCTTTTGTTTTTCAAAACATCTTGGGCAAAACCAAGGACCACCAGGATTTGGATCATGTTGGATTCCCAGACAATAATAATGATGCCATTGATCACAAGTATCACAACCAATCATTGGCGTACCATCATCTGGTTTGAGACAAATAGGACAAATCCAAAGCTTATTATCAATGGTCTCTGATGTTACGTTGATTGTTTCACTGACCACTGTACAGGCCTGATTTTCATCTTTTTTACTAATAACATGTGGTGAATCTTTATCCTTCTTTAAATCTCTGATACTTTTTTCTTTCTTATGCTTCAATGATGATGATGATGATGGTGGTGGTAATGGCAATTCTTCATTCCCTTTAGCCAGATCTAAATCTTTATTTTTAACCTTTTTACCTTCTTTTACCAAAACGTCCTTGCTTTTCGAAGCTTTGTTATTTGATGGTGTATTTACAATCGAATCGTTAGCAAATAAAGATGTCGCGACACTGATGATAGGATTTTTCTTTGTTTTCGATTCTTTAGTTTTGATTGTAGTATCCTTGATGAATACAAGTTCATTGTGTATATCCTCAGTTTCGGCTTTTTTACTTTTTGTTGCAGATTTCTTTTCAATTTTATTTATAATTAAACTTGATTCTTTGAAATCGACCAATTTGGCTTCATCAAACTCTTTCATTGAAACTTTATGTTTGTTGACTGATTGATTTAAGGTATCCAATTTGATCGGATCTTGATTGCTATCCGAGGGTCCCTGACCAAACTTGATATTAATTTTTGGTTTGAAATCTTTTTCTTTAATTTTAGCGACATCTTTATCTCGTTCTTTATCTCTATTCTTTTTATGTTTTTTATGTTGTTTTTCTTCACCATGACGATGTTTATTCTTAGAATGTTTCTTATTCTTTTTATGTTTACTTGATTCTTTTGATTTTTCTTCGCCAGGCTTTTTACTTTTAATATGATGTTCCTCATTGAATGCTTTACCCAGAAGTTTACTATCATCAATATCCATACCAGTATCGATCATAGCGGTAGACCTAGATGATTTTGAAGAATTTGAATAAACTGATGATAAAGAAGAATTAGAATTATGACGTTTACGATTACTAGTTGGAATTTCATTATCCAAACTTTCATTGATATCGGATTGATTTACAAGCAATGAAACAGGAATTTTATCAACATCCATATTATCATCACTTGAGGAATCACCAGAACTATTGATTACTTCAGCCGATTTGAATCTTTGATTAGCGCTTTTGTTGCGCTTGTTGTTATTATTGGTATTGGGACGAGAACTTTTCTTCGATGTAGATGTAAGTTTCGAATTCGAATCATCCATATCAAGTTCAATGCCACTGATGTATGATAATGAATCGTCATTTTCTTTTTTCACGTCTTTAGATTCGAAAATGGAAACCAATGTTTCGGCTGCTTCATTCTCATTGAATGAATTGTCTGAAATGTTTTTAGAATTTTTAGGCGGAAATAAATTCGAACCAAGAGATGCATTTTGAAGGGGAGATGGAACAAAATCAGTTGAATTTGATGCTTTTTGTTTCTGAACTGATTTTCTGCCTGCAGCTTTTTTTGGTTTTCGTTCAACATTTTCTTTGATTGGTTTGTCTTTACGTTTGTATTGCCGTTTTTTGACAGGAGTGGTTGTTTTTAAATTATCATTATCCTGGCTAGCAACAATTTTATCTTCACTCGAAATTGTGAATTTGAAATTCAATGGCTTATCTAATTTCGGCTTTTTCAGCCTAGAAATTTTCTCGGTGACATCTTTTTTAACACGTTCTTTATTATTTGATCTTATTTCTTTCACTTTGATGCTAGGTGTAACTGATTCCCCGAATTCTTCCAAACCCAATGATCCTATTTTGATTGGTTTTTTAGTAATGGGCATCTTTTTCAATTTTTTCAAATTGATATCCAAATCAATATTATTATTGATAGCATTTAACGGATTGTTAGCTGAAAAATCGGCATTTTCAGGCTCTATAAGGACAAAAAAAAAGAATGATTAATATTATAGAAAATAGATGACATTTTATCGATTTTACCACCAGGTTCAGGAGAATTTTCGCGGCTTATATGATTATTGGGTAAACGTTGAGTATCTGGAAAACGTAATTTCTTCCTTGTTTCTTGATTTTCCAAATTAGGTAACAATGAACCGGAATTAGCATTTGATAATAATCGTAAATAAGCTTTCGATGACATTAAATGATTAACCAAATCATTAGCAGAAGCTGATTGGAATAAAGCAATTTTGTTACTATTATCAGTCCCATTCTGTGCGGATTTTTCTTGATTTGCATTAGATTGATTTTCTTCCAAAGATTTTCCCAAACTAAATTTGAAAACTAATTTGGTTTTTTGTTCATCATCAGCTGTTTCTGTTTCGATTTCATCCTCCATTTTATCGGTTTTTTGTTCATTATCGTTTTTATCCAAAATTGTTTGATTCTGGGTTTCAGAAAGTTTGCCTTCATTTTGTTGTAGATCATTTTTTTCAGAATTTAAATCAATTGGGTTTTCGTCAGCTGAAATCATGGATTTAGTATGTTCATTTGAATCGGACTCAATATATTTGGTACAATTCAAAGATGGCAACCATTCGTCATAATATTCTGACCGCTCTTCATTAGGATCATATTGATCAAATATACGGCTTGGTCGATTTGGTAATGAATAAACTGGCAGGCTAAATTCAAGTGGCGATGATTCCACATTCAAGACATAGTCTTTTAATTGATTCATATCAATAGCTATATATTTGAATGCCATGAACATATCATCCATTGTCGGTTCATTACGACCAGCAAGATTTGCGGCATCAATGGCCAACATTGATAAACGTCGAAGATAATGATTAAGTAAATCAGATAGAACATTTAATGTAGATGTATGAGCCGAATGCCATCCAACATCATGGCAAATCTTCGAAACAATAGCTCGAAGAATCGATTGCTGAAATGTTAATGATGAAGACATCTTTATATAGAAATATTAGTTGTTGCTTCGAAGATAAGAATGCAATCTGGAAAACATTTTAATGAAAAATAAAATAAAACCAAAATGAGAGACTGAGAATCTTGTCGTTGTCAAGGAATGATGTTGAATTTAGAATTAAAACCTAGATTAAAACATTGATCATATATATTGAATCAATTTAACAAAACATTTACTTACCTCAATTTGGAAATAGTGAAAATATTAACAACAACAAAAATAAATTTTGAGATGATGTATTTTGTTATTATTTTTAGATTTGAGAATATTTATAAATTATAAAATACAAGCGTCATAATGAATTATTAGATTAGATATGGCATGAAAACAGAGTGGTTTTTCTTTGCATCAGCATATCACTGAACAAGAGTTCCTCCTTGATTTTGAGGGTGAGAATCGTATTGCAAAAGTTATTCTGTGGGTGGAGTTAAATGCATTCAAAATGTGACCGATTCATACACCGAAAGTAAAATACACAAGTTGACAATGTATGAACGATTTTTTAAAGAATTTTATTACAGAAACGGTACAAAATTGAATGTTCGTTTCTGTAAAATCAACAACTGTTGAAAATTTCAAACTTTTCCACTAGAAATTTGTTTTAATTTCTGAATTCAGTTTAAGAAATATATTGAAAAAATTATGATTACCAAATTCAATTAACCTAAATATTTTGACTATATATTTTTGGATATATCCAAATCCCTGAATATATAGTATGATTTTGGCGCATGGATATCATTCGATGCATATATACTCCATTATTATTGTGTTTGTAATAACTGTTTCAATGAATTACACGTCCACTACATTACAATGATATATCCATGTTGTTGATTATTTGAATGAATATATAAGTTGTTTAATGTTTCTATCAATCACTCTCTCTTTCAATTCACTTGCTCGTTTTCTCTCTTTTTCTCTTTATTTTATCATGGCTGAGTACATGGTTGTTGCGTCTGTTTTTTTTTTTTTTTTTTTTGATATATCCAATATGCAAGCATGGCTTCCAGCTTTTTTTGTGTAGTTTTTTGCTTAAAATTTTCTATACTTTCTCAAATCAAATGAAGGATGTTGTTTTGATGCATTTATTGTCTGATTTTGTACCTTAAATTGCTGAAATATGCGTTGGAAACGACATCAAACAACGATGATAACAAAAAAAAAAAAAATTTCTTCCTCGATTGCATTCACTCGAAGTATACAGTGGTATACCAATCTACACGAAAAATAATAAGTCTGTAATGAAATGTGAATTTTAATTAATTAATTAACTGTTTTTGTTGTCATCGTTTTTGCTTGTTTTTTTTCATTTTTCATTTCGGTAATTTTTTTTTTGTATTGTTTGCATGCTTGTTCGGTTTTTTTTATGTTCCTTTCAAAATTCGTTTGTCAATGTTCTTTTTTTCGAATATTATCACAAACACATACACATGTTTACAAAAATTCATTTTTTACCAGTATTTTTTGTTATTGTAATTGTAATATTGGTGATGATGATGATAACTTGAATTTTACGGATGAGTTAATAATTGAAAAAAAGAATGACCACAACAACAAACTGTTGTCATTGATATAGTCGACGGATATGTATTTCGGATCATAATTTATTGTTTTTTTTTTGTTCATATGTTTCGTTTTGTTCGCATGTTTGTACGCCAATCGTTTATTTGTTTTCAATTCCTACTAACCTCGATTCTCTCTTCAAGCAACAAAATTTATACAGTTCATTTATTTATATATCTATATTACGATTCATCATTCACCATTCTTGTTTGATTTTGTGTCTGTACACTGAGTTATCTAATACATTCGACAAATCTGAATTGATATTTAGTATGCATACTGCTTCCTTATACAGTTTATAATAATCAATAATCTACCAATAACTATTATTCAATTTTTCAATCTATTTTGTTTGTTTTTTCTCATTTTCCAACCATTCATCCGAACGATCGATTTACCTGATGCAGCAGGTAATACACACTTTAAAAAAAAACACAAATAATGTGATTCCCTTATGATGAATTGTCTTTGTAAAAAAAAATAACTACATGCGTGTTATATGATAACATTGTATCAACAATCACCATATATATTTATAATGATGAGAATCTGCTGAAAAAAATCAGCTGTAGGTAAGTAATGAATTTTTTTTTATTGGTTCAATAAATTGTAAAAAAAACAAACAATTTATACGCCATGCTTGATTGATTAATAGTTTGATAAAAAAAACTTGTTTTTAGATTTAATTTGAATCTCATTGAATAAGCTAAAAGGTTAAAGTATGAGAAAAATTGTTTTATTTGATTTTATCATCATCATCATATATATAATTTAGCTTTTGTTCCTGATTACCATTGGTTATAATCATCATCAATATATAATGTTTAATGCCACTTTAGAAGTGACATTCAATTGTCGTTATAAATAGAGAATATATATTGGAGTTAATTGTTAGTTGTATGCAAAAAATTTCATTCATTCATTTGAGATTCGTTTTTTTATATCATTATGTTTCTTTTTTGCAAGACCTTATATGATAGTAGATCAGTGGCAAATTTTTTTTATAAAAAATTGTGATAATCAACAATAGAAAATTTATTAATATAATAACATAAACTTCTCTTTTTCTCTCTCTCTCTCTCTCTCTCTCTCTCTCTCTCTCGGATGAAAATCATCACAAAACAACAAAACATTTTCGATTTAATATATGACATAAGCTAAAACCAAAATGTAACGACGATTTTTTTCCTTCTCGTTATGTCAAGTCATCGTCATCATTTTGTTGTTTTTTTTCACCCATAATTTTTTTCGTCATCCTTTTCCGTTCTCAATTCTTCAATTTTTATTTTTGTTTTGTTTTGTTTTGTTTAATTCGAATGAATTAATTTCTGCTTGAAAGCATTTCCAGATGAACGACAATGTAGATGATTATTAAAAAAAAAAAATTTGATTTTTGAATTCGACGCACAACATTTGTTTGCCCATCTTATTAATCAAATGTTCCTTATTCATTCATTGGCCTTTATCGATTTATTGTAAATATACCGTCACCATCATCATGATTCGCAAGAATCGAATCCTACAGATATTATTCTGTCTATTCCTGTTAACCGTGATATTTCCAATCCTCTTGAATCTTCTGGGAAATTTTCACAATAAACAGCTCTCACCATCGTTGCAACCACAAGCAATCATTATTTCAAATCAAGAAAAATTACAACTTAATAAATATTATGGACAACAAGAATCCTCTAATGAACATGATTCATTCATATTACAACCGATTAATAATTTAAATCTAACATATGTAAAAATGATAGCTGGCAATAAATTGGATCAACAACTGGAATATCGTTTTGCCGATCTAAGTAATCGAGTGAAATATGCTGAAATGATTGCCGGTGAACGTAAACAGGAAATCTTCCAGCTATTACAAGAAATTCGGGATCTTTGGACCGTCATACAGAATAAATCATCAAAAGAACTACATACTAATTTTACATCATTCACTATGAGCAAATCGATGGCTGAATTGCTTTTCAGTAAGTGATACAAATCAATTTTTTTTTGTTACGGTGACGAATAATTCACTTTAATAATGTTTCGATAGCTGAGCAAAATTCTTCATTATCAATGCAAGAGGAAATTGTTCAGATGCCTACATTATTAAGTCTTATGCCTCATCTTGCATCAACATCATCATTAAATCCGGCATTTCGTGTTGCTACCAAACAAAAACAATTGGCTCGTCGTTTTGTATTTGGATTGCCAACGGTAAAACGTTTGGTTGAATCTTACCTGATTTCAACATTGAGAGATTTGATCAAAAATCTATCACCAATCGAACAAGAACAATCATTGTTTGTAGTATTCATTGCTGAAGTATGAATTATTCATTTAATTTTGATCTTATTTGAATATTCTAATATTTTTTTCTATTTATAGAGCGACCCAGAATTTTTTCAAAAAACTGCCAGCGATATTATTGGTAATTTTGAGAAACAAATCGATTCGGGTTTAATAGAAATAATTTCGCCGCCTGCTAACTATTATCCAAATTTTTCCAACCTCAAACAAACACTTGGTGATCCAATTGAACGAGTCAAATGGCGAAGCAAACAAAATTTTGGTAAACAATTTGTGTTGACAAATACAATATGATCGATAATGTTCTCATGATTTTTGTCAGATTTCGCTTACCTGATGATGTATTGTCGACCGAAAGGAACTTATTATGTTCAACTTGAAGACGATATCATAACAAAGCCATCATATTTGGCTAAAATGGAAAATTTCATAGCCAAAAATACACAGACGAAACAAGATTGGCTTATATTAGATTTTTGTTCCCTTGGTTTTATTGGTTTGTATTCATTATCTATTATAAAATATTAATTATCGTATTTTCAACCCGAAAATTTCTATTATAGGTAAACTATTTCGTACAATCGATTTGTCACATTTTGTTCTATTTTTCACCATGTTTCACAATGATAAACCGGTGGATTGGCTTTTGGATAATTATGTTCAAACAAAGGTTTGCCGTTTCGACAAGGACATAAAAGATTGTAAACGTCGAAAGAATGCCATCTGGATCACGCATAAACCGTCGTTGTTTCAACATATTGGTACTCATTCAAGTTTGAAAGGAAAAATTCAGAAATTACGTGATAAAGGATTCGGAAAAGTTAAATTATACGAACCACATCATGATAATCCACCTGTTTCAGTATATTATTGTTCAATCAAACAATATCAACGATATAAGCTCAGTAATGCCTATGAAGGAAGAACATTCTTTTGGGGTGTATCACCGATTAAAGGTGATGTATTCGGATTTAAATATCAGCCACCAATCGATTTGGAAAGCTGCCTAATCAAATCCGGAAATTTGGAACATCCATCGGATGTATTGTACAACGCTACCCTTCAGATCAAACCAAATGTTCCTAATAACAAATACAAAAACATAGATAAAGATGGTTTCATCGATCTTACGTCATTCGATCCTGTCGCAGGTTTAGTCAATGTTCGAATACCAAACGAATTGAATCCAATTGTTGAGCTACGTGTTCGTATTGATCAAGATTCAATTAATTGGGTGATTGTAAATGAGGTATGTTTATATTCATTAAATTCACAACATTTATAACAAAATGTCTATTTTCTTTTCATAAATAAATATAGATCCACATAAAAGAAATGTCTCATCCTACGTAAAACATAAATTGGCAAACAACAAACAAATTATTTTGTTGTTTTCTACAGTGAATTCTAGTCTCTGCCTATATATATCTTATTATTAACTGATTGTGTCAAAAGAATTTTTTTTTTATTGCTTATTATTATTTTGTCACAAAAATATCATCATGTCAATTGGAATTTTTTTTTTATTGATTATTGTGCCTTTTCGCCAAAAAAAAAAAATATTCCCTGTTATAAGCATCGTTCCGTGTGTGTGTGAGTGTTTGTACGTGTGATTTGCTATCTAATCTAATCTTTATTATTCACAAAATTTACCCTATCTATTCTTTTACTAATTAATCGTGACAATAATTTTCAATTTATGTGTGATATTTCGAATGAAACTTTTTTTTTAAAAAAAATCATTATTTATTTGATGCATTGTTTTTTCATTCGTTATTAATAAATAATAACAAACAAAGTACTTTGGATTGAATGACATTTTTTTCACAGAAATAGAAACAAATATCACAGTCACATATCAAAATACAGAATTGATTTTAAATCATTTGATTTCAAATGATTAAAGATTTTTTTTTTTAACTCGGTACTAATGATTGTAATTGTGATGAACGTAATCGTCGTTGAGCCACAGCCGATGTATTGGCCATCGTTGAATAACAAGGTCGTCTAGCTTTATAGCTAATTTTAGATACTGGCTTTTGTCGACTCCAGTATTCGCTCGATTTTCCCAGATAAGTGAATGACCAATCATTTTTTGTTTCATATTTTCTCACTAATTTTTGTATTGCTTTACATGATTGATTCTGTTGTGAAGCATTATCTTCACCATCGGTCATCATTATGCATACAATTCTTTCATGATCATTTCGTAATTCATCGGCTAATTCAATGGCACATTTGACGGCATCAAATAATCCTGTACGGCCCGATGGATTATAATCACACATTCGTAATGGCTGTACCAGATTGATATTGATAGCTATCATGAAAACAAAAAAAAACATTGATTAAACACTATGATTTTGATAAAATCGATATATAAATGTAATTCTTAAATACCTTTATGCATTACTGTGACATGATTGTTAAATTTGATCAATATTAGTCGGCTATCCGGATTGATTTCCCGTTGAACATCAAGATAACGATTAATACCGTCGACAACATCCTGTCGTTTCATCCGCATACTTAAAGATTCATCGATCAGGATCAAAAACATTGTTTGATCCATTATTTTTGTCCTTAATTTGTGAACAATGCACTTTTTACTCCAATTTGATTCTTGTTTTTTATTTTTGTGTCACTGATTAGAAAATGAATGAATGAATGAAAATCCAATAAAAACGTAAAAACATAAATCAAATAATAAAAAAAAAATAGATAGATCGATTGTGTTTGTGATTAGTTATTTTTTTTCGTGTTCATTAGTCGTTTTGAAAATTGTGATTTGGCGCTTTCCTTCGTTTGACATACGTTTATATAGAAGATTTTACTATGACAATTCATTTGATGATGAGGATGATGATCGTCATCTTTGTAGTGGTAGAAAAAAACAGTCAAACACAAAATAGCAATCAATTGCCCATTAGTTTTTGTGGGTTGAGAGGCTGACAACAACAAAAAATTTGTCATGATGATGAATATAATATATTCAGGTTGAATCGTTTAACTATTGAATGGAATTTTTTTTCCCACCCCCAGTATTGTACAACAAGTTCATATCAACTCAATACATTCTATGATAAATTAAGTAAAAGAAAGGAAGATATAGAGATGGTCAGTAATTTCACATGACATAACTACACTAAACGCACTGACGTATTCACTAATGGATACAACTAAAGAAAAAAATGTACGTCATCAAAATTAAATTCGAAACACTGAAACCATTGCTAATATCATCATCATCATCATCATCATGATCGTTTAATATGATATGATTGGGCATGTTTGGTTTTTTCTTATTCAATTCAATCGATTGAATGAATGGATGAATAAATAAAATTCAAACGAAATCAAAAAGGTAATCATATAGAGAAAATAAGGGAAATAATTTTTTTTATTATTTGAAAAAAAGCTGAAACGGATTATCATCATGACCCTACTTACTATTCAATGAGAATTCACTCGATTAAAGTGATTTTTCTTTTCTCCCTCTCTTTCTCTTATTTTTAGATGAAATCGGCGAATGCGAATGATGCTGAAACCTTGAAACGATTTTTTTTGATTTAGAGTAGAAAAAACAAATTCAATTCTTTCGTATAATATAAGAATATAAGAGGTTTGGCTTGTAGTTACTATTTTAAGATTTTCTTTTTGTTTGTTGGTACAATTTCCTTTAATAAAAATATCAATCGTATGACATTCAATCGAAAATATTTTATTTCATTTTCTCATTAATGTCCTTGAATATATTCCGTTCAAATTACGCGATCAAATAATTGGTAATTTATTATTAGAATTATAATCATGAGTTGTTTTCTTTGAACAAAAATTTCTATCAATTAAAATGAACAGTTTTTTAACAAAAAAAAACTAATCGATTGCAATTGTTTGTTCAACTACTTCAATATTTGGTACCAAAACACAGAACAACATTGGTCCAGGATGTTTTTTATATAGACGTATTTTTTTATGGTCATCCAATTTCTGTCGTACAATGATTCGAGTGGAGATATTTTGAACCTGTTTTTTTTTGTTAATTGGTAAACATGATAATCAGTAGATATCAAAATTAAGGAAAAACAAAAAACATACAGTAGGAAAACTTTTCAACACTTTAAATAAAGATGTGAATGTATAATATTTGTCAGGCACAACACCATTATCGACACATTCGCTACCATCATCGGCGATGGTTGATGAATTTTCACATGGACTCATCGATGGTCCATATGGCATTTCAACCATGTTTCCTGCCACTGGAACACGTGCAACCATTATCCGTTCAATTGATGGTACCTTAGCGATTGTTCCTGAAAAAAATATTTGTGTTTAAATTTTTTTAATTGATTAAAAAAAAAAATTTCCTTTTTGTACTTACTAAATTGAATTTTCAATACAGCATCAATTCCTTTAGTTAGTTTACAACGAGTTTCGTTACCGTTCACTGGTGGACATTGATTAACATAAACTTTGACATCTTTAGCTGCCATTGGATATTTGAATTCTTCATTACATGATGACCAAATAGTTTCACTTTCTTCAGATGCAGCAGTAGTAATTTCTTGGGTATTGATAATTGATAAAGACCAAGAAAATACGATTAAAAATAATAATAAATTGTTCGCCATTTGAACCATAGTGGCCATTTCAATGAAACAAAAAACAATTATTCTATGCAATGTATCTTACGGTACTCAATCACTTGAATAATGATGAAGATTAGTAACTTTTTTCCTTTTCATTCAGTAGAGTATATCCAACCAATATCAAATCCAAAATCATATGAAAAGAAAATGTGATAAGATAATTTGTTTATAAAATTTCATTTGTTATCATAATAAAGCTATGACTTTTTTTCCTTCGACTTTGATCTCGTCAAAATTTTTCATCAACCTTCATATTAGTATTGACATCAATTTTATATCCTATTGAATTTCTTTTTCAATTCGATAAATAATGATTGAATATAAATTTTGTCAACTTTGATTCTTCATATCCACATATACATGAGTATATACTAAAGTGAAATGAATACATATCTACGAAAAAAAAACAGGAAATTTTCAGATTTCTTGTGTATGTGTGTGTGTGTGTGTGTGTGTGTGTGTGTGTGTGTGTGTGTGCATGTATAGGATGTTGATGAAAATTATCAGAAAAAAAAACAATGTTTGTCCAAATCAGGTCTCAATTTTATTTTTATTTTTATTTTCGGTTAAGGTGAAAGGTATTATGAAATTTTTTTTTCTACAAAAAATCGATTAAAAAACATTTCCACATTTTTCATGGATTTTTTCCCCACTTCTCTTTTAGTAGTACACATATATACAAGTTATCTCATGACTTTTAATGTTGGCTCATAAATAATAAATGCATATTTCCGGTTAACATGATGATGATGATGATGAAACAAGCAGAAGGGTTTTTTTATTGTTTATTTGAAAAAAATAATGAAAAAAAATGTGAAGGATCTATGAGAGGAAAAGATATTATAATCGGTACATCCGGCTGATTATTCCATATATACATATTAATTTCACTATACATAGATTAAATGAGATTTTTGAGTTTTTTTTCCCAAAAATAATAATTTTCCATAGTATTTGATTTTGTTGACGCAATCATTGATGATTTTAAGAGTTATAATAATAATTATTTTGAAAAAATTGTTGATTAAAATTCAATTTTTTGTCTGTTGTTGATAACTACGTTTGTTCAAAGCAATGGCAATAATACAACAGGATACAAGTATAGCACCTACTATTGATGTCCATGTAATTGTTTCTTGGAAAATAATCACCTCCCAAAGAAAGGCCAATACAATGTTGAATGAACGAGTCACAGAAATTGTGCTTGCATCTTCATATTGTAATGATAATGTAAGAAAATACTGTTCTACCATACTCAACAAGCCTATCAAAACCAATAGTACAATACACCATGAATCATGCCAATCCAATGATCGATACAGACGTAAATGAACAAGGATTATTGAACCAATAATTGTGATCGCAATTGCAAACCAGAGCAATATTATAATGGGCGATGTAGATTTTAATTTTCGTAGAAAAATCAATGCCAACGATGATGAAATAGCTGAAATAAAAGATAGAATTTGTCCCAAAATTTCCTGTGCATAATGTTGATCCGTTTGTTGTTGTTGTTGTGTCCCGAAAATGAACACTGGTTTTGCAATGAATCCTACACCAATAATGGTGATAAATATAGTGATCGATTGTAACCACCGAAATGGTTCATGAAGAAATATGAAGGAAAAAATAGCAACAAAAACTGGTGATGTTAAATAGATTGTGGTAGCATCACCAATAGGAATTTTGTTGAATGCGGTAAACAGACAACACACAGCAATAGTGCCTATTATTGAACAACCAAATATGTACAGATTTGTTCGCATATCCGTATATCCGGGCAATGAACGTTGATAAAACAGAATAATGGAACATAAGGCAATCTGAATGAACGATCTGTGTTAAATGCAATAATATAAGATTTATATGATCAAAAAAAAAACAAAAAATTCCATACCTTAAGACTAGAACTTGAATACCTGGAATCTGATATGATGAATTTAATAATTTGGCAATCACCGAACAAAATGAAAAACAAAGAACCGAAACCATTGCACAAGTGATTCCGAATGCTGAACCAAATATGGGTGGTTTTTTAAATTTTGATACAAGTTTTTTATCATCTTCGACTGTAATGGAATGAACATTATGATGATGATTATGGTTATTCAAATGATGATTTTGTATTGTAGCAATAGTCGTTATATCTGTCACGTGTTTCTTTGTCAATGAATCATCAGACATGATGAATTCTATAGTAATGTGGCGATAAATCAAGTTAAATAAAAATTTAACATGTGAAAAAAATTCCACATTAATAAGCGATTTTCCAAAAAATAATTTATAATTTATATGAAAAATTACCAAAGACAAACAATTAGGACAAAAAAAACAATAAAATTCTGTGTCATTCAATTTTGGCATTGTGAAAGGCATAAAATTTGCAGATATCATAAAAATTTTTAAAAAAACAATCATAACAACTAACCTTAATTTTGTGAATAAGATTAGGTTAACATCTTTATTTGGATCCAAAATTTGTAACAATTTGAAAATTATAATTGTATAATTGTATACATAAAAAATTTTCTTGTCAAATTATTGTTCAATACTAAAGATTAAAATACCGTTTTGGTCTTTTTTTTGCACATGTGCATTTATGTTTAGCAAGTTTGTTCCAAACAGATTTTTTTTAATTTTTTTTTCTTTTATCTGGTTTTTTACGATCCAATCAATAATATCGTATCGTACAGTATTTTAATGTTGTCTTACTCATAAACAAAACTTGCTTAAGATTTGATTTATTTTCGAGGATTTTCTTTTTTCACTTGGAGATAATTCTTTTCACAGATACTATTTACAACACTAATAGGATACCATGTGTAATGTTATTCTAAAATGTGTCAAAAAAAAACTTTTTATTTGCATTTAAAACCAATTCGAACCAGTAAGATCCCAATCATCAAATTGTAATTTTAGTTTAGTTTTGTTTACAATGTATATACAAGAATTGACCAATGATTTATCACATCTTTTAATGTAACGGAAATGTAAGAAAAGATATCTTTTTTTTGAAAACAATACTTTTTTAATACATTTTTTATGATTTGTTTATGTTATAAGCTCATAATCAAGAGAATTGGAGAAAATAAGAATATGTCATTATATTAATAGTTAATTGCTATAAATATGTTGTGCATATCTTAGTTATGTCGTGAACTTTTTCCATCTTTCTTTTTATCCTTATTTGAATCTTTAGGTCCTGCAATGGCTACATTGTCTGATAATTTTACTTTTTTCTTTTTTTTCATCTTTATCTGAGATTCATCTGGCTGTATTTCAATTAGTGGATATAAATGTTGAGGAGATTGTATCCTACTATAATGTCCACCGCCTACATCAAACATTACATTGCGAGTCTTTTCAATAATCAATCTTCTATGTTGATCACCAGTGGGTGAGGATGCGGCAAATTTTTCAATCGTTTCAACATGTTCAACAGGTAATTGTGATGTGAACATTGATGTTGATGGCCCTGCAGATTTATCATGATGATGATAATGATGAATTTGAATGGGTTGTGAAAAGGTGGAAGGATCCGTATAAACATGTTCAACTGGTATTTCAATTTCAGATGAACTAACAGTAGTTAGTTGTTTATGAATTAATCGTTCATCATCATCATGAGCATCGCTATGTGATGAATGAATTTTCGATTGTTTCTTGAGTTCGACAAGTTTTTCTTTACGAGGCGATTTATCTTTTTCCATAACTTTTTTCAACAATTTAAATGTTGAACTACTTGATTTAGTGGGAACAATTTCCGCTTCATCAATTGATTTCAATAATTTGGATTTTGAACTTTTTGGTTTTGATGATTTTTTATCTTTCTGTTCATCAAAAACGATCACCCTTTTCGATTGTCCCGGATATGGTGGCGGAATTTGATCATTGACTTCTGATTTCGATTCCTTATCTCTATGTTTCGCATGTTTCTGATCCAATTCTTTAGATTTTTTTGACTTTTCACATTTAACTTTTATTTTTTTCTTTTCTTTTTCAATTTTTTTGCTCGATTCTTTTTCTGGTTTTTCTTTTTCAATTTTTTTGCTCGGTTCTTTTTCTGACTTTTGCTTTTCAATTTTTTCCAATTTTTTACTTTTATCTTTCAATACAGATTTGGATGGTTTAGATTTTTGTGTATCAATTTCTTTTTGTTTACTATCTTTCGACTTTTTTTTCTTTTCATCATGTTCTTTTGCTTCGATTCTAGATGATTTTTTCTTTGATATCTTTTTCTCTTTCTCTTTACTCTTGAGATCTTTAGAGTTTTTTTTCATTTTCGAATCTCGTGCCACATTTATATCACTGATAATAACTTCCGGTATTTGCAAACGATTCCGTTCCGCGATTGCATCCATTCGTGAAATTTTGTGTTTACTTTTACTCGATTTACTTTTGCTTGCTTTTTCATTGTAGTTTTTATCAATATTTGTCTCATCAACAACATCCTCGATGGCGTCATCACTTTCTTTCAGGACTTTGATTTCGGGAATATTATCATATTCTCTTTCTATTATTTCTTCGTCATCTTTAGTTTGTCGACCAACAAGGCCAATATTGATTACGATTTCTTCATGTAATGAGCTTTTACTGCTTTCCACAGTTTTTAGTTCTGGTTCGGGTTCTGATTGCTTCGGTTCACTTCGTCCACCACCAGCAAGAAATCCAGACATCAGTCCCATAACCGTATTACGAAGAGAAAATTTTGACGACTTTTTGGCTGTTGTTTCTGTCATTAGCTTCGATTGGACAATTTCTTTAAGCTTTGAACTTTTACCATCTACCTTGGTCGATGGTTCAGATTTGACAGTGTCCATTATTAATGCAATATCATCAGATTTAGATTCGTTGGTCTTATTGACATCTTTTTCCAATTCGGCTGCTTTAAGTTCCAATAATTTGCCATTATCTTTTTCAATTAGTTTAGTAGGAAGTTGACTTTTAGATTCTTTATTTAATTTTTTCATTTCTTTTTTTTCCTTTTTCTTTTGCTTTAAAATCAAAAAAAAAATATTAGACTATTCATTCTATGATTTTAGGCGTAAATACCTCTTTTTCAAGCTTTTTCTGCTCTTTTTGTTCTCTTTTAATTCGTTTTTTTTGATCTTTTTCAGATTCAAAACCATTACTAAGTATGGCAATATGATCAGTAATAATATTGAAAGCTGTTGAATCAATTTTGGCACTTTCCACTTGCTTTTCGACTTTTTCCATTTCTTCTTTTGACATTTTAACACCATGAATATCATCTTTTTGATCATCTACATCTTCTTCGAATGATAAATCTTTACGACTAAATAATCGTTTAAGACGTTGACGCCAATTCATATGTCGCAATTCAAATGATCTATGTTTTTTAACACGATTTTCTTCCAAATCTTCGACTCGTTTTAATACTAAAAAAATAAAAGTTAAATACTATTTCATATCTAAAAGTCATATACCTGGCAGCAAATTTGAAGGGTCGAATTCAAGCTCTTCCAATTTAATTTTACTTAAATGAGTATTGATTAGTTTGGTGATTTTTCTTCGTGTATAATCGGCTTCTATTTCTTGTTTTGTTCTCGGAATTCGACACCGGAACAGACAACAAAGTAGAACAGCTATTACAGTTAGAATACCCAAACACGAAAACATAATGTGCCATATTCGAAAATCTCCAAAAACGACTTGTTCCAGCCAAGAACTATCAACAGTCAAATCGATTGGTGATTGACAAATCACCACCGGAGGTGGTGGTGGTGGTGTTGGAGACGATGATGGCATCTGAGTCTGAAGTGAATTTAACATCATTCAATGAGATTTAAAGTCAAATTTTTATTCAACAGAACTTACTTGTTTTGATTCATCATCATTTTCTGCTTCAGCAATCAATTGTTTGGCAAATAATAAATGGAATGTTAATGCAAGAATTAATATCGGTTTGATCGTCATATTGGCTGATTGTTTGCACATTTTAATTATAATTTGTCGGCCTTTAAAAAAAATTGATTCAATATCCCAACAATAATAATAATAATGAAGATGATGAGTAAAATTGTAGAAAACGTTTGATTTCAGATGCATTGTTTCATTTTAGTAAATTTTCAAGTATTTAGCCGTCTCATTATTTAAAGTCATCATTTTACTTTTTTTAAGAAACAAAGTTTGATCATTAATTTTGGATGAAAAAAATTTCGGTTATTTATCCTATAGGATCACAGTCGATATTTCATGGGCAACATGACAAACTACAATGGCACAAAAAAGCAACAATGATCAACATCATCAAACACTATTATGACTTCATGGGAGCCATCGGTTTGTTCAATTCGGTTTGATTAAACTAGCTAAAAATTCGAATGTTGTTATATATATACGTTTTTTATTGTTGACACCTTAAAATGATTGAACAATATGATGACAATGATGATAGTAAAAAACAGAATTTATTCATGTTTAGAATTGATGAAAAAAAAATATATAAACCATATGTACACAATCGTAGAAAATTTAATCAATTTCACCAGGCATAACAACAATTTGTTTTTATTATTGAACACAACAGCCCAGAATTTAAGCAGAATTTTTTTTTTTTTTTTTGGTTTTCACACAGCATCCGACTATGGTCAAACATTATATATTGTGTGTCATCATATTGAAAATGAAATTATTTAGATCATGAAACAATATATTAGAATATTTTTATGCTAATGTTTACATAATCCGGAGAGTGTAGATCTGAAAATAATTTTGTTTTTGATCACACACTATATATTGGCCAGCAAAAAAAAACTGCATGTGGCTCTTTCCGATCTAGTTTGCAATCACTTGGATTTTGATTCTTCTTCTTCTTCTTCGTCTTCATTTTTTTTTTTTTTTTTTAATGTTGACTCGCCCATAATTCTGTCATAACTTTATTCTCTATCTCTCTCTCTCATCGGACGTTGTTCCATTTTTTTTTTTTTTTTTTTTGTGTGTGCAAACAATAAAACACATAAACAACTAGATTACCTTTAACCGAATGAGAGCTATTTTTTTGTTGTTGTTGTTGAAGCCCTATGCACACCTTATGAATGAAAATGTGTATCGCATTTGCGTGCCATATCTAATCTAACTAATAATTATCACAAATAGAAATGAATGAATCAATGAGATTGTTCAATTCATTCGTTGTTCATTTTTGTCATGTCATACATTTATTATTTATCAATCGTTGTGATTAAGAATTTAAAAACTTTAATCAAAAATTCAGAACAGCATCGAGAAGAATATGATTTCATTTTTTTCAAAAAACATTCTCTCATGATAATGATGACGATGAAAACAAAATATTCACTAAAAATGGTCCGTAAAAAACGTCAAATTTAGTAAAATTGTATCATTCCATCATGAATACGATTCATTTGAATATTAAAATATATAACGTCGTTTAAAGACGAAAACTATGGCTAATGCTGTCAAGACGTTGTTAAATATAAAAACTGGTCTCCGCCCGTTTTCGTATTGTTGTATTTTTTATTATTATTTATTTTTTTTTTGGAACGATACAGTTCAAATGAGAAAAATTTCTCATGTTGTCAAGAAAAAAAATTAAAACATTTCTCATTTTTAATTGTTTTTTTTTTGTCAATATAATAGGCTGCTGGTCAAGATGAGATGGAAAAATCATCATCAATTATTTTGTTTGTTTATAATTAACCCATCGACTACCGCCATAGACAGAAAAAAGGTCGCAAAATAGACCAACTTTTCGAATTTTCATGTGTTTTTGGCGCATATATGAGCCGCTGGTCTATTGTGGAAAATTTGAGTGGCACACATATGTGCCGCTTGGTAGTCAATGGGTTAATCCGGTTAACTTATGGCCATTGAATAAAATGATCATAGATGGCGTTATCAATGCTTGGTCAAAACCAATTGATGATGAATGTGGATTTTTTTTTTCCAATAATATTTTTGATCAAGAATCGCCATCTATTGATAGAAATTTTCAATTTTTTTTTTAAATAAAAATTTTATTATTCATTATTCATTCACATAAATTAATTATTTTTGTACAGCACATAATTATGATATATAAATCAATAATCATTAAATAAATGATACACAATAATTGACAGGAAAAAAATCAAAAACAATAATTAAATAATTAAAAAAAAATGTGATGAATTTGAAAAAAATTAATAATCATTGATGAGTTTCAAATGATGACAATTATATAATGACGATGGGAAAATATTACAAAAATGTATTCACATTATACAAATTGATGATGCTTGATCAATAATTAAAATTGGAAAAACAATAATTTTACAAATAACAACAAAGATTGGCAGAATCAAATTATTAATATTATAATGAGTGTTGATAGGTGTGAGTATTTCGAAGGTATATCTTCCACGAACAAAGAAGAATATGAGAATTCATTGATGTTTGTTTTGTTTTTGTACAATATTGTGCAATGCATTCGAAAAAGAAAATAAATTATTTCAATTAGTTTTTTCTGTGAGAAAAAAAATATAAAATTTTTTTTTATCGATCTAGTTCATCGATTCCAATCATCATCATCATCATGTTATTTAAAGCTTGGATGATATTTACAAACTTAATGATCCGATTTTTTCATGAATCAATGATGATGATCGTTGTTGTCGTCTTGAATGATTTCGACGTTTTCGACTTAAAAGATTTGATGAATCTCGTTTAAATCGTACATTAGTTGGATCATCGGCCAATTGTGGATATCGTTCAATACCATGAATGTCGGATCCGAAATATTCACGAACAATTCCGGAATGTAACAAAGTTTTCTTTTCCTCTGTTGACCAATCCGATTTGACCAAACCAGGAAGTGAATGTCGAAGATAATAAATTTCACGTTGCCAAGCTTCTTGTACAGCTTTACGTCTTGCTAATCGTGCAACTCGATTTATTTCTTCATCAAATGAAGCGCCATAACGAATGTTGAGCATTATATTACCAGTGTTGACCAATAAATGACTAGTTGAATATGATGAATCACTATCTGAAATCTTACTGACATTGACCATAGAGCCTAGTTTGTGTAATTGTTCGATATCACGTTGCATTCGTTGATGAACATCGTTTTGGGATGGTTGAACGAAAAAGAATTCATCCTTAGAATGATGAACCAAATGGAATGGCAATGAATAAGTGCCGTTAAATACATTCGTTAGCACAGAATTAATGATAGGATTTTTATCGATTTCTATACTGTGGACAGTAGTTATTCGTGGTGTTCGTGATATCAATGCTGCACTCAATGGTGATGGCATTATAGCAATTGATATTTCGTGCATATCCAGAAAACTTCCAGGATTTGAGTTGAAAGGTAGTTTGATTTTACTTTCTGGAATCATCGATAAATGATTAAAAATTTCAATCAGATTTTTTCTTTCAGAATTTAAGGATGTGATGATTGGAGGGCTTTGCATGAAACTATGACGTTTAGTTTCAATTTGTTCATCAAAAATAAAATCAAGTCGATAGCCGAGGGTTTGCAACCATGATTCAATATTTGCCATTGGCAATGAGCCAATTGAACCATCCATTTTTTCGACAAAATGTGCTGGATTGACAGGATCATTGTTTTCGAATCGATATAGATGAATCATGTTCGATAAATCTTTATCAAATGCATCCCAACTAGGTGTTAGCCATTGAGCGATTGATGCGTCATAAACTCGTCCATCTTCAAAGTGATTCAATCCAGTCAAAGGATCTCTAATTGAACCACGGAAATCTATAGGCAGCCAAAATGATGGGTTAGAATCTTTGAGAATTTTACCCCAAACATCTCGAATAATTTCTTTGACTAAAACACCATCACCGGTATAGACAGCTACTGGTGAGCCAAGATGATCACTAGCAACATAGTATTTTGTACCTTCGATGGTAAGCGCAATAAGATGGCCATTTGTATCGTATATGAATCCGATAATCCTCGAATCAATGACACAATGACTGATTGATGAGGGACGAGTTTGATCATAGATGAATTGAGTTCGATTTTGTGTATTACTTGAACTAGTCACGAATCTACTCATTAATCGATTTTTATGATCATAATGATAAGAAATTGCCAAATCATTTTGAGTTCCATCTTTAAGCATCACACCAGTTAGTTGGCCATTCGCATTCAACATGTATTTGTTAGTGGAATCTCGAGAAATGGTAAAGCCACGCTCATCGATCATGAATAGATCTTCACCATTATCGCCAAAACTTCGAGCTCGACCAGCTTCATCGCGTCTGTGAAAAAAAAACCATGATTAATCATTGAGAAAATGAATATTGTTACCATCTATACTAACCTGATCTTAAGTTCGTTATCACCTTCTTGTATGGTTTTCAGATTACCGTCGATATCATAACCAAATAGTGAACGTGCAACAACATTCGATACAGATGAAGAACCACTAATTAGAACTTGTTCCAAAAAGCCAGAGCTCGTGTATGTATGATTGCTATTAATGTAGTTGGCACCATATTTTAATCGAGACTGAGCAATACGTGATCGACGTGGTTCATATTGAATAACTTGTGAAAAGAGTTCTTTATTCCAGACCGAGAATGTTATTCCAACCATTCGACCATATGAATCGGTGGCAATAGTTTTGAGCAATCTTTCATCACCAATCTGTACAACATTAGCACTATGTCGTTTGAATATAAACGTATCTACGCCTTCTTCCATTCCGGTCAACATTGAATACTTTAATTTTTTTGTTTCCACATTTCGTCCTTGTAGCTCGAATTCAACTTCGTTAATATGGCCAACACCATCATATTTATAGCGAAGTTTGTAATTGGAAAGTTCGGTGCGAGGATTGAAACGAATTCGTTCTTCTTTAAGCAACGAGCCTTGATGACGGTATTCGGCTTTATAATCAAAATTGTCTGATGAAGCTTTGTTTATACTTTTGATCAAATCACTTCCAGTATGATAAATATATTCGGTTTTTTCCGCACCACAAAGTTCTGTTTGTATTAATCCCAATGAATTGTATATCATTACTTTTCGACCGGAATTATTTGGCAACAATTTGGTTATGGTTCGACCCCATTCATCGTATTGTATGGTGAATGAATTATGAAAACCAGATGGTAAGAAGAGTAATTTGTAGAAACCAAGCGAAACTTGACGATACAGTTCATTGCGATGACCAGCTGGTGTCATGATGGCGGTTAGACCACCATTGGCGTCATATTGAAGCAAGTAACGGCTACTACCACTGTCTTTGATAATTTCGGTTGGACCTAAGGTCGTATCGGCATATTTAA